TGTTGACAGAACAGAAGTAAATTAATTATACTACATACTAAATTACAGTGAATCGCTTGATAAATAAATAATTAAGTTATTGTAATTGTAATATTATCGTATGCTGCTAATTTAATAAAATAAACTATAGTTCAAACGCATAGATGCATACAGGTAAGTATTTAAATTTTCATTTTATTATTTGTATAAGTACAGTTATTATTTTATAACACTGATGTTCAAAACATTTATACATAATTTTAACAATTCCTTTTCTGTCAATAACTTTATTTGTGGTATATTTTGATGTACAGGTTACATCGCCATTTATATGAGAAGGATAAAGAAAATGCTGGGTACGGCTAGGGCGTCGCCGCTAAACGACGCGCAGGCACATCGCCCTACACCTGCGACAAGTGGGCAAGGGCTACCGTGTCAAGTACGGGCACGGCTAAAGACATTAGTACCCAGACGGAAACTCCGCTTTGCAACGTGGAATATTGGCTCTCTAACAGGGCGATGCAGGGAACTCGCAGATGTACTCATGAGACGTCGGGTCCAGTGTGCTTTCCTTCAGGAAACTCGCTGGAAGGGCAATAAGTCCCGTAACATCGGACAGGGTTACCAGCTTATATACACTGGGTCACCTTCAGGCAAAAACGGTGTAGCGATAGTGCTTTCTGAAGAGCTTCGGAATGGTCTCCTTGAAGTTGACCGTTGCTGTGACCGGCTGATGCGGGTAAAGGTACTGATTGAGGGTGTTACCACAAACTTAATCAGTGCCTATATATGCATATGCCCAGGCGGGCTGTAGTGAGGCCGAGAAGGAATCTTTCTGGGAGCAGTTTGAAGAGGTACTACGCGCTATACAGACTACCGAAGTAATAGTGGTTGGGGGAGACTTAAACGGTCATGTGGGTAAGGCTGCTGAGACGTATGAACGTGTCCACGGTGGTTTTGGTTATGGTCGTCGCAATACAGAGGGAGCACACATTCTAAGAACCTGTATTGCGTCTGATCTGGCCATCGTGAACACGTTTTTCCAAAAGAATGCTGAGCACCTTATTACATATAAGAGCGGTCCTCACTCAACTCAAATCGACTATCTCCTGACCAGAAGGTGTCATATTGGCAAGGTGACTAACTGCAAAGTTATTCCGGGTGAAAGCCTAACGGCCCAACATCGTCTCCTTGTCATGGACTATATGTTTACCCCGAAAAAGAAACTAGCCGAGAAACGCAAACCTAGGATCAAGTGGTGGTTACTGAATGGACCGATGCGGATGGACTTCCTGGCGGAGGTTGAGAAGCAAAATATATCGACTGACACCGAAACCGCTGAGGAGGCTTGGGATCGAGCCCAGTCAGTAATTACCGCGGTAGGAAGGCGAGTTCTTGGCGTTTCTAAGGGAGGGCGAGTCATCGACAAGGAGACGTGGTGGTGGAATAATCAGGTGCAGGGGGCGATTCGAGAAAAGAAGGCTGCGTTTAAAGAGTGGCAGCAAACCAACTCTCCTGAAGATAGAGAAGAGTACAATGCAGCCAAACGTGCTAGCAAGAGAGCTGTAGCCAGACCCGCAGCGATAGCTTATTTCCATTATATGATAAGCTAGAAACTGCGGAGGGGCAAAAGCTCATATACAAGCTGGCACGTGCCCGGGATAAAGCGACGCAAGATATCACAAAATGTCTTTGCGTCAGGGACTCCCAGGGCACGCTGCTTTGTAACTAAGCCTCTGTGAAGGAGAGATGGAAAGACTACTTCCGAGAGCTCCTGAACAACCAGCACTCATATAGTCTTCCCCCCGAACCACCCCCTAACCTAGGACTTGTTGCCCAATAACACCTGATGAAACTCGGGATTGTCTTCGCCGCATGAAGAACCGAAAAGCGGTGGGACCTGACGACATACCGATCGAGGCGTTGAAATCGTTAGGCTCTCTTGGTGTGCACATGCTTACAGATCTCTTTAACCGCATCTTGAACACTGGAAAGATGCCCAATCAATGGCGTTTTAGCTTTATAACCCCTATATACAAAGGCAGGGGCAGTGTTCAGGATTGCGGTAGTTATAGAGGGATCAAAATCATGTGTCACACCATGAAGCTTTTCGAACGCGTGATCGACCTCAGGCTCCGGCAAGAGTGTGCTGTCTCTGAGTGTCAATATGGGTTCCAGCCGGGATCGGGCACCATGGACGCCATTTTTGCTCTCAGAACTTTGATCGAGGCTTACAGGGAGAAAAGGAGAGCTCTGCATTTGGCATTTTTGGACCTGCAGAAGGCCTTCGACTGTGTGCCTCGTCAATGCATTTGGTGGGCGTTGCGATTCAAGGGTGTGCCTGAAACCTATATTGACATTATCAGGGACATGTACTGCAACTCCGCTTCTGTGGTTAGAACCGCTGTTGGCGATACCGAGCCCTTTCCGATCACTGTAGGGGTCCACCAGGGTTCGGCTCTTAGCCCGTTCTTATTCAACGTAGTACTAGATGTTGTCTCGGCATGCATCCAGGACCAGCCTCCATACCTAATGATGTATGCCGATGACATTGCACTCGTTGATGAGAGCCGTCTGGAGCTGGAGCGTAGGGTAAACCTATGGAAGGGTACGCTTGAAAACGGCGGTCTTAAATTAAATGTGGCGAAGACCGAGTACATGGCCTGCGGGAGTTCAGACTCTAGCACCATCCAAATAGGGCTTGAACCAGCCGTTAAGTCGGAGAAGTTCAAGTACCTTGGATCCGTCCTGCACGAGTCTGGAAGCATCGACCACGACGTTCAAGCCCGTATAAGCGCTGCTTGGGCCAAATGGCGGGAGGTCACTGGTGTGGTCTGTGACCGCAGAATACCGCCCAAGCTCAAGGGACAGATATACAAGAGCATTATCCGACCGGTCCTTTTATATGGAAGCGAGTGCTGGCCAGCGCTATCTCGGCACACTCAGGAGCTTCACGTCACGGAGATGAAGATGCTGAGGTGGATGTGTGGCATAACGCGGGCTGACCGCATACGCAACACATTCATCCGGGGCAGTCTCGGGGTCCGCGACGTAGCGGATAAGCTCCAAGAGCGGCGTCTGGGGTGGTATGGCCATGTTGCGCGTCGGTCTGAGGAATATGTCGGAAGAAAGTGCCTTGATATATCTGTCCCTGGAACAAGACCTCCCGGGCGCCCAAGAAAGCGATGGCTGGATGTCGTGAAGCAGGACATGAGAGCCAATGGACTTACCCAGGATGATGCTAAAGACCGTGCAAAGTGGAGGAGGCTAAGCAGGAAGGCAGACCCTGGCAATAGCCGGGATAATTAATGCCAGGCAGAAGAAGAAGGTTACATCGCTTTGTCAACAACGGGTAGGTATTTAGGTACCAATCAAGTAACGAAATCAGCTTTGTTTTGAAATACTCCTTTTGCGACACCAATGCGCGTAAATTACATAAATTAATCAAAATATTGGTTATAATCTATACTTATTATAAAAATAAGTCCCCCGGCCGCGTCTTTCTGTCCTCCTGTCTGTCTGTACGCGATAAACTCGAAAACTACTGAACGGATTTTTATACGGTTTTCAACAATAGAAAGAGTAATTCTTGAGGAAGGTTTGGGTATATAATTTATTATGCTTTTATGTAAATTAGCTGAAATACGGCGACAAATGTTGAAGAGGTCGCAAAAAATCTCGCCAAATGGGAACTTTCCACGCGAACGCCGCGTAAACTAGCAAAGATACAGTTAAGTAATGTACTAGAGAATTCAAAATCTATAAAAATGCTACAAAAAAGTCCGCGATAGCATATCTCTATCTCTTACGGTTGACTTACAATAACCACTTTTATGTTAACATTTTTAATTAAAAACATTACGTTATTTTCAAAGTTATTTTCTTTAGTTCGGTATTAATCCTTATCCAAATGAATATTTTAGTTAGCTTAGTCATTTAATGCAGATTAAAATTGCTCTTTACACTAAATCAATCAGATGAATAGTTTTTGAGATATCGTTGTTAGAAGTAATTAGTAGCGAAACATTTTTAATGCTTGGCGAGCATTGAGATGCCTACGGCGAGTCCATCCCCTCTGTCCCGCATCGCTCGACCGCCTGCTCAAGCTATATAAACCGGGCGATGTAGCGCGCGATCCTAGGATACTTTTTACCGCGGGAAAATATCTTATTTCTGAGGAAAAATACAAAAACTGCAATGTAAGAGTATACTAATATGTAACACCTAAGAATTTAGTTTTTGGTCATCTGAACGCGGGCGGAGCCGCGGGCAATGCTAGTAAATTATAAATATAAACTAAATAAGTTATCCAGTTGAGAGACGCCGGCACTTCGGTGTGCTTATGACGTCACGCACATAAATACTTTCACTTAGCTATTGTAGTGTAAGCAACGTATTTACATTAATCTATTTCAGAATGTCATGATTACGTAGGATGATTTAATAACAGCATAGAATTCATATTAATACCCCGTTCCATATGCTACATGGAGTATTTCAATAAACAATAACCGATTAGTTAATGATTTACCTCTTAATTAACTTTGTTTTTCTCATGTTGGTACATACCTTCTACTTTTGTAATCCTGGCAGGGTCGCCACTTGTAAAGGTTCGCTTCGTATGTACACGTAAAATGAAACACCAAAACAGATTTGTACCGCACTTATCCACACGACGGTCGCAGCTCGAGAGAGTGGCTAGCGAGTCGCCAGCCACGCTCCCCACCACCGACCGCCCCCCAGTAAGCGTGCTACGTTTATTTAACATAATACACTACAGACCCAACATATTTATTTATTATTATTATCATTTATTCTGCTAGTTTATTACAAAATTAGAAGAGAAGTACGTTTTAAAAGAATACGCAGTAAAAATATATAGTTCGTAGATTAATATATCTCTACAATCTTTTTAGGTAGGTAATTATATAATCTATTTAAGTACTATATATTATTAAATATTTTCTTAAATATTTAACCAAATTGATCAAAAGAAAAATTCTTAGCGACATTAGAATTTAGAAGCATCTGAACGTTGGAGAGCTTGTAGAAAAAACAGCAAGCAGTTCGCACGAGGCTTGCCGAGGACCACTTAGACAGCATGCAGCACCGTGAGCTCGCCAGTGCCACGTGGCCAGGTATTGCCAGCTGGAGAAGCTATTTCGGTGATCGGTGGCAGGCCCCGGCAGACCGACACCAGACATCGCCGCCGCCCCCGCGCACCTCAAACCTCTAAAAATAGCCGCACTGTGCATTCTTGGGCGAACGATGTCGAATTTTTGTCGAGTACGCGCGTCCACATGCCGTTTGTTTTGGCCCAGGAGACCGACCGCAACCTTCGACCGCGGGACTATAGTTACAGTGATCTCATTTAACATCCGGTTCACGTGGATCTCGTTTTCGTTGATGTTGCAGGACCCATATTGTACCTATAAAAACACTTAATTCAAGATACATACCTATAGCACGCATACTTTCAGAAAATATATTTTTCCAAAATCATGCGTGTTGTGTAAACTTATTATAATGTCTCCTAAACTTTTAATTTTAAGTTAGTAGAATTTTATATCAAAAATCATCCGTCGATTGAAGTAATAGCTCGTCGCGAATCGTTTTTTCAAGACTAGTTGCAGGCAATGCCAACCAGAGAAATTCTTCTAACCTCTTTACAGCTAACCTTAATATCTAAATGTGATATAGCACTGATATACTCGATTTATGTATATTGTACATACTGACATTTATTACTTTATTAATAAACTAGCGACTCACCCTCACTTCGCTCGGGTACGTCCGTAGGTGATTCTTTAAATTGACATATAACCAAAATACATTAGTGAAAATCGCACCCAAATCGGTTAAGCGGTTTCTGATTAACGTGCACAAACGCACAGACAAACAAACAAAAATTCTAAAAATCATTGTTTTGCGTTCTATTGCGTTAATAAAGACCTATTTCCATGTGTGTTTTTATAAATAAACTTTATTCAGGCTATATATTTTATACCTATTATTAATTTGTAACGTGAAAAAGCAAATAAAATGTATGTGTATTGTTTATATAATATGGTGAAAGGCCAATGTATAATCTATACATAAATAATAACGTTCTGAGTCGAATCTGTAAATTAAATATTTTTTGAAAATTTTTATTGAAATCGTCATTATTATCGATACAGAGGCCGAATCTATAGTTTTTAGAATTTTTGTATGTCTGTCTGTGACCGCATCACTAGAAAACCACTGGACAGATTTTGATGAAATTTGGTATGATGGTAGACTTGTCCTGGGTAGGTTGGTTATCCGGGTCAACATATAGGATACTTTTTACTGCGGGAAAATATCTCATCCCTGAGAAATCTATACTAAACGCTAAAATGTAACTAGGGACGAACCCGAGCGGAGTAAGGGTAATTCGCTAGTAGGTATAATATATGTACATATGTGTTGACTACTTAACTATGGTTATGATAAAAAAAATTACCGGAACCAATACAAACATCTAAGGAAAAAATAAATAAATGTATCATTTTGTATTGCATAGTGCCGAAACCGCTATAAAAAATATTTTTAGACCGGTATTTTTTTCTCTTCAATATCGATGATACGTACCTACACACTACATACATATATATAAAGTTGAATGACATAGGCACGTGTAGTATTATTTTCCTTGAATTTAGATTAACATGAAGTATGCATCTCATCTAAATAAAAATACAATTGAAGGTGAATACACTTGTCTAAATTACAGTGTTCAGATACTGAATAAGTTATACGTGTTTAGACTTCAGGTGTATTTCGTAGAGTTCATTTTATAATTTTCTTAAAGTGTGTTGCTTATTCGGATGCTATATTTTGTTCACACCTGGTTTGATTGACCTCTAATCTTTTTAAAGAAATAAATGAAAAAACCAGCTTAGTAAGTCACCTTTTGTTAGAATGTCATTTCTCATTCGGTTCAATTTTTTTTGACCTCTGCAAACACCTTTGAGGGTGAAACAGTGACAATACAATCGTCCGGAATATTTATACTCAGTAGATACCTAATGTTTATCAAGATTGACAGCTCAACTTGCTCTATCATGTCAATTTGAATGTCGAATGTTAAAATTTAAAAATCCTTACGTCTTACAAAATATAAAAACTAAAAAAAAAACGTCTTCCAGGCATTAAAATGTAAAAAATAACTAAACGGGGGTTTTCATTTAGAATAGATGATACCTAATAAGATATTCTCTAAGTTTTTATTCTTCCATTAGTAATAAGCAGGTAATTTCGAAGAAGAAAGTTTTTAATGATATAATTAATGAAATAAATTATTGTTGATTTTTTAAAAAACCGCTCAACCGATTTCGATACAATTTAAATGGAAGTACATATACCCTTCGAAACAAAAAAAATCCAAATCGATTCAGGCGTCTTCGAGTAATCGATGAACATACATAAAAAAAGATTCCGACGAATAGAGAACCTCCTCCTTTTTGGAAGTCGGTTAAAAAAGTTTATTGTAAAAGATATTAGGGAGTTGATCTTAAATATCCAGCGCTCTTTTTTATATCAATTAACCAAACACATTAGGTAAAATTATTGGTGTTTATGTAACATAGGTATATAATTAGAAATCGAATTCTAAAATGCAACCAATCTAATTTTAATCCAGAAACTCAAACGCACTAATTTACTACTACTAATAGTCGGGTTTAACTTTACTGTAATGAATATAATATAGGTATATTGCTTTTAATTATTTTAAGGTAAAAATAATCACCGCCACGTGAATCATCGGCCTCACAGCCCCGTCAGCCTCGTAATTTTTTCTCTTTTTGTTAAATTGATAACATTTCATACATTTCATTGATATTAAATTTTATTTAAAAAAACTGATTTTTTCGGTACTGTGCCAATAATGCATTCAAACCTTCTTCACGAGAATCGTTTTTTTGTACCAACAAGTATCCTAGCACCCAAGAATAACTGGATGAATCACAAATAGACACCAATAATGTATGGCACATTGACTGAACACTAAACCACCACAAAAAAACTAATTAACTATAATAAAATCAAAGAAATGTATAAGCACAAAAAAGGTTTCAAATGCTTAAGAAACTTTAAAAGCTATAAAATAAATCCAACTTAGTAATTAATTAGTAATATCAATATGATAAATATCCAAATGTATCGCTTGCATTTTATTTTGTACTGGCTGGTGCTAGACTATACTCAGGAAACTTGCTTATCTGAGAGAACTTGTTTTCGAAAGACACATGACACACCCACAATTAGGGCCTTATTTGCCCAGCACGCTGGACTTAGGACTTGATCTCTCACATTGACCGGGTGTGCCGCGTGGTCCTCAAGAATGTTACAAAATTTACCTTTAATTTTTAAGAAGTATGATTTCAACAATGAACAGGCGATTGTTCCGGAATAACTATTGTAAAATACATCTCGCAATCAATCTATTTATTCCTGAAGTCCTGAAAGTCTCTAAAAACGATTAGACGATATCGAAACGATAATATAATGTATAAATCATCAAGGCATGATAATTTTTCAAATACTTATTTTAACAAATAAGTATATTTTCTTATCATATGCATTAAAAATATAGGTACATAGATATATACTGTATGTTTCTTTCAAATACTGAAACGGTCGTTGTTGTATGTTTTCATCATGGACGAATTGTGGTTAATTCGTTCATGGTTTTCATATATGTATATTAAAGCGAAATTAGAATTTTCAATTTTGTATCATGATTGTTACAGGGTGGTGGTGGGCAGGCGCATGTGTGGGCGGCGCCGTGCTACTGTGCGCCGCGGGTGCGCTGGCCCGCCCGCACTTGCGTCGCCGTACCGCCGCAGCCGCCGCTGCCAACCCTGTGAGTTGTCAATCAACATAATCCTTCCTCATATTTTGACTATATTTAGCTAGTGTACTATTATATTTTTATAAATAATACCCTATGTGTTACTCTGATGTATAAGCTATATTACTGAAAAGTTGCATCAAAATCTGTTAAGTAGTTTTTGCGTATAAACCTTATAACATGATGTCAGGTACCTCTATATTCAAGTAAAATGTGAGTTTCAAATGTATTACATGGTAACATATTTTGACATTTGTAATACCCAACCAGCCTTTAACATCAATTTGATTAATATTCAAAAGTAAAATAAAATCATTCATCAAAGGAATCATCATCATCTGCTTACTACCAACTAATCTTGAAAGCAAGTAAAACTGATTAGACAAGTCTTAAGTTAAGAGACTATGCAGTATACATACGTATAAAAATTAAATTGGCCCTTCCATAAAGTGTTAATCCACTGAAACCTGGGCAATGTCATAATAAATCGCTCTACTCTACATTATAACAAACAAGGTAATATCATATTTTAATCCGTAGGTATAAGGGCTGAAAAATATAAGGTACTCTAATGTAAAAGGAAGATAATAGAATCGCCTAAATGTCAATATCATTTTCTGTTTGTCTGTCACAACTGTGACTCTCAGATACTATTTGACTTACATAAATAATTAAAATGTGTTTTTTTTTGCTTTTGTTGAAGTAATGTGCGTTATGTGCCTATGTTAACTGTTAACTATACAGGGCGTCCCAGAAAATAGTGTCAAGCGGAAGTCCAGAGATAGAGCACCTTGGCGTATCACCCCGCAATTTTTCATAGTTTTTGAGTCATAAATTTTTTTCTGAATTTTCAAACTGAACAACTTAAAAAAGTTCTAAAAATAAAGTAGGAGAGCTTTTAGCGATATAATTTTTTTGGATCTGAATCTTCATGAGTTGTACTTTTGTGCTTAAAATAATCAGCTTCGTAACTTTAATAGAAATTATGAAAATGTTGGTGTAAAGTGAAGACTTTACGTTCGGTGAATTATAACTTTAATTTTCAACTTTAAATTAAAAGTTTAAACAAGTGATTTCATGGTTCCTCAGTAGGTCTCAAATGTTTTTCAGACTCTCAACTTTTATAATCATTAAAAAAAAAGTAGGTACTTAATGGACTACTTTGACTAAAATCGGCCTTCAAAGATGGCGAGATGGAAAATACTTAAAATTGGCCATCTGATTACAAAATTATTTTTTTGGCCGTTTTATAATTTATAAGGTCCATTCGTTTGTTAACTAACCAAAAATGACTGCAGGAAAGCCAATATTTAAACTTTTGGAGTTTTTTTAATGTTGTTCATGCACACGACGAGTTTTCGCTTTTGATAGTTTTTTATTCAATTTGAATACGGACCGATATATAAGTGGAGATCAAATTTTTTTATCAGAATACTTAAAAGCATAAGTTATGACTATCAAGAGCGTGCTATACACAGGTGTGCTATTCATCATTTGATATTAACAAGTATGTACTTTGTATCTACATACGAGTACCTATATTGTGTTATACTATAATGCAGATTATGAATAAATAAGTTTTGTGAGCATTGGACATGTAGGTCTGAGATTCAATAAGTCATAAAGCATTCGGTAACTTAGCTTAATAATGTATTATAAATATGTTTTACCAAATAGCTCTACGTAGAGATTTCATTAGAAATCAAAATGATTAATTCACCTTGACTATTTTTGTAATGTCAAAATTAACATAAAAGTATAATCTCAAGTATCAACTTATTTAATGTGATTCAGTGTAGGTGTAATGTAATTTTTTTTCTGTTATGTTAGTGTTCGTTACGTACGACTCTCGAGTACTGCTCAATCATTGAGCAATGCCAACCGTCTCGTCTCACGAGCCGACAAACGCGTCATCGCTTACTATTACAATTATAGGTGCGCATACATAAACGAGGCGGTGGCAGCAATCGAGTCCCGTATACATGTGTGTCCGCTTTATGTACACATGTGCCGAGCCACTATCACTGGCGCGACCCACACACGCACGGCCGGTATAGCGCGGCGTGCCTTCGATGCGCACACGAATGCAACTAGACAGATCGTGCGCGTGTGTGCGGCGACATCGGGGCAGCCGGTGCACCGTCACCCGCACGTCCTCCCCGCTACGCGACTGCGAACACCGCGACGCGGCGCGGCGCGGCCGCGTCCGCGTCATTGAACAACAAGACTCGCTCGGTGGCAGGCGTCTTCCTGCCAATATGAAAAAAAGAGTGCTAAGTAACTCTGTTACAAAATTCGCGATAGTGGAATTTATATGTTATCTTTGTTTTATAAATTATTTATTTTTATAGTGTTATTACATTGAAAATCATATTTTTATTTATTAGTGAATGATAGTTAATTATTGTAAAAGCGCTTTACGGGTGTTGTAATCTCCGTGTAATGCCCTGTGATTGTTTTGTTTAAAATATTTTAAGCTTCTAAACGCAAATATGCAAAAATGAGTGGCAGTGTTATAAAAAATAAGCTCGTTGTGATCATGATAGTGTGATCGATTCGACTAAGTACAAGTGAAACCACCAGCGTGTCATTGGAGTTGATATAAACACGATCCTGAATTCTGTGGAAACGTACACAATTGTGGCCAACACTGATTCAAATAGTAAGTTTAAGTATACATTCATCTCCCCTGTTTACTTCTTTTTTCCTAACGTCATCAAAAGGAATTGTAATAACAAATATTAAGAAGTATTGTCGTAATACCATATGTTCATAACCAATGGAAATGACAATAATTTATATAGAAAGATATCGTGATTTAAATTTGATTGAGGTTGAGAATGTTTGCACTATAAGCGAATGCGAGACGCGAGTCAGGCCGTGGCTGAGAATCGGACGGCCGCGAGACGGCGGGAGCGTGCCAAGTGATAAGAACCGCGCCGATAGCGACGTCACGCCCAGACGTTGTTTGTGTGAATTTAAATAAATTTTCATGACAGACAGTTCCGTAATCACCTCTCTCGATAGTCGTGACATGCCAACTCGATAAACTCTAATATCTGCAAAACTTCCAAATATTTTCTTAATTTTGTGCAAGGTAAACTCAAAAACAAACTTGAATATCATTTTTAACACAAATTTTCCTATAGATACACTTCATTTTCGTATCATGATATTTAATATTGTAAACATATACATAGTAATGAAATCAAACTGGTAAAATTGTACCCAAAGTGTACCTTGGATAATATTAATATACTTTTACCAGTGGTATAGAAATAAGAAAAAAGTGTTAGGTTACTAAACAGGGCTAGTCTGGCTGGACTTAGGAGTCCTGACTCTTGACTAGCTCAAAATAAAATGTACTGTAAAGAGTCTGTCAGAAACTTTTTAATTAAAATTAGTGGTTAAAGTTTGTAACTTTGAAGCCATTAACAAGAAAATTGAGCTAAATTGTGTTTTAATAATAAATCAGATATTTATTATAAAATAAATTTGCAGTATTTTTATTCCTGAAAACCTAAATATAATTAGATAATATATTATTTCGTTTGGTGTTAAATATTATGTATAGTTTTCTGTGCAACAACCTCATAATCTACTTATGCATACATGTATTGATGGCCAATTTATAATGAAAATATGATAACATAAGTACAATTAAAATAACCACATATTAGTCATATGATTTAACACAACACTGCTTTATACATATAAAAATATGTATATTTAATAACAATTGTGCATATTACACTATCATTTATAAATTAATATAATATATTTCCAATGTTACTGACTAACATATTTAGTTTTTAGGAACATCTACCTATGTATGTATTATTATAATCAGTATCAAAAATGTGTACAATTATTCACTTTCAATAACTACATTTGATACTGCGTAAAATTATATATAATATGAATTAAAATTATATATATTATAGATCAAAATGAAACGAAAGTTAATAATTGCAGGTAAATTTAAACTTATCTATTTATAAAGTTTATTTAAAACAAATTGATAAAAAAGTCAGAATGTAAGAGATATAAATATTAAAGTCACTAATACAAATGCATTTTATTTTGAATTTATAACTGACTTGCTCACTTCGTCCTTATGTGCCTAACAGTGCCTATGTGTTACTTCAATCATAATCTATTTGGATACTTAATTTTATCCAAATCCATCTATCTAGCTGTTTCAGTATGAAGAAATAAAAATATGAAAACACCGACACATAGAAACTTTCCTTTTTATAATATTATATAACGTGGGCCACCCTTATCACTTAGGGGTATGAAAAATAGATAGTAGCCGATTCTCAGACCAACTGAATACGCATATAAAATTTGGTAAAAATCGGTAAAGCCGTTTCGGAGGAGTACGGTAACTAACATTGTGACATGGTAATTTTATATATTAGATAATTTATTGTATATTAGCGTCCACCTTATTAGTCCTTCTGCATAAGTAACTCTTTGTTTATATTCAAATTTTAACTATGCAGTCAAATTGCAAACTACCATAAATGTCTTTTTAAATATATATTTCATTCAACATTTAAATAGGTATCGAAAAATATTAAACTACCTAACATGAATATTTTTTGATAATAATCAAGTTGGGATGACATGATGAAAAGTAAAGTTCAAATTAAAAGTTATTTTGTGAGGCCTTTCCGATAAATGGATAATGGAAAAAGACCAATAAATTGTAAATTACTTCAAACTTAAAAACTATGCATTTAGTGCCTGATACAAAATGATTGTCAATACATATTTAAATTTACTTAATAGTAAAATTTTGCATTGATTTATAATCTCATGATATTGTCATAAAAATATTGATAGTGCTTATTGAATATAGTGTTCACTATGAGGAGGGCCACATAAGTGAGAGCAGTGTGTTGTGATTTACAGATGCTCTCGGTTCAAGTGCCGGGGTGCGCGGGCATGGAGCGGCTGGGCGCGCCGGGGGGACCGCGCCTGCGGCACGACCACAGACATCACCATTCCACATTGTAAGTAACAACAGTGTACAAAACAAGTTAACTAATTTTCTATAGTACATTTCATTTCATAGAAACATAGCGTTTCATAGAAACATTGCAAATAATAAATAATCAAAAACTGCTTCATCAATACTTGTTATTATAAACAGTATTTAATTTGTTTTTTGAAATACCAATACATAAAACATCACTGAAAAATGATAACACTCACTGTGATTAACCTGCAAAGATTATTTCATTACAGTGATTTACATACAACTTTATAATGTTAGTTAAGAAAATATTTTTAACATCAACAACTTATATAAAATTATTTTATTTTATGTTGATTTTAAACTTTTATAATTTTTGACCTATGACCCCTTGTATCAAATAATAAAATAGGAGTTCCTGCTTTAATCACCATTACTTAGTAAACATCTTAAAAAGTTTTATTAAATTATTGCAAAGACCATTCTCAACGCATAGAAAATATCTAAAATATATGTCAATAATATTTTATGCACATTGTAGTGTGACGTCGACAAGTCTGTTATAAATATAAAATCTAGAGAATGTGGCTCATTTGTAAAGAAAACAAGAATTTGTTTCTATTACTTCTTTTAATTCTATCCATACTGTAAACCTTTCTAACTCTAAATGTCCACCGTGACAGACAGACAGAGCATGTCGGAAAGCATGTCTAATGGGAACTTGACCAATAAAAATGAGTAAGTAATGTGTGTAACCTATATGACTCTTTCTGTATCTCATATACTCCCTCTGCAAACTGCAGTTATCGCATTGGCCAATTACTGTAAAAGGAACTGCGCAGCTTTGTATTCATAATATTAACTAACTAGCATTGCCTGCGGCTCCGCACGCGTTCAGTTGACCAAAAATCAAATTCTTAGGTTTTACATATTATTATACTCTTACAATGCAGTTTTTGTATCTTTTCTCAGAAATGAGATATTTTACCGCGGTAAATAGTTCTATATGTTGACCCAGCTAACCTGCTATCACCATACCAAATTTCATCAAAATCCCTCCAGTGGTTTTTCTGTGATGTGGTAACAGACAGACAGACAAAAATTCTAAAAACTATCGATTCGGCCTCTCTACCGATATTTCAATAAGATTTTCCAAAAATATTTAATGTACAGATTTGGCTTAGTTACAATTTTATTATATATATATATATATATATATATATATATATATATATATATATATATATATATGTATATATATGTTTTTTTTAAGTACTGGCTTTTATAGCCGGTGAATCCCAGATAACCACCTGGATGTCCACAGGTGACATGCGTAAATGAATTTTCCAACATAAAAAAATGGTTAGGACTTAGGAATAGGTCTCGCGTTGGGAAATCATATTGCATGAAAACATCGTACCATAGTTTCATTTACAACCACAGTTCATACGTTTGATAATATTATTCTTATTGCGCATTAACTTAATTTTAGATTTAACAAAGTATTTTCTGGACCTGCTTCATCGTCCGTACGGTTATTTTGTATTGACTATAATACAGATTTTTGGCTGTGATAAATATACTTAAATCTTGGATTTGGAAAGCTCAACCCATAACCTATTATACGAAATTCGTGACAAAATCGTGAACGTGTCATTATGCCTTCACTAACAACCCCAAAGAAGAAATAATACAAAGACGAGATAGACAGATTAGGTAAACTTCCGCGGTAAAAAGTTATTTTATAAAATAGCCTATGTTACTCTCCAGTCCTCCAACTATCTCCACACAAAATCACGCCAATCCGTCACTCCGTTTCGACGTGAAAGAAGGAGAAAAAAAACAAACACACTTTCACATTTATAATATTAGTATGGATATTATAATGCGTATTATTACTGTCATCAATTTTCGCTGAGATTAAAATTGAAATAGTTATATTTATACTCAGTGTTTATGTTTAAAGTATGGGCGACTGAGTTTCGTTCGGCGTTTTTCGGAAACACCATCTTCATCATTTCTAACATTAAATCGATTGTCATAATATAGCATCATCATAATTGAGTGAAAATTGTACCTACATTAAATATATAATGAAAATCTTATGTTTTTGGGATGTTTGAAATGTAACAATATCCAAATGGACAGTTTTAAATTTGAATATCCATCTTTTGTCTTTCTTAATTTGTTCTTCTTAATGACAAAAATATAACTCAGTTTTCCTTTAGTGAAATATCTTTAGATAGCTTGAACTACATATTAAGGTTTTGTTTCAATATAAAGTGAATGTCACGTACAGTTACTGGCGACGCCATAGACAAAAACTTTGCATGTCTTGACTGCTTCATCAGCGCCCAGACCTAATGGCTGGATCTAAGAGAAGGGTGACAAAAGGTAGCAGAATCTGTGTGGACATCTTTGTCTGAACAAATTTGCTTTAAATTTTGTATAATATGTTACTCTTTAACTCAATTATTGTAGTACATTTCTATAATACCATTTAAGAAAGTAAATGTTTATATCACATTAAGAAATACCCTGGGCTTAGTCAGAAATGTTAGCAGTAAACTATAATTCTACTTTTATATGTTACACAGGCAATTTATAATTATAACCTGAACGTAATTCAATTTCAGGGAATGGGAAAAACAGCAAAGGTTGCAGGCTATGGTGGGTCGTCTGCAAGAGATGGTGGAGCAGGAAACACGGGCACGTTCGGCCGCGGCCGCAGAGCGCCTCGGCCTACCACCAAGCATACAGCTTCCCGACGGCGAGTACGGTCAGGACGCGCATCTACAATTACGAGTCCCTTATCAGGTCCGTAAGTATTCACTTTGAAGTCTTAATTATTGCACACAGTTAAACTGCCTCGGTGGTGTAGTGGCTAGCATGTACGGCTGCACACACGGAGGTCCTGGGTTCGAGTCCCGGGGTCGGGCCAAGTGTAGTTATTGAGTCTTTCTGTATATTAAGCCTCAGTGACAGCCCGGAGTTGGGAAGTTGGCGGTGTTTCACCCCCGTGCCTCGGAGAGCACGTAAAGCCGTCGGTCTTGCGCCTTAACTCTCACCGGTCGTGTCGAGTGGTCGTCCCACCGGAGTATGAGAGTGACAGGAATAGAGAGTGCGCGTTGTGTCATTGCGCCCACGCGCTGCACTATAATATCCTACGCAGTTGGCTAGTCTCAATGAGATTGGCCGCCGTGGCCGGAATCGTTCAGGAGAACATCATCATTGCAGACAGTAACGGTTTTCTCTGGTCGTAATTGTGCGATACCTGCCCTTCAATAACTAATTTGATATACTTAAGTACTAGTACGGAGAACAGTTTACTTAAACATTGTTAGCTTGACTTTTAAATACTCGTTTATAAAATGCTGCTTATTGTACAATAAGCTGTTGATGTAGTTATATATATAAAGAAATAAATAAATTTTCAACGTCCGACTGCTGAACACGCGCCTCTCATCAATGCAAGAGGGATCGGGTATATGTTTATTTTATGTTTATGTTTAATTCGGAGATATTATTAAGGCCGCTAGTTAAATGGCGGCGTTTAGTTAAAATACTAGGCTGTTAATCGAACGGCTAATTTAGGTAGTTGGCTGCGACATTTCTATTATAAACATGTATGTATGTATCTATGTACGTACGTTTGTATGTTTGTATATGTGTATATTTATATTATAATTGATGTTTGTAGTTTGTACCTACACCGCACCGAATTATTATTTTTAAATTTATCACGCTTGAGGGTTTCTGGTAGAGATCTCTTAAAGAGATAAGTCATCCTTTGTACACATGGTATCTGTTTTCACTTGCATGTTTTTTTTCTGGTACATAAATAAATAATCGTCACATTCCTTTTGTCATTATTCTGTTTTAATAAGGATATATGAAATCATTTGTTTAATAGAAAACTCTTTATTGTCATTACAATAATATGAAAACTTATTCACAACTTAACCATACAGTTTTTTCATGAGTGGTGATAGTGTTCAGTATTTTTAATACAACATTGCACAGACAGCTCTAGTTGATCCTATTGAAAAATAATCTTTAACTATTTTGGATTAAAGTTGTTTTTACATTGATACTGATTTAATTCCTTAACAATAGCATTTGTTAGAACTTTCTACCTGGTATCTTTGTCGTTTGTGTGTGTTTGTGTCTTTTTTTTACTTTGATTCTTTCTGTAACTTTTATGTACCGATGGATAGCTAACGATACGCAGATATTTTTGAAATGATCGGCAGGATAAGTGCCATAGGGATTATACTTTCTTAGAATAATACTTTATTAGATTTAAATAAAATTGATTTACAAAATGTCATAGGGATTTTTAAAGAAAATTTGCAAGTAATTCAAAGAATTAAAATTAAAAATCCAAAAGTTGTATAATTTTGGAGCTAATGTAAAAATGGTTGAAGATTGTCTTTGTTTTGTTACTGGTAGGTATTATGGTTATATTATAACAAGGATGTGCACCAGCAAGAAATAATAAAATATATGACGAAACACATTCTTTTTTAACTAATTTTTAAAGTCACAAATCCCCTTTTACATATAAAAAAGAAAAAATAATAATAATAGCTCCAAAACGAGATACACATTTGCATAAGCGCTTTAGGAGTCGTTTGGTAGCTAATGATTTGTACTAAAACCCTTTAACGGGATCGTGACGTATTTATTACCAATAACCCTGTATATAGATATGATGGGTTTTGATAAGCTGATTCTTATCTATTTTTATTATCTACTTGTATTACATGTCTGTCCTTGGTTGATAAATGTCAACACATATTAAGGACTAGCCTTTTTCCTATCTCTATTCGCCTAGTTCAATTATGTTATGTAATATTTTTAAATATTACAACCTAGATGCTTTACTCTGACATTAAACTATATTACTTTAAAGTTTCATCAAAATCCGTTCAGTAGTTTTTGAATGAAAGAGTAACAAAGATACGTCCATACAATCTCACAAATTTTCGTGTTTATAATATTAGAATGATGGATGAAATTTCAAGTTATTTTCTAATTTTCCAGCAAGCCGAGCTGACGAGAAGCAGCTTCCAACCTCCACCGAACAAATGCGTGAGCGACGTCCCCGAGTGGGCGGGTGCGGAGGCGCCTCCGGGGCGGCGCACCGCGGGCGGCGGCAAGAAGGACGGGCTGCTGCAGAAGGCGACGCGGTGGTGGGTGCGCATGGGCGCGCGCCCGCCGCCCGCCTTCCTGCCCGCCAGCGCGCCGCCGCCCTGCGTGATGGTGCCGCGCCGCGCCGCGCCCTCGCCACCGCCCGACGCGTGACGTCACCGCGCCTCCGCACCTCTCTATCATATCACGCTTACATTCCATTATCGGGACGATCAGACTCGCCGGTCGCCGGAGTGCACGCGTGTCCCGGAGTATTATAGACTTGGTAATTTATTTATTTGGGATGCGCGCGGGAGCGCGGGGAGCGAGACGTGCTTTGTGATATGTGCGACAGGGTCGTGTTGTGACAGTGCGGACCGTTCGGAGTGAGGCGGGACGCCGCCGCGAGTAACTAGTCTTGATACTTTAATCGGTTTAGACGTAGTAATTGTTTCTATTGAAATTTTATGAAACTAGACGAGGTTTCACTGCCCGCTATTTGTGTTATAGGTGTGTATGGCGTTGCATAGAGTGTGCGTCCGTGTTCCTCGCACTGTCTTTGAGTTTTTGAAAACTAAGACTGAAATAAATAAAAAAGATAACACTATAAAGTTTACATTGAATATGTTGTCTTAGATAAAATTAATTCAAATAGAAACAATTAAAGTATAAAATATTTAAAGAATCTTTCGATTGTAACCTTGAATGATATTGTATATTATGAAAAAGGTCAGTCAATAGTATGCTATTAATGTCTTGCAGTGTACAGTTCACATTTAAATAACCTACTTTAATGTTTAATTTCTACCCAGCAGCTAAATCTGTGTTTAAACAACTTTTATATTTATTTAAATATAATGTATAAAGTAATGCATATCAGTACAGTAATCACAAGGAATATTAATTTACAAAGCATAGTTACTATTTTATTGTAAATATTGTCTCTAATTTAATGTTAGATTATGTAATGACAAAACGCCAAAATACGACGGTCATTCGATTGAGTGTTTGCTACATTCCATATTTATGTTGAAATATTTCAATACTTACTTACTGTACTCGCTTCCTTATCTGCTGACGACCCACTCACAACTCACAGTCAAATGTAACATGTCACACTACCATTACATGAGCTACGATTCTGTCATGCCGACAATAATTATATAGTGAGTATTGTTATCAATGCAGATAAATCTCATTAGAGAATAGTCATTGATTAATAAAATTGGTTGAATTAGTTTTAAATTAAGTATGTATTTATTACTTATGTCATAAGGTCAGGTATTAAAAGGCCTCTCGCAGGCTGAATATATTTTGAGATAGTTGTATTCCTATCGGAAATTGTTCCAATTTTCTATTGTAGTCATCTATAAAAGTTATATAGCTGAAATTAGTTAAATTGCTCGCATTTTTTCTACAATAGGCCTGTAATTTAGTCCATGAATTGTAAAAAATTCTAAGCGTAACTAGATAATAGAATTGGCCTGTATCTGAAAAAAATCTGGTGCTTAATGAAATATACACTTAAATGTGAATTTGCTTTATTTCTGTGAAAGTAGTATTTTACCTATTACCAGTAACTGTAGTCCATATTAAACTTTCGTGTACGCTTCTAGAAGTAATAATGGTAAATATCGTCAAAGAAAATTATAAAATAATAGAAAGATACCTGCTTAAATCCATGTAAACTAAATGTTATAGTTTCTATTTTTTTCTTTTCTGGAATTGTGTAAAAAAATGAGTCTGACAAAAAATTATGTACAACATAACTTATATAATGTATTTGTGTCAATTTAAATATATAAATCTAACAAATTAAACTACTTTTACAATTATACATTTTAGGCTGACTGCCTTCATATTTATAATTTAGGTTGACACCATTTTGTCAGACTGGGTTTTCAAAAAAAATACTTTAAAAATTTATTTAGGAACAGTAGAGTATTTGTCTCGCAAAATAAATATTTTCGCTGCTAGTTAAAATAATTAACAGATATTTATTAAAACAGAGACAAATTTCTAAATAATATTCATATAAATTCGTAAGCTTACAAATTCACCGAAATAAGTGATAATGATATAAGTAATTTGTTATTTATTTCATTAGATATTTAAGCAATGAAACTTGTTTATGTCAATTTTGTTGTCTATTTTTATGACTGACACCATTTTAACGTAAAAGAATACTGCTATTGCATGTTGTGAAAAAACTGATTATGAAGTTACGGTTAGCCAACACATAACTGAGACCAGTTGTTTAATTTTTTATAATCAATATTAAATATGGCAACAATTACCAAAATTAAATTTCTATAAAACAACTGATGCGACTATAAAGCTTAGAAGTGCTTATAAATAAACGGTAATTTCATGACATAAACTATAATTTTTAAAGTGTGTGTCTCCAATTTATTGTACCTTACTATTGTAATAGATTTAAATTTTTAGACGTGGTAGTAAAGCTGTCCTTGTACAAAATGCTGGTAAAATATAAAAGTTGTTTAAAATAGTTTCACAGAATAGATATTTAATCTAGATATCAAACAATATTCCATTTGTCATATTAATAAGTAAAAGCAAAAGCAAATTTTTAATAATAAAAAAAATACATTAAATTATGACCTACCAATAATGAACACGTGCTTTTATTTAACCAATCCCTTTGGAATATATTAAAGGTTGAAAAGTTTATGATGACGCAATTGAACAAATTTGTTGGACAAATCGCTATAATTCTCTCACTCTACTAAGATCTAGTTCCGACATGTTTTGAGCGTTAAGAGTAAGAATAAAAGTATCCAACATAAATTATACATATTAGTTTTGTCTGGTACCCTTTTAAGGTAATTAGAAATTGATTTATCAAATTCTATTGTGGAGATAGTTTAAAAGGGAACCAACGGCGGTTTTCAGTTTTACCGTATTAATACCGTTTATAGGCATAATTTACTTATATCTATACATATAATAAAATTCTGAGTCAAATCTGTTCATTAAATATATTTTGGAAAATCTTATTAAAATAGACAATATTATCGATACAGAGCCCGAATACGTAATTTTTAGAATTTTTGTCTGTCTGTCTGTTACCGCATCACAGAAAAACTACTGGACGGATTTTGATGAAATTTGGGATGGTCATGGCTGATTATCCGGGTCAACATATAGGATATTTTTTACCGCGGAAAAACATCTCATTTCTGAGAAAAAATACAAAAACTGTAATTGAGAGTATACTAATATGTAAAACCTAAGAGTTTGCTTTTTGGTCATCTGAACGCGGGCGGAGCCGCGGGCAATGCTAGTTGTTTATACATTCGACAGGAAGGCTGAAATCTGAATATACCCGAATCCAGTATTTTCCACCAACTTATAGGTCATGTCATTGGGTAAAACCGATACATTAAGATTACTAAACAAGAATCAACATTGTCATCTGCGGCTTTGCTCAAGTGTCATATTACATCACATTGTCTTATAGATTACAACCGCGTATCTACATACATCCAATTCATCATCTATACATATAATAAAATTCTAACTGAGTCGAATCTGTAGATTAAATATTGTTCGGAAAATCTCATTGAAATAGGCATTATTATCGATACAGAGGCCGAATCTATAGTTTTTAGAATTTTTGTCTGTCTGTCTGTTACCGCATCACGGAAAAACCACTAGAGGGATTTTGATGAAATTTAGTATGATGGTAACTGGTTATCCGAGTCAACATATAGGATACTTTTTACTGCGGGAAAATGTCTCATTTCGGAGAAAAAATACAAAAACTACAATTTAAGTGTACACTAATATGTAAAAACTAAGAATTTGGTTTTTGGTCATCTGAACGCGGGCGGAGCCGCGGGCAATGCTAGTCCAATATATAATCTGTAAGAGTATTGTTTAATACATATATATAAAAAAAAACAGTCTGATTGTTCTAGCTAATTTCCGAAACGGCAGGACCTATTTTGATGGTTCACTGGCAGATAACTAATGTTATGTAATGTAACTTGGCTACTTTTATTTTAGAAAAAAAATTAGGCTTCCGCTCAAAAAAATTAAGACGTAGCTAGGGACGCACCCAAGCGAAGCGAGTATAAGTCGCTAGTCTAAATCAAAAACGCCTATAAACTTAGATCTTTGAAGCGGCTTAAAGCTCTTAGCTTACTGGTTGGTCGGAAAATTAGCGTTCCATTAATTAATTATTTTTAGAACTATTAAAAAATAAAATTATTTGATTTTTTTACTTTAGTGTCATTTACCGAATATTTTATTGTATAAAATAAACTAGCGGACCCGACAGACGTTGTCCTGTCTACACGTCTTTAATTTGAAAATTTCAAACTTTTTTTAATAATTTTTTGATGAAAATTATTATTCAAATTGTGAATCTAAACCATTCCCAGATCCCCTTGAACACACACAAAAAATTTCATCAAAATCGGTCCAGTCGTTTGAGAGAAGTTCAGTGACATACACACTCACAGAAGAATTATATATATAATAAAGATTAGCGTAAGCGCTCAGCTTTCCTTGCGTAGTTTATCCCTAAACACTGATTGATGGTCAACGCTGGATTTACACTAGGGACACTCGGGGTTAGTGTCTGAGCGGATGGAAGTAAGGCCAAAAAAATGTAATAAGATTTTTTTCCGACACTTCTGCCTATAGTTACATACAGCCGTGTATGAACTTCTACTACACAGCTCTCCCGCGCGCCGAAAGACTCGACGGCTCTCTTCTCTTCGCCTTTTTTAAACTTTTATTTATTATTTTATAGTAAATAAATAATGTTTATTTCTAAAATCAAAAAAGTATTATTAATAAAATAAGATTTATACAATTCTTAATTAACTCAATTATCCCAGATCATTCATGTTTAATTTATCATTATTTATTTTTTATATAATAAATATATTTTATCGTAATTTTTTCAATTGAACTCTTTCAACTTGATATTTTATAATATACTTATTATGTGTAATATAGATTGAGATTACATGCTTTTAGCCTCGACGTTTTATGTAGACGTAGCATCTCTATGTATGTAGTTTGTGAATTATGATTTTTATTTGTCATCTATGATTATGATATAGATACAGACCAATAACAACAGTTTTATGCCATAACTAGCGGCTCACCCTCGCTTCGCTCGGGTTCACCTCTAGAAAAGCACAAACAGATCTATCCCACGGGAACCGTTCATTTTTCCGGGATGAAAAGTAACCTGTTGTTTGACCGGCAATATAAGGTATCAGCATGCCAAATTTTACTAAATTAGGTGCTTAAGTTGTTGTGTACTAAGCTATATAAGTTACAATAGTTTTTAACTATCCCACGAAACTCTTTAATTTTTCGGGATGAAAAGTAGCTGATTTGTTTTTGTCATGTATGAACTATATTATTGTAAAGTTTCATTAAAATCCAATCAGTAGTTTTTGTGTACTAAGCTGTATAAATTGTTATAGTTTTTTAACTATCCCACGGGAACTCTTTAATTTTCCGGGATGAAAAGTATCTAAGATGTTGCACGGGGATATAAGGTACCACCATGCAAAATTTCATTTAAATCGGTCCAATAGAATCGTAGATTAGCCCGTACAAACAGAAAAACAGACAAACAGCTGGCTCGGGTTCGTCCATACCTACGAATATGTTGTATTATCTCTTTAACCATTTGTCCAAATTATATACAGTAAAAGGCAAAAGTCTTTTGTTTTAAATATTTTAGACGATAAATTTACTTATTTTGATAAGAATTCATAATTGTTGATAATATGACCAATAAACATGACCTACCGATTTAATTTATTTTTGTAATATAAAAAAACTACTTTTGTGACTTAAATATAAAAGTTAGACATATGCTGTCGCGGACTTTTTTGTAGGCATTATTAAGCTCTACAACTTTTCTCTAGAACGTAATCATATATCTCTCATCGTTAGGCAGCGTTCGTAAGAAACGTTTTCGTTCGACCGTTTTTTCTCCGACTTACTTTGCAAATCCGACTACCACAAAAAGGCCTTTTCTTTTTTCGGGTTAATATATAGCCTATGACACTCAGAAAGAACGTGGCTTTCTATTGGTAAAAGAATTTTGTAAATCGGTTCAGTAGATCCAGAGATTACCCCCTACAACGTCACAAACTCACAAACTCACAAACCCACAAACTCACAAGATCACAAACTTTACCTCTTTATAATATTAGTATAGATAAATAAGCTATGGGGATATAGACTAAGTTCTTTTTAAATTAAAACATTGTTTTACGAGCTTACATTCCTTGCTTTGTAATATGTATATTTCAAATATCTCTTTATACATTTTTTTTATTTGGAAAAAAATATATTAGTTACTGACAACTTCTTGACTTAGATACTTTAAATTTTACGTGAAATGAAACTAACTATATATATATATAACCTAACTTCCTTAATTTAGTTCAAACTTCAGTCTTCACCGGATAACTTATTTTGTTAAGTTAATTTTACCACATATTGGAATTGTATGTTAGTAGAAAGTTTGAGATACCACAAAAAGCAGCATGCAGATATACGTACAATGGTAAGCTATCTAACAAAAATTTGTTTATACGAGACTAAAACGTAGCTAAACGAATATTTTAAGAATATTTTTAATGAATGATTTAAGTTATATTTTTATTATTGAAGGATAGATGATTAAGTTACGATTTTCTTAAAAAATATTAGAGCTTATACAATATGCTTAAACAATTTCGCTCGAAACAAGATTTCGCTATCGGAAATCGGAATGAATATCTAATTTTTAAACTTTAAAAAATATGTAAACGTAGAAATTTATACAGCCATGTGTTTTGACAATTTATATAAATTCTGAGTCGAATCTTTAACATTACATTAAATATTTTTTGGAAAATCTTATTGAAATAGTCATATTATAAAAACTTCATAAACATACACTTCAATGTCAATGTCTTGTTCAGCAGATGACACTTGACAGATCATGGATCATTTTGGAAATTGTTGTCAAAAATACGCGTTACTCTTTGTCTTTGACTTTTGAAGTTTGATTGTTGTAACTTGTGGAAAGTGGAAACTGAATATTTAACAATTAATTTACGATCATTAGTAATTTTACATACTATTATTAATTGTTTTATCTTTAAAACAACACTTTTAAATATATATTTCAAATAAATCGATAACAAGTGACGACACAACAAACAACGTAAGTACATAATATTCATTATTTGCCTAATAATGTCATGAAAATGTCGAATGTTTTAATAACTTTAAAAGGTTGTGTACGGCAGGAGAGTGAATACAATGGAAGAAGTCATAGAAGTATGTTGAGATCGTAACTCTTGGCACGCTGTTCTCTCTGCCTACCCTTCAAGGGATATATATCTTAAAGCGTGAAGTTGTGTGTGTGATACATAAATAATAATTGAATACTACAAATCTGAGTAAATAATAAAAAAAGGTCTTTTTCAGGTGCATAAAAAGCTATATATGAATGACCTTTTTCAATAATTATGGGTCCACCTAAAAAGTTCAAAAAATATGATTCAAAGGGAGGAACTGATAGATCAGGTATGTAGTTTAATCTATGGGATGATTTAGTGAGATTTATTTAGATAAGATAGGTAGGTATGTTCGATTTTGTTTAGTATAATGTGGGTTAATTATATTTCTATTTTTAAAATACTACTTAACAGGCAAGAAAAAAAAAGTTGAAGAAGATGTCACAATAGATCTTGTAGACGATGACAATGCTGAAAATACAGGAGTACCGGGTGCTGCTATGCAAGATGCTGAGAAAAATGATCAGGTACCAGAGGATGAATTTGGTGCCAAAGACTACAGGTAGCATTCAAATTATTTGACACATATCATTGTAAAGATATCTAGGGGTGCTAATTCCTAGATATCTTTGCTCCCAAGTTATGATTTATTTTTATTTTTCATTATATGTATATACATATAGTTAAAGGCAAATTTTATCACTATTCAATAATTGTGATAATGAAATAATTTATTTATCTGAAGATTAATATTATATGTTGTAGTTAAAATAACTAGCTAAAGAATACTTATTGTTAGTCAAAAATAGTTATTTGGACATGAAAGCAAGTGTATAGGCTAAAATATATAAAATTGATTTGTGGTATCACAGATTTTCATACACAACCGAAAGGCAGCAAACTGATTTCTTCTACTTGAATTTTTTCTGGCTAGCTAGACAAAAACAGTGACAGCTTAGCTAAAACACATGAAATAAATATAGTTTATGGACTGTACTAGAGCACTGTGTGATAACGAAGCTATCTGTTAGTGAAACAATAATTAAAATCTATTCATTAGTTTTCCCAAAATTTTGTTTTCAGAACATTTGCTCAAAACAAGTCTTTGTCACAATTTGATGGATGATTTAGGAATGCATAGATGACAAACATATGTATATAGTAGCATTAATTTTTATTTACATAGATACATTATTAAATTTTACTCTCAGATGTGATTCAAATAGTAATTTATATTATTAACAGAAGTCAAATGGAGCTAAAGCCTGACAATGCCAGCCGACCATTATGGGTAGCTCCTAATGGCCATATTTTCTTGGAAGCTTTCTCGCCAGTTTATAAACATGCACATGATTTCCTCATAGCTATTGCAGAACCTGTTTCAAGGTAAGTTCATACTACTAAGAAATAAAAAAAAAGTATATAATTTAGTTGTACTTATGAAATATTAACATTTTTGTATGTAATATTACAAAAAGTTGGTGACAAGAAATTCTAATCCAATATTATATACTTAGTATTGAAATATTGTAAATTTTTACTGATTTATCAGCAGCAAACCAGACACTATTGTCAAAAATCCCAATGACATTTAAACAGTATATTTATTATGCTATAAGCATAAAATAACAATTAATTTGTGTATACATATTTATTTCATTTTCCACTTTAATTTATATTATAACTTTAATTTCAGACCTCAACATATACATGAATACAAGTTAACTGCATACAGTTTATATGCAGCAGTATCGGTGGGACTGCAAACTAATGATATTGTAGAATACTTGCAAAGGCTCAGCAAGTGTGCGGTGCCAGCAGGAATCATAGAATTTATCCAACTCTGTACTCTATCATATGGAAAAGTAAAACTGGTTCTTAAACATAATAGGTAAGATGTATGACATATGTATGTATTAATTTAAATAATATATCACTTATAGCTAAATCTTTTACCCAGACAAACTACCCACTAAAAGCAATTCTGATATACTTCTATCCTTTACTATTTCCTACCTTTATTATTTCATTATAAAAAAAAGTGAACTAAAAAGATGATAACTAGTTAATGAAGTAGCATAGTATTATGCAGTCATGACATAGGTATGTCTCCAACTTTTAGTTCGCTTTTTACGCAGTCAGGTTTTTTTTAGTTTTTTATTATTATTTATTATTAGCTTTTTAGTATTGGTCAGTTACACATTTTTATTTAATAATTTCTTATCCTAAATTATTATTAAACATATAAGTTGTGCATATTTTATGTAATTGTTGTTGTGTAATTGCCTTTTAAAAACTTGTATTTTGATACCCCATTCGATCAATTCAAACGAATAACTTTTTTTCGTGACACCATTTTTTTAATGATATCTATATACCCTATGACACTCGCGTTATCAAGTCGAATCTGTACGACGTATGAATCATCAAAATCGGTTAAGCCTTTTAGTAATTACAAGGGAACATATAGGATCGGACATACATACAGGTAAACACATAAATATTAAATATTTTGAAATCATAGCCAGACATTTTATTTTTTCATATGTAAAAATTGGTAAGAAAAGCTATTGCTCGTGGTAATGTTTGCATTAATTAGTCGAATTAATTCAGTAGTACTTATTTTAGTGTTAGACCTCAATTTTTTTTAATACTATTATAGATATACAATATAAATATATGTATATTTTTTTTATGTTCCTAATTCTTTTAGGTATTTAGTTGAAAGCAAACATGTAGATGTTCTACAAAAACTACTAAAGGATCCTGTGATACAACAATGCAGATTGAGAAGAGATGGAGATGAAGAGTTACTTGCCTCAGCTTTACCCAATAAGCCAGCCGTTGCTACTGCTAAACCTGGTACTGCAATATTTTGTTTTATTATCTTATACTATAGGCTCACACTCGCTTCGCTCGGGTTCACCTCTAGGAAAACAAAAATAAAACCTTTCCCACGGGAACCGTACATTTTTCCGGGATAAAAAGTAGCCTATATGTTATTATAGACTATTATCTCTTTGCCAAATTTAATCCAGATCCGTTCAGCCGTTCTGGCGTGAAAGAGTAACAAACATACTCACAAACTTTCACATTTAAAATATTTATACAGATATAGTTTGTGTATATAATATTGCGATTTTGCTATATATTATTTGTTGTTATTGCTGAGAAATGGATTACTTTTGATGGGCATTGTAACTTGTAAGTCAACTAACGATATACCTAATAATTACATATTATCTAATATGATCATAAACAATACCGCTTTATTTTTATTTTTAACCATCACTACTAATTATTATAACTAATAATAATATTATACTAATAATATTATTTATAAGTAATAATTATTCTGTAATATCATCTTACAATGGAATTTAGTGAAAAACTTCCTATAAACTCGTAATAAGGTATGTATGCAGTTACATTGGTACAATAGTATTAAAAGGCATCGTCAGATTGCTGCAATATTTTTTCATTTATTTTATGGTTTAGGCATTGACATAGTCAAGGATACTAAGATTACAGCAAATTTTGTTGAAATTAATACATTTTTATTTTTGATCTAATGACTATGACTAAATTGCAGGTGAAGATAAACCAGCAGGCAATGGAGCAGTTCCAGAAGATATCAGTCAGTTCTACCAACAGTTGGACAAAGATGATGACGAAGATGAGGCTACTGACATCACTGCGAAGAACTCGGCTGTTGCTTTTGAAGTTGACCCCGATAAAATAGAGGTTTCTATAATGAATCTATATTAAATATATACATATATATATATATATATATATATATATATATAAATCTATATATATATATATATATATATATATATAAGAAGTATAAGTTCAAAAAGATTCACAAAAATAAGCTTCATTCACAGTTGGAAAACATCGCCTAACTCGCATACAGAAAACCTGGTAGAGGTTAATTTGAGTACCTTCTCCTTTTTTGAATTTATCTACGCGCTTACGAATACACAAAATTAAAAGCATATGTTTGTTGACTCATCCTTTCATGCAGTAACCGATCCACGTGATTTTTGTATTAAAAATTGTTCATGAGCTGGAAAGTCGAGACCACTTATCTCTTCATATATGTATAGGATATCGCTATTTTATAAAAAAAATACTCATATAAACTAATATTATAAAGAGGTAAAGTTTGTGAGTTTGTGACGTTGTAGGGGGTAATCTCTGGATCTACTGAACCGATTTAGATGAAATTTGGCAAGAAGATAGTTTGAAACCATGGAAAGGACATAGGATATTTTTATCCCGGAAATCATCCGGGTGAAAATGGGGATGAAAGTTTGTATTGGGAAGCATGTTAGGGACGAACTCGAGCGAAGCGAGAGTGAGTCGCTAGTATTATATAAATTAAATAATAATAGGTAATACAAAAACGCTGTATCGAACTGGAGTACCCGCTGCTGGCGGAGTACGATTTCCGCAACGACGCCGTGAACCCGGACATCAACATCGACCTCAAGCCCACGGCCGTGCTGCGCCCCTACCAGGAAAAGAGCCTGCGCAAGATGTTCGGCAACGGACGAGCTAGGTACCTATATCCATACCAATATTATGAATGTGAAAGTGAGTTTGTTTGTTTGTCCTTTCACGTCAAAACAGAGTGACGGATTGGCGTAATTTTTGTCTACAAACTGAGCCAAAAATCAAAGTAAATCCTCTAATATATGTTACAAGGTAGTTTTGTTTTAAACGAGCGTGTCGGGCGGCAGGTCGGGCGTGATAGTGCTGCCGTGCGGCGCGGGCAAGTCGCTGGTGGGCGTGACGGCGGTGTGCACGGTGCGCAAGCGCGCGCTCGTGCTCTGCAACTCCGGCGTGTCCGTGGAGCAGTGGAAGCAGCAGTTCAAGTGCTGGTCCACAGCCGACGACAGCATGATATGCCGGTCTGTACTGTGTACCCATTGTATTCTTACATACTAGCGACTCACCCTTCGCCCCTAGGTACGTTTTAATTTTCTTGAGCGGAACCCTAATTCTTTTACTGATAAAAGTAGCCAAGTTACTCGTTACGACATCAACTACCTGCCAGTGAAAGTCCCGTTTACATCGGCCCATTCATTTCGGAGTTAAGCCGGAAAAAACAGACAGATAAAAATTATGAAAATTGTGTTTTTCTTATAAATACCGTATATAATTCCATATACATTTAGTAAAAATCTGTTATTTTGACATTACAAACAGACACTTCTATTTTATTTCTTTGTATAGACTAGGCTGCAGGTATTCAACTCTTTTTAACGTCCCATCACTGGGCACAGCCAACCCTTCAATACAAAAGGTATCAGGCCATAGTCCATTGATTTCGAAAACTTGCTAGGTTCTCTCAAACATGCCGATTTCCTCACGATGTTTTCCTTCACAGTAAGATAAGTGATCATCATGTTGGAAACAATTCACTCATATTATAAATAATAGAGGTGCAAGACCTGGGATTTGAACCCGCTTCACTCGGTTTCCCAAACAAGCGCTTTACCACTGGGGTACCACTGTATCCAAGTCTATATGCATGAGAAATTTTTTAAAGGATTAAGTTGTATATAAATATGTTACTAGCTGACTAGGCGGACGTCGCCCTGTCCGAATAAAAAAAAGTGTAATTGTTCTTTGAATTCAGTTTTTTAATAATTTTCCAATTTTCCAGGCAATTTTACTAACTTTTTTGCTAACCAACGAGCAGCATTTCTATTTTGTTAATATGTTATAATCTTCGATCAACAATACTACTAGATAACGTGTCACATACAAACTCAAACCTAAATTCTGTCCGCGCGAATATTTACTTATACAACTTCATTTGTATACTAATGAACCAAGACAAAGACTTGTAATAGTTTTATTTTCAACCTAATCAACACCACATAGCATCTTGCAACAAAGTCACAAATCTTCAAATTATCATCACACACGATCATTTCGCAAGTTTTATAATCTTTATTGTAAAATCAACCATATATTTAAAAAAAACATAAAGCACACAACAAGCAACTTTTTCCCGTTGTTGCTTTGAGAGCAAATCGTTATGTTTTGTTTCTGTTTTACTTCTTTGAATTTGCGCATGTATTTTTTTTTTTTTTTTAACGTTGGGAAATGCATTTACGCACGACGTGTGGGACTCACCGGCTTAATACAGCCAGTACTACCCACTAAAACCCAACAAAACCTTCCCCCGTCTTAATGGGGCGTCGCAGGATCGCTTACGCATTCAACTACGACGCCCCGACGGCAGGTCTGCCGAAGCAGACCACCACAACCATGGGGTTGCTCCAAGGTCCACTCTGCTATCAGAGAAGTACCAGGAGCAACCCGCAAGGTACACCGCCCCCCAAAGAGGACCACCTCCCACCGCCCACCGAAGTGGGCAACCTCCCTGTGCGTTTCTTAGCTTCGCTACTACTACTGAGCCCCCCCACCACGACAAGGTGAACGCACGTTGGGGGGGGAACGCATGTATTGGCCGACCTGGGCCAACGTTCTTAGCTGATTTAAAATTGTAAAAAAATTCATTTTTATATTATTTCGTAGGTTAAATCTTAAAATATTGACTTAATCCACATGTTTTTACCGAAAATAAGACACTCCGTCTGATCGAGTTATCTAGTAGTATTGTTGATCGAAGTTAATCTGAATATAACGATACAACAGTTTCACATCAGAAGCCAAGGACAAGCCGATGGGCGCGGGCATCCTCATCACCACGTACTCGATGATCACGCACGGGCAGCGGCGCTCGTGGGAGGCGGAGCAGACCATGAAGTGGCTGCAGGCGCAGGAGTGGGGGCTGGTGGTGCTGGACGAGGTGCACACCATCCCCGCCAAGATGTTCCGCCGCGTGCTCACCATCGTGCACTCGCATGCTAAACTCGGTACTCTATTCTGTTATACTTATTATTATATATGTATTTTTTTTTTTTTTTAATATAGAAATAATTAGGTTATAGTTATATACATATACAATACATACATTGGGACATTAAGATATAGCGCCATCTAGTTCCATGATAAGCTACGAGGCTTGTGTTATGGATACCAGATAGTTATCCACTGCACATATATAACTAAATACATACATATTATAAATACAAACACCCATGACTGGAGTACAAACATTCGTGCTCATCACACAAATGAATGCCCCCAGCGGGACTCGAACCCGCGACCGCTGGCACAGCAAGTAGGGTCACGACAAACTGAGCCAAACATGTCATGTTTCGTCGTTTGTATATATGTATATATGTATGTATGTATTTATGCAAGTACACCGCCTACCATTTTTTATACTGATTCCTCTACCATAAGGTTGCCTGGAAGAGATTGTTTCTAGCGATAAGGCCGCCTGCTGTGCATTGTTATATATTTTACTTCTTTATTTATTTCTTGTGTGGTGTACAATGAAGTGTCCATTATTATTATTACTTATCTATTGTTTAAATTTCTATGTTTCCGTTGCGTCTCGAGATGGCAAACAGTAGTGTTTGTGTTAGTTACCTCAGATCATAGTTTATCTGTGTACTAAATATCTCCAAATCTGCCTTAGACATTTCAGCGTGGAGGTACTGAACATACATACAAACTTTAGCCTTTTAGTAGTAAGTAGTCCGTTAATATTCATTTTTGTCCATGGCTTCCCTTACGTTGTTCTTGCATGGAAATAATCTACACAGATATAGGTTACAAATTATTATTTTTTTCAGCTGCTGCAGTGTAAAAAATTAACAAACACACACACGCACGCACGCACGCTCACTCCTTTACATTTTTTCAATTTATAATATAATATAAAGTTATAATGCATATGAAATTATATACGGTACTTATAAGAAAAAAACACAATTGTTAAATTTTTTGTGTATATCTATCTGTCTGTCTGTTTGTCTCGGATAATCTCTGAAACGGCTGGACTGATTCTGACGGGACTTTCACTGGAAGGTAGCTAATGTTATAGCAAGTAACATAGGCTACTTTTATTTAAAAAAAAAAAAAAAAGAATTAGGGTTCCGCTCAAAAAAATTAAAACGTACCTAGGGACGAACCCGAGCGAGGGTGAGTCGGTAGTTTATTATAATAACGATGATTTAATGCTGTTAAACATCGCGTCATTGAACATGGTGCGCCCGCAGGGCTGACGGCGACGCTGCTGCGCGAGGACGACAAGATCGCGGACCTGAACTTCCTGATCGGGCCCAAGCTGTACGAGGCCAACTGGCTGGAGCTGCAGGCGCAGGGCTACATCGCGCGCGTGCAGTGCGCCGAGGTGTGGTGCCCCATGACGCCCGAGTTCTACAGGGAGTACTTGGTCGAGAAGTTAGTCACATTTTATCTACTTGGTTCTCGGGTGCGTCCCTAAGTTAGGTCCAGGTCACACTATCTGTGTACTAAATTTCGATGAATTTCGATTAGTCGTTTTAGCGTGAAGATCCACCTGACTCACGTCTCCCAACAAGTATTCAAAACAGCTATGTATGAATAAAAGAACAGGTACACGGCTATATGTGGTGAACTACTGGTATACGTGGTATACTGGTGTACGTGGCGTGTGCAGTGCTCCGAGGTCTTCCTCGTGACGCCGGAGTGCTATCAGAGAGTTGCTTGCTGTAAAATAATACACATTGTTATGCACATACATTTATATTATTAGAAATAAATTTACTTTAATTGTTGTAAAAATTGAAGGTAAATAGTTCATCTGACTGTTAATCATGGGATTTTTTTACTCTACAGTTATTGTACAGTTTGCTTTAAATATTGTGCTACATGTACACTCTTTGAAATTAAGCCCCCAAAATACTCATTTTTATATAATGTATACAAATAATAAAAGCGATATGCAAATAGCTTGTCATATCTTACAGTTAAATACTAAACCCAAACATTCCAGGATCAACAAAAAGATGTTGCTATACGTAATGAACCCGTCGAAGTTCCGAGCGTGCCAGTACCTGGTGCGCTACCACGAGCGTCGCGGCGACAAGACCATCGTGTTCTCAGACAACGTGTACGCGCTGCGACACTACGCCGTCAAAATGAACAAACCCTACATCTACGGGCCCACGTCGCAAAATGAAAGGATTCAAATACTCCAGAACTTCAAATTCAACCCTAAAGTGAACACCATATTCGTCAGCAAAGTTGCCGACACGAGCTTCGATTTGCCGGAAGCCAATGTGCTGATTCAAATTTCTTCGCACGGTGGTTCTAGGAGGCAAGAGGCTCAGCGTTTAGGTCTGTGAATGATTTGATTTTTGTTATTAATTCTACAAGATAATGTAACCCAAACAAAATTCAATAATAAACTTCATTGAATTTCGTTTGAGTTATGTTCCCAAGTTAACTATGATACCTTAAGAATTAAAACTAAACCGCATCAAATCAAAACAAGTATATTTTATTTATTTAAATAGACTTTTATAAGCACTTTTGAATCGCCAATTTTACATTTTAAATTTAAATTAAATGTCATTACATTACAATGTCGATGATGATGATCGAACTTGAATATTCAAAATATCTTGTTAGTACTCTAAACCTATATGTTTCATAAGTCTTTGTAAATGTATTATATAGCAATACTCTTAACATAGATATAATAGAAAAACAAAATACTAACTTTAATTTTTACTTTTTTTACAGGTCGAATTTTGAGAGCCAAAAAAGGCGCTCTAGCAGAGGAGTATAATGCGTTTTTCTATACGCTTGTTTCTCAAGACACGTTGGAAATGGCGTACAGTCGTAAGAGACAACGGTTTCTTGTTAACCAAGGTTACAGTTATAAGGTAAAGGTCTTACAATTAATTTAAAAAGCCCATCTAAAGAGAAACAATATATTAAATGATACTAAAATTAAAAAAAAATAGTTATATAGGTATTTATTATTAGTCATACAATAAAATATTTTATTTATGTTTTTATGAATCTTAAAATAATATTATGGTTAATCAATTAATATCTCAAATACTACTATTTAATTTATAATTTACAACAGGTAATTACTGAACTCAAAGGCATGGACCAGGAGCCTGACATGTTGTATGGCACGAGGGAGGAGCAAGGCATGCTTTTACAGAGCGTAAGTTACTTTACAATAATATTGACTGGTTTCTTTATACCGTTTACATCACTGCAGCTGCTCACTTAAAACTATACTCGGTAACTTATTTAAAGGGCAATAGACAATCTGCCCCTCAAAGCAAAGTCTATCATTATATTGCATTTTAGGGTGGTTGTCCTACCATAGGTTTACGATGAATAATTATAATTATAAGTAAATTAGTTCTAGAAATATTTAAAAAAAATGATTACTTTAAAAAAATAGGTTTTTATGATTTAATAATGTTTTATTTCCAGGTGCTGGCGGCATCGGAGACGGACTGCGAGGAGGAGCGCGAGGGCGGCGCGGGCGCGGGCGGCGCGCGGCGCGGCGGAGCGCTGGCGTCGCTGGCCGGCGCCGACGACGCGCTCTACATGGAGCACCGCCGCGCCGCGCACCACAACAAGCACCCGCTCTTTAAGAAGTTCCGCTACTGATTGTGACTCGGGTCAGTCACCGACTTCACTACATAGTATAAAACAAAGTCGCTTCCCGCTGTCTGTCTGCCCCTATATATGCTTACATCTTTTAAACTACGCAACAGATTTTGATACGGTAGATAGAGTGATTCAAGAGGAAGGTTTGTATATATAATACACGCATATTAGAGTACGAAAAAGCAGAGAAATTCAAAGATTTGTATTTCATACTAACCGTTAAAACATACCTAGGGACAAACCCGAGCGAAGCGAGGGTGAGTCACTAGTGATATATAATAATAATATGTTGGGACATTAACACGCAGCACCAGCTAGTTCAATGTGTTATGGATACCAGATAGTTGATACACTACACATATTATATAATTTTAAATACATACATATTGTAAATATAAACACCCATTACTGCAGTACAAACATACGTGCTCATCACACAAATAAATGCCCCCAGCGGGACTCGAAACCGCGACCGCTGGCACAACAAGTAGGGTCACTACAAACTGAGCCAAACGTGTCGTCAAAGTATATAGGGTAGTCGACACATACACACACCCACACACATCTATTTGATTTACTTCAGTAACCGAGCACCCGATCTTTAAAAAGTTCCATTACTGACCGAGCATCGGTGAGCGACTTGCTATTGGGTAGATTTAGTGTTAAAAAACATTATTTCACCCCTGAAAAACTAATTAATTTTCAATAAATGCTAGTCGCTTTGAAATCAAAAATAATAAGTCAATTAAGTTGGCGAATCAGTGATGTCACAGGTTGCTATTACTATACACAATCTCTTTCAATTCTTATTTTTATGTAACAACGTTAATAACTTGAATTTTTTTCCAATTGCAGGATTTATATTTTATTACAATACAATACCATATTGGTGCATCGATCACATTTCAAACATTACAATTTAAAAAATAAACGATCTACAGTAAACCATAAACAGAAATCGCTTAACGTACATAGATGAAGAAATTTCTTTATAAAAGAAAAAAAATCAGAAAATTATAAACACAAACAAATAAGTGATTGAAATAAACACCTAAATAAATGAAAGCAATTTGGTTTTATTTTATGATGCCTTAATCCTCAAATATGGATTACAATATTTTTTATTTTTTACTAGAGACTTACCCTTCGCTCGGGTGCGACCGTGGATACGTTTTAATTTTTTTGAGCGTAACCCTAATTCTTTTTCTAAAATAAAAGGAGTCTAAGTTACTCTTTATAACATCAGCTATCTGCCAGTGAAAGTTCGGTGAAAATCAGTCCAGCCGTTTCGAAGATTAGTTGAAACAAACAGACAGACCAAAATTTAAAAAAATGTTTTTCTTATAAGTTCCGTATATAATTTCATATGCATTTAGTAAAAAGCTGTTATTTTAACATTACAAACAGACACTTCAGTTTTATTTATCTATATAAATTAATATAATTTGTAATCATTGCAGCGAAACAAAAACAGAAGGCGGGGTACCAGAATGGGCATTAGTAGAGTTACAAGGTCTAATACAAATGAAAAAAGAAAAACAAAACGGTCCAACTGTGGTCGGGGACCTGCATTATTTCAATAGGAACAAACACCCGGTACTCGTGCTCGGGCACCACGTCCTGAACGGCAAGGAAGTAAAGTTGGAACAACCCATGGCTGTCATGGAAAAGGTCACGGAAGGAGAACACACTGCTTACAAAGTGAAGGCTGTTGTTAAAAAGAAACTTCTATTCAAATCTAGACCCAAACCTATTATATCTAATGTTAATGATAGGGTATAATCAGTGTGCTTAATAAATTGTAAACCTGATGTAATTGTGTTGTCATTTTTAAATTAAGTATGTTTCTCCAATAAAAACCAATTAGATGATGTACTCTTAACAGATTTCGGCCACGGCGGCCAAATTTCCTGAGCCAACTGCGCAGGAGATATTTAGTGCACAAGTGTACGCACAGACACAACGCGCACTCTTAGTCTTTGTCACATTATTATATTCAAGACTGATGGGACGATACTTCGACACCCGCGGTGAGTTAAGGCGCAAGACCGACGTGACACGTGCTCACCGGGGCACGGGGTTGTAACACCGCCAACTACCTAATTCTGGATGCTAGTCTGAATTTCTTAACAGGATTTGTGGCCGTATATGTTAGCCACTAGACCACTGTGCAGTAAAATACAAATGAGTATTTATAAAAAATAATAAATAGAAGAGAAAACGGACTAGATTTCACAAGCATTTTAAGCTAATACTAATAATATTTTTTTAAAAGCGAAATCACACCAGTCTCATTATTTTGAGTACATTTATCGAGAAAATTATAATAACTAGCTTCATTATTCATCAATTCTAGACATTATTGGGTCATAGGTTTTTTTACCACGCCATTTTGTTTTATTTATAGACTAGCGACTCGCCCTCGGTCCGTTCGGTTTCGTCCCTCGTTACGATCTATCGTTTAGATTTCTCAGATATTTTCCCTTAGTAAAAAGTATACCATATGATGAACTTTTTTTTTTTTTTTTTTTTATCGTCGGGAAATGCATTTACGCATACCACCTGATCCCCCAGGTGGTGATGTGGGGCTCACCGGCTAGAAGAGCCGGTACTACCCACTAAAACCCGACATCCCTTCCCCCCGCCTTAGTGGGACGCCGCAGGATCGCTTGCGCATAACTACTACGGCGCCCCGGCGGCAGGTCTGCCTAAACGCTAGGTAAACCACCAAACCAATGGGGCTGCTCCACAGTCAACTCTGCTACGCCAGAGAGGTACCCGGAGCAGCCCCATTAAACCAAACGCCACCCACCGAAGTGGGCCACCTCCAATCGGCTGCAGAGGACAGGGAGAGCGGCAACGAAACACCGACACTCCTCTTCCCCTGCAGCCCCACCGCGTCCGCCATCAAACGGTGGCGGCCCCGTCTAGGCCGCGGAAGGTAGGGAGAACGGCGCACCGAAATACCGGCACTCCTCTCCCGCCGCGGCCTACCCCTCCGCCGGATGCGGGCCTGCGACCACAGTCCCGCAACCGGCACCCATCATCCGGTTGAGGGACCAAGCGGTCCCACCACCGGTGGCCGCAACGTCTTCGGCTCGAGGCCTAGACGAGCGGCCCCACCCAAGCCATTTGGTCCGCGCCGGATTTCTCCGGTACCACCCGCCGCCCTAAGCGGGTGGCATTCCCCTATCCGCCACCTGGGGACGCGCCCGGTAGGAGTTGGCTTCTCCCCCGGGATACCATATGTTGAACTGGATAACCAGCTATCATCATACTAAGTTTCATCAAAATCTTGCCAGTGGTTTTCTCGTGATACGTTTCCAAACAGCAGACAAAAATTCTAAAAACTATAGATTCGGCTTCTATATCGATAATAATAACAACATATTTCAATAAGATTTTTCAAAAATTATTTAATGTATAGATTCGACTCAGAATTTTATAATATGTATAGATAGTTAGGAATTAGGAAGACCAAGGTAATATTTCATTAAATACATAGAAACAGTATACAGGTGGATTTTTGAGACAGGACAGGTACCTTAACTGCTATAGTTACAGGAAAACGTTCCTAGGAGACCATCCATGACCATTTGAAATATTTTGAACTACATTTACAGAATTTGGAAGATGTACAGTCAGCAAAAAAAATGCTAAAATACCAAAAAAAAAATTTTTTAATGCCAACCGATCCTTTTTTTTTTTTTTTTGTTATCGCTGGGGAAACCCATCATGGGGACCCTACCGGCCGTCAATGGGTAGGGTACTGTGAGACTCCTACTCACTAAAACCCACAGCGGAACCCGTCGCCGCAGTGCAATGGGGTGTGCAGGATCGCTTGCGCATTCACTGCAACACCCCTGCGGACGGCCCGTACCCCGCGGGCCTGCCTAGCCTAAATCAGGATGCCCTCGGTTCGCAGGGCATCCCAACCGCCCCGATGACGTGCAGGGGAGTCAACGAGAGACCCCCCCGCAGTAGCTCCTCTAGGGTGGCGGGAGAAGATGCGCGTACCGGCGCCTCCTCTCCCCCAGCCGACGGCGACGAAGAGGGTCTGCTAAGGCGTTAGCCTCGCGTTCCCTCTCCGCCGTCTCCTTCAGTGAGATGACGGCCTCGCTGAAGGAGACCATCGCCGACCAGGACCTCTCGTCGCGTAGCATGGCCCCCACCACGCTTCGCAACGACAGGTCTCCACCCACTACCGCCATCAGGGCATGGCGCTGGGGAGCCCAAGCGGCGCATACCGCGAGGGTGTGGTGCGAGGTGTCCTCGGACGCACCACACTCGTGGCATACGGGCAACGGTTCCCGACGCGCAATTTGACACAGATACTTACCAAAGCACCCGTGCCCGGTAAGCATCTGCGTCAACCTGAACGTCAGGACGCCGTGTGGCCGCCTGACCCAGCGAGACAGGAACGGACGAACCGCCCCCACCGTCGCCCGGCCAGCCGCTGGAGTCCCCAGGTCTTCCCACCAGCGCCGGATCAGTGCCTCGTCAGCTAGGCGCCTGATCCGAGCGACTCCCTCCCGCGCTGGACGTTCCCCTCGCGCCCGCTCACTCGCCCGAAACCGATAGACTTCGGCGAGCACCTCCGCCTGGAGTTCCCAGGGCGGATCGCCCGCCAGAAGTGTCGCCGCCGTGAAGGACACCGTACGGTATCCCCGTATCGCCCTCACCGCCAGGACCCGTTGCGCCTTGCGCAGTTGGGCCCTGTTCTGTGCGGAGAGGGCGTCCATCCAAACGGGGGCACCGTACAGTGCCATGGACCTCACGATGCCGGCATAGAGCCGCCGGCAGTGAGATCCAGGGCCCCCGACATTCGGCAGAAGTCTGCCGAGGGCCGAGGCGGCGCCGATCAGTCTCGGGGTGAGCTGGGCGAAATGGACACGAAACGTCCAGCGTCCGTCCAGGGTCAGGCCCAAGTAGCGCATATGGGCCCGAACCTCCACCATCCTACCCTGGACTCGCAGACAGGCGTTGCGGGGGGCACCCCTGCGTGGGCCATGAAACAGGAGGGCCTCCGTTTTGGAGACGGAGACCCTCAGGCCCAGCATCCCTATCCGGTCGGCGACCAGGTTGGTGCCGACTGTGGCCAAGCGTGCCGCCTCCTCGTAAGAACGCCCCCGGGCTGTGACGAGGGTGTCATCAGCGTAGGCGATGACACCAAGCCCGGGGAGAAGCGGACAACGCAGGAGCCAGTCATAGCCGAGGTTCCACAGTACCGGGCCCAAAACGGCCCCTTGTGGAACCCCGCAGTCGACACGTCGCCGACCGACCACCCCATCTGCCCCCGTCCACACGACCTGTCTGTCGCGGAGGTACGCGTCCAACACCCGCCGGAGATAGAGAGGCACCCCATGGTACCGAAGTGCCTCTCGTAGCGTCTCGAACGGCAGGGTGTTGAAGGCGTTGGCCACATCCAATGAGACGGCTAACAGCACGCCTCCCTCCTCCACCGCGGCCAAGGACCGAACCTTCAGGGCGTTCAGGGCGTCCACGGTCGACCGACCCGCCCTGAACCCGAACTGAGCCTCCGAAAGGCCCGGCCCCACCTCCTCGAGATGCTGAGTAAGACGGGCAACGAGAATTCTCTCGAAGAGCTTGCCCATCTCACTCAGCATCACGATCGGCCTGTATGCCGAAGGGGAGTCCAGAGGACGACCCTCCTTGGGTAACAGGCACAGCATCCCCTCCTTCCAGATCTTCGGGAACTGCCCAACGCGAAGACAAGCGTTGAAGAGGTCCCGAAGATCCCCTCCCAGGTATTCCAGGGCGATGCACAGAACTCGCCCCGGAATACCGTCCGGTCCCGGAGCCGTCCGTTTGGCCCGCAGTTTATCGCGTGCCAATTCCATCTCCCCCTCGGTGATTGGGGGGAATTCCTCCACTCCCACAGAGCGTGTGGGAGGAGCCATCACCGGGGGGACGTGCCCAGACGACTCCGGGAACAACCCTCCGATCAGTCGCAGGAGGACCTCGGGCGGCGTGGTCTCCGTGACCGGGGCGCCATGCGCGCGGAGCTTGTTCCGCGCGCTGATGTAAGGGCGCCCCCATGGATCCCGATCCAGGCCCGCCAGCATTTCCTGGCGGGCCGCCGCCTTGGCCTGGCTGATGGCGAGCTGCAGGGCCTTTTTGGCTGACCTGTAGGCCGCCCGCAGCTCGCTCTCCAAAACCGGGTCCAGGCCATTCCTCCTGCGACACCGGACAAACCTCCGTCTATGCCAATTACAGGTCGCCCGAAGCTGTGCGATTTCGGGCGACCACCAATACACAGACCGGCGACGCCGGTCGATCCGCCTGATCCGCGGCATGGCCGCATTGCACACCCTCGTAAGGGCGTCGCACATGCGGCCAGCCAGCTCCTCAACATTGGAGCTGGCGCCCACCACACTCCCCTGGGAGCACCATGCTTCTACGATGGCCGCCTCCTTGGCCAGCTCAGTATCAAGCCGGCCCAGGGCCCATCTCGGGAACGCTCGAGAGGGCCCCCTTGGGCGGTCCACCGGCACCGGACGGGTGGAGATCTCAAATCGGATATAATTATGATCCGACAGAGTCTCCACCTCCTCCTCTACCCTCCAGTTGATCACCCTGCGTGCGACGGCGGGGGTGGCGAACGTTAGGTCCACCACGGACCCCCCCTGCTGTCGCACGCACGTGAACGCTATCCCCACATTGAGTAGGGACAGACCGGAGAGTAGGGCCCACGTCTGAACGGCTCGCCCTCGAGCGTTCGACGTGGGATTCCCCCAGGCCAAGGACTTGAATGCCAACCGATCCTATTTCATGTAGAGATTAAAAGGCGTAGGACCATTCAAGAAAGGGAAAACGGGACAGCAAGGGCAGGTACCTTATCTTCCTGTCCCGCCTCAAAAATCCATCCTGTATATGAATAGGTATTACTTTCTTTTCACCACCGACTTTTACATTTATTTCGTTTGTTTTATGCAGTTTAAGGATAACTATATTGTAAAAAGGTATATGTACAACAAAAAAAATTAATAAGACATTACTATGAAAGGCACTTTATTTTTCTCAAGAAACAGAAAATAAGTTATTACTATACTTATACATAACTTAATATAATTAAATACTAAATAAATTCTAATCTGATTCGAACAGGAAAAATTCACCTGTTAAATTTTAAAGTAAAGGGCGATTGTACGTTAAAGGAATGAATTGCACTCGCCAAATAGTGTTACATGAAATAAGCACATTTTCAATATCCAAACATTAAAATTCAGCTTTGAACTTTGGTTGATGATATAAATTATACGATAAACTCAAACATCTAAAACAAAGATATAAACAATTTAAAACTACCAACATAACTCAATAATCTATAACTCTAACCTACCAAGAACTTTTGTTATTTTAAATTGCTTTTAACAAATTTAATCACTTGTGAATTTCATAAGCCAAAATAATGCAGTCTTTTTTAAATATAAATGAACATGTCACAAATAACCTTAAAAATATACAATTCAAGAATTATTTACCACGTCAAGGTTAATGCGTTAGCAAAATATATATCAGATTATATTTTATAAATTCAACAAACAACATTTTATCATCGCCATACTTTATGTGAAAAACCTATTGCATGTTTAATTAATACTTAACCAAAGAGTATATAAAATCAGAGGAAAGAGTGTAATTACTTATTAAAATACAGAAGGATAAAATTATAATGATAGCGAAAAGGAGAAATATTTGGTAGAAAAATATTTAAAGTAAATAAGTGAATACAGGCAGTAACAGACGACTAATGTTGTTTAAAAAATTGTTGCCTATAATTTTTTATTTAGGCCATTACACAATATCGATAATCTGATATCACTGATAACTTCCTTCCGTTCTGACTTCAATGACTTGCGTCCATATTTAGGTAATTCATTTTTTTTTGTATAAAATGAGATTAAAACAGAAAATAAAGAGAATATATGTATATTAAACAATTCTAAATGCACCTAACATTTAAAACAAAGTTATGTATGATAACTCGCCGCGCCCACGCCACGTGACCACTCAGCCGGCGCGACCGGCGTCCGCACACTGCACACTCTCGGGAAATCAATTACAGTCACTTATTAAACCTTAATCCCCACCTTACTCCGAAACACTTACATAGCTCGTAAATTCATTAATCAATATCTAACATTCAATATTGCAATCTGCCGTATAATTTCATTATTTACATTGTTATATTAATTACTAAAACATTTATCAAAACGTTCACATTCAATCAAATGGGTGTGACGATGTAGATGACAGAAAGGAGATTAGAGAAAATAGTAAGTATAATGTATAGTTTAAGCGAGCTCAGGCGGCATCGAGAGAGGACCTGAGCAGTTCCTGGCCCTCCACGGAGGTCCAGTACCGCACGAGGAGGTCGCGCTCGGCCTCGAGGCACGACAGGAATGTTTGCTCGGCTTCACTGTTCTGCTTCAGACTCAGAAGCTTCTTCTTCAATAAAATAATCTGAAATTAAACGAATTATATATATATTTTAAATAATAGTTTTTAACGTTACGAAATATAAATATTCTCATTTCTGAAATTTTCAAGTAAGCTTGATAGATATAAGTGATAAATTCAATCCTTACTCTAACAACAAACGATGTACAGATATCTTATCTATACAGGTCGTGACCCATTAAAACATCATCTTTAAAAGACCAGTCAACTGTCAATGTAAACGTACCAAGTTTATCACTAATGGACACATTTAGTTTAATTTTTATCATAGCTTTATTTACTGAGGTAAAGGGAAATGTGGAAAATGAAGAACCTATTCTATATTACTATGGACTAGTAAGTATATGATATATGTCCGTCAGTAGATAAGCTTTGTCATAATGTTAGAGTGAGTAAATAACTTTTATCAGTTTAATAATTAAATTTACAGTTCATATATGTATATCAAGTGCATTCGGTCTGACTTTATATTCTAAATGCTAGAATTTGATTCCAACAAAGATATTAAGAACATAACTGTATTTTTTCGATATATAAAAAACTAAATTATATGAATAATTAATTTTAAATAAAACTATGTTTTCAAATTATTTCCCGGATTTATTTTAATTTTTGGTTCCCGACGTTTCGAATGCTTTACACTTTACAGCAATCATGGTCACGGGAGAGACTAAGGTTTTAGACGTCTCAAAGGCGTTATAATATACTTGTTACGGACAGTGCCTACCCAAATAAAAAAAAATGAAAAATCAAAATAAATCCGCGAAATAATCCGTAAGTATGATTTTATTTAAAAAGTCAAATATTCGCGTAAGTCTAAGAAAGAATAATTAATTGTTAACATTTAATTTAATCGTAGAGAACGAGGAAGGATGAAAGTTTTATAAAAAAAATGTGTTGGCAATATTTATTATTTAGTATGTAATAAAGGCTAAATCTACAGTTTTAGACTTTTAGCTGGTCATTTTGTGTCCCTCGCAGAAATAATTGAGAAATAGTCAAAATCAAAAATAGTTTACTTTCATTTCAATTGGTTGTTGACATCCAATAATACAGAAGCTTATTTTACCCACTCCACACAAAGCGGTGGTCATGTTTAGTTTTGAAACCTGCTAAGTGATTGAGCAACATAAGATCCACAGACAGGGCAACAAGCAGAACCATTTAATGAATAAATGGCTTCAAGTGCCCTTCGAGGCACGTGAGTGAAACACTGCCAACGCAACTTCGAACTTTTACTGAGAATTCATTGGACAGAAAAACTCAGTAACTTAATTTGTTTCGACCCGGGACTCGAACCTAAGACCTCGCGATTTGTAGCCGTACATGCTTGCAACTAGACTACCGATGCACTTGACCCCACGTGTCCCTGCCATATCTAATGGCAGATCAACACGCTTGCCATTTGCCACAAATTTCAAACTTTTACAAACGCTTGGCTGAACTTGAACAGACTATCGATATCCACACAATTGCTAGTGCGCTTGTTTGATTCCGAGAATCAAGCATCGGTGGACGTCAACATTGAATCGAATATTATGTTCGGTTTATCTTATTTCTATTATAAAAAGAAACATCGAGAAAAATGAGAGGAAACGGTAAATTCAACAAAGAAGATGTTTGATGTTAAAAATTTATAGAATTGAAATATTTTCGGACTAGATTCATATAAAATAAGTAAGTATGCATAAATGAGGAAGTGCATCACGAGGGCTTCTCACAAAAATCAAATCAATTTCTTTGTTTCGTGCACAAAAACCGACACTCTATTTTAACAGCCACAAAGTGCTTGCATACCTTCAAGGCAAACGCTCTCTCCACGTGTTTGAATTTGTTGACTCTTTTAGCTCACCGAGGCTCGGTAAGCGTGTGGAGCCGGCCTAAGGCTGGGTTCACACGGCATTGTCCTGCACGTTTTTTTAGTATTCGATTTTGAACGTACTATCAGCCGTGTGCACGCACAGGAGGAGAGCGAGCGCAGCCTGCCCTGGTGCGGCGCGCGGCAGGCGTGCGCGGCGCTGGCGCGGCGCTACTGGCGCGCGCCCGCGCTCTTGCGCCTGTGCCGCTGCGCGCGCCGCCGACGCTGCGACGCGCGCGCGCCCGCCACTCGCCTCGTCGACCTCAATAACCGCGCGCACTTACAAGTACCTATACACTATATACACCCCCTACACCCTTACACGCTTCTTATATATAAAATCAAATTAAATAAATGAAATATTAAAATTATGAAAACTTCCTTAATTGACGTCATAGATTTTCTCGGCTTCAGTGTAATATATATCTTGTACAATCAATGCTGTAGTATTACGAGTACTATGAATTATTATATATTTAACTTGATATAACGACATTAATCTTGACCAAAAATGTTCAATGAGGGTATGAAACTAAATCTCATAAGTTTTGAAAATCAATATTTCATCTTCATATTCATTTCAATATTCAATTAAATTTTTGTGTTACATTCCAGTTTTGCGAGCCCGTGACCGATTGGCCAGAATGTGCATATAACGAATCACCGCTCACCGTTGAAACATTGTATGAACGGATGAACCCAGATGAGTTGGAAGAACAGCACCACCAGGGCAAGCATTTATACCCGCCAAAGATAGTTCTAACTTGTCGTTGCCGGAACCCTAACTATTGGAAATTGAATGAAGAGAGCGATACGAGGCTCGTGTACCAGTGTGCGTCTCTGCCTGTGTGCAAGAGCGGGGACTACTGTGGTAATGTGGACAGCGATCTATTAGCGCTATACCAGTCATGTCAATGTCCACGCGGCCATATGTGCGTGCATAGTGGCGGTGTACCGCGGTTGGACATATCCGAGCTATTGTACCGAGGCAAAGGCTGGAGAGCGTACTGCCAGCCCATCAGTGACGATTATATTTATGAGGATTATTAATCATAATAAAATTAAAAACTCTATCAACTTGAATAAATCATTTTATGAATATTTAGTGAAGTAATTGCTTCTACTTCACACATCATAATTTCAATTTTCAGAGCAAAAATTTCAATAGTAAGAAATTTGTAAAAAAATAGAAAGTAAACCTGCTATCATATAAAAAGTAATCTAAGTCACCATTAAAGTCCATATATTGTCTGTATTGTTAACAATCTTAATTTATTGTTGTGTAGAACAACAAAACAGCAAATGTATTTACATTCATTTTTTTTATGGGGTTCAGTGACAAACGAGCAGACAGACCACCTGATGGAAAGCGGTACCTGTCGCCCATAACACCTACGGTTCGTGCGCTTAGGTTTTATGTTACAAAAATGCAGAACCGCAGGTGCGTTGTCACTGTGAGGACTAAGATCATATGCCTCTTGCCAGTAATTGCGCTGGCTATATTATCCTTCAAACTGGAACACAACAATGTAATCATTGTTGCTTGGCGGAAGAAATAGGTAAGGGGGTGGTACCCATCCAGTCAGACTCCTCAGGCTTCACAGAGTCCTACTACCGGTGGAAAATACATAGTATTAATAAGAAAAGATGCCGTCCATGACCGCACCACTGTCAAATATGGTCACATCTATGGTCTACCCATGATATATGGATTTATTTTTCAAACGCTTTTATTAGCTGTATTTGTAAATAACCATCTACATATCATGTAATTAAACCTTGCAAGTCGATTTTTAAGAAATCGATGGGAAACTTTGTAAGTACATAATACTTTATTTACGCGATGTTTTTGGATATTTTTGCAGATTTTAGGGCAAACGTCGAGAATTAAAAATTAAAATGAATTCGTGAAAACGGGTTTTATTTAAAATGTTTGTAGATACATATTTGATATTACCATAATTTAATACAATCGAGCCGATCTGATTATGGAGCTAGGAAGTGGTCAGTTGAATTATATGACAACTGATACAACCTCAGTATTTAAAACATTACAGTTTATGTAAAATCTAGATCATATAATTTATACAATATACTCACTTGTGCCGGCTGAGAGGCGATGTCCCTTGCAATGCTAGCGACCTGGTCGTCGAAGCGGTCGGGCCACAGCACGCGGCTCACCAGCCCGCCCGACAGCGCCTCCGCCGCCGACAGCCGCCGACCGAACACCACTAGGTCGTTCACCTGGAATATGCAATATATTACGTTAATATCACTAGTTCAAAATCAATGTCAACTTAAATATTTAATAATATAATCAGCTCTTTTAACACCTTACTCTCGGACTTCATACAAACGCGAATCTATAGTTACTACTACATAAGACTTCTCCTTAATGCGAGGGGATTAGGCCTTAGGCCATCACACTGACAAATGGCAGTTCGGCAGGATATCAAATTATTTTAGCAACATCCAGATTTCACATACAAAGTTTGAAAGGTATACAATATTACAAGACACAGGTGAAGGCTTGAAACTAATAACAATGAGTAGTAATCATAAAAAGTTATAAAACAATAATATTTTGTTTAAAAAAAAACTAAAAAACTATCGTAGCAAAATTAAAGAAATAAAACAAACAAAGTATCATACCAACGCCTGTGGCAGCGCCCTGCAGCGCGCGGTAAGCGCCGCGGCGCCGGGCAGGGGCGGCGCGCCGGCGGCCGCCAGCGAGAAGGTGGCGCCCTCACACGCCAGCGCCACGTCGCTGAGCGCCACCAGCGCCAGCGCCACGCCCGCGCACGCGCCCCACGCCCCCACGCACACCAGCTTGCTGTGCCGTACAACTGCGCTCAGCAGCGATCTGGAATTTAATAAGTTTATATGTAGTTAAAAAACTAATAATATTCTTTCAACTTTACTAGTAGCCACTAAAGAGTTCAACTATTGTCATCCGAAGTACATATACATACATACAAAGCTTCATTTTGATACGAAAATTAGAAGTGGGTTAAAATTGACTTCCAAGATTTGTAAAAATTGTTAGTTACAAGCAAAGCTATTATAAAAGCGTTTTAAAAACAAAAGGAATTTATTATTGAGCTAAGCTTATTATTCCCTCACATAAAACTTTGCAGATGTTATGCAATTTTTTTTGTTGGATCTCACATAGAATTGTATTGCAATATTATTAACTAGTAATGTTATTTATAACACTTTAAAAGTAATATAATAAAAAACAAAAACAAAAAAAATTAGTTAACAAAGGTGGCCTTATCTCTGAAAGAGATCTCTTCCAGTCAAACCGTGGATGTGGAAGAAGATATCAGCGGGCAATAATAGTGTAAGAAATAAATATACAAAAAATAATAATCATATACCATACATTACTAATCATACTATACAGATATATTACTTATACAACTAATATTATTTTTAAAAGAACAACTGTGGATTTTCTCTCCTGCCCTTCTTTGGTAAGAAGTTCTGGTGAACTGTCTTTCAAACCGCTAGCCTCACGGACTCAAAATTAATTTATAAAAATTAAAAAAAATTTATTGATTTGCTTATTTATCTATGTGAATAAAAAGTTTCATTTTATGTTTAAGATCAATGAACCCTAAATACTTTATTTTTTTAACCTATTTACTACATTACATATGGCTGTAGATCTAGAGATCCAAGTCCCAAGTTAGGCCATTTTTATTTATTGAATTTCTCTATAAAGAAATTCTTAGTAGCAGCCCTGAGTGGAGAAGTTGGCGGTATTATATCCCCGCGCCACAAAGAGCCCTTAACTGTCGATCCTGTCCAATGTCCATTCTCCACTGTCCGATCCTGTCCACTCTCACCGGTCGTGCCAAAGTATCACAACGGACTTATTGGAAGAGTGCACTTGTGTTTACGTGCATACTTATGCACTATATTTCCTGTAGTCTCAAGTGGTCCCGGGGTAGAATATGGTCAAGAGAACATTATGAAGTTTAAGAACACATACATGAATATTTTTGCATAAAAATATGCTTCTTCAAATTATTACACATTCGCCTATGTATTTTCAGACTGATACAAATATTACCAACATATTTAAAAAAAAACAGACAATGGCAAAAACAGCTAAGTTAACTAGGCGTTAAAAAAGTTCTGATACTTGCTATAGTTAGTGTATAACATATAAAATCTTACCTGACTGATTCGGCAAGCTCATAAGCATAATTGGTCCTTATTACTTTATTTTCATCTAATAATAAACTCAAGTCTAAGCTTGAACATAGAGTTCCACATTGAGATGTAAAAAGAGTTATTGATATGTCTTGAATGCTGTCTATGTAATTAAGGGCTTCCTGTAATTCCTTTAGAACCTAAAATTTGAATATTACACGTTATTTATAATATTTTAATGATCATATTTAGTCCCTCTTTAGAGTCCCACTGTTTAGTGACACCTCTTTCGTCAATTTAATATTATTATATATTATGTGAATGAATTATATAAAACAACTTACTTCTACACAAATTTTTAAACCAGTTTTTTGTATGCATATTATAGCTAGTCGTTTATTCACATTAACGGATATAAATTTAAATTGATCATCTTTCATTTGCACAGATGTATTGATGTTCTCCTGATCCCCTGGTTTAAGCAATTTCTTGTGCTTGGCTGGTTTATCTATTTTAGATGATTCTCGTTTTCTTTTATTAAGAGCAAGAGATAGCTTTGAATTCAGTTTTTCTTTTATAGATAAACAATCATCTTTATTTATAATATCACTGGATGTGTTTGTTAGTTCAGTTTTAAACACATCTTTTGCAGAATGTTCTACATCTTCAACTATGTCTGTAGACCTGGACTCATTATGATTGTCTGAAGAAATACGCTGATTGGATGGTTTGGTGACATTTTGCGCATATCCAGATTCTACATCACTTAAGCGTCTTGGGCTCATGCAGCTGCTTGAGTAGGAGCTTGATGAGTGACGTCTATAGATAATAGAATCATCAGCACTATGAGTTTCAAAATCTTCACATACTGATGGGGATTTAACAGAACTGCTTAGAGAATTTCGTTGTTTACCACTTAGAATTTTTTTGGCTTCACCATCTTCATATTTGATAGATTCCTTTTTTCTTTCTCGAAACTTCATTTCTTTACCTTCTGGAGTAGAACTTTGTAGTTTTTTAATAAATTCAGCTTTGGTTTTCATATTTTTTTTACCTTTAGTGGCTTCAGGAGTGAGTTGATATATCATATTAACTGCACCTTCATCCATTAGTAGCTTATCAACTTCTGTCAGTCTTTTATTTTGTTTATTATTTTTAGGTGTTGGTTTCTTCCATTGTAGCTTAGATAGTGGTGACTTGGATTTTGATCTCTGCGAGACTTGTTCAGGTTTTATTTTCTTTGAGGGTGTTTGTTCTTTATTTATTAAATTTTCTTTTGTCTTAGTTATAGTTTTACCTTTTGTAAATGTATCTGGGTTATCTGGATCAAATATCACTTTTTTCTTGATAACTCTACCTAACCGTCGAGGAGCCCCCTCATCTCCGCTTTTGTTTGCCTTTTGTAAGTGTTCTTCACTTAATGTAGAATCAACAGATGTCCTTTCGCCTGGTTCTGCATTCAATGAATTTTCTTGCATCTCCTTAAGATTTTCAGAATCCTTAAGTTCATGGTCGCACTCCTCAATGCTTTGATCACACTTATTATCACCAGGTTCATCATCCTCCCAATCCATAACAAGTTTATTAACTATACTATCTGACTGTTCTTTCTGTAGCTTACTATCAGAAGTAGTTTCTTGTTTACTGCCTGATTCTGTCTTGCTTTCAGAAATAGAACCCTCCTTGCTTTCAGAATTAGATTCCTGCTTATTGCTATTTAATAATTTATTTTCAGAAATACCATGAGACTCACATTTTGATAAATCTGCATTAGCATTATTTTTTTTATCATTCTTTTTTCCTTTAGGTGTGGGGTTCTTTTTTTTCTTTGTACTCTTTAACCTAGATAGTTGTTGTAAAGCAATTTCAGCTTTAGTTTGAGAAACCTTCGATATTTCAATAACTTGCTCTACTGAGTGCTCGTTATCGTCATTACCTTCTAAAATATCTAACAATTCCTCTTTATTAAAAACCTCCTGCTTTACAGTACTGTTATTGTTTTCTGAAACATCCGATGCACGAAGTACTTCACTTAGTTCGATATTTTGGCCCAATTCACTCAAAATATTATTAGAATCATTTATTTGCTCTTCAATAACTAAACTTTCATGGCAATCATTATCATTTTTCTCAACAACGATTTCAGTTTCAAATGTAACTTGTTCAATAGACATTGCAGATTCTATAGTTTCGATACTGTCAATTTCAACAGTTTCAGTTATAATTTCATGTTCATTAACAACTTCTTTTTCAATTTCGACAACATTACTCGATATTTCAATAGATTCAGTTTCTTGGACTTCCTGTTCAATGCCTTTCGTTTCATTTTCAAGTTTACCATCCTTTATTACTTCTGAATCAACAGAAACCACACATTCTTCAACGACATTAGTTTCGTTATTCTCAGGTAGTATCTCAATAATATCGGGTTTGTCGCATATAATTTCATTTACGTTACTTGCGGCGACGTCATCATTAGCTTCAGAATGTCCACTTTCAGTATTTTGGTCACAATCGACACCATTAGATTTGTGGCACACTGGGGGCTCCAGTGTTTCTACGTTTGCACCCTCTATAACATTAGGTTTTACTATATCAATATTTGAACTAATAACTGGATGTTCTTCAACTGCTTCCATTATATATTATAACGAAATAATTTGTCTACACTTAATTTTAAGTATAACCTAATATGTTGATAAATAAATCAAATAAACGCAATTACACTTGACACTAGTTTCCTTACATTATTTTTAAGTACATATTTAAAAAGTTTCACAAAAATCAATAATTTTATAGACACAAGAAGAAATAATATTAAAACGTTAGAATAACGCGATCTCTATTAATTTTCTATTTATCAAGCGTCGGTCCATTTGATTTCCAAGAGAGTTAAAGGGGTCGCCATATGTACGTGGATTAATAGAGAATACGAATAGTTAAATCTACTGATGAGCAAAAAAAGTTGCCCTTAAGACGCAGAGTTTTATTTATTTTATAATAAAATTGAACAAAATACATATAATTTTTACTAAATTAATATTTAGAGAATATTCAGCTATTTTTTTAAATAATCTAAAAAACCAAAAAAAATATATTTAATGTTGGTAATTATTTATCATATTATTAATTTTTTAGGACCTAGTAGGTACCATAGACAATAATAATAAATGTGATCACATAAAAGGGACAAAGAGGATTAACCACTCCAGCTTACTAGTATAGTCAGGGCTCGGAACCGATTTATTTCGGAAATGTAATGGTTAATTTATCGCTCGTTCTTTAACCGGATAATGAACACGAACGGTTTATTAAGCCGAAATAATAATGGTTAACTGTTATTCTAAGAGAAATGTTGGATTTTGGTTTTGATACCGAAATAAACCGGTTAATTCAATCATAAGTAAGAAACATGCATGCATCCTTTTACTCAGCCATTCATTATTAGCAAAGACGTGCCAAGTCTAAACAACACAACACAAAAACCCATTTTAACCGGTAAATTTTGTTCATAGAAACTAAATTCGTCAAAAAACGTTCCTCCGGATTTCACGGATTAAAGAACGTAACGGAAACTTTAAACCGAAAGCCGTTTGGGATCAATAACCAAAACCAGTTTAAAAATTGACTGAGTATAGTATCATATGATCTGTGGTCCAGTCAATATAAAAAAGATGGCAAAATCTACTTAAAATAAAATGATTTCCGCGATATTGCCCTTTGATAAAGAGACATTTTCTAAGCCTAAATCAAATTTGAGGCGTTGCCCAAGAGGAAGAAAGGAAGGAAAGAAGTCGTGAAAAACGTGCTTTATTCAATATCTCCTTAATAACCCGAGGAGAACAGGAGAAGGCTGTGTTAAGAGTTTACTTGATAGATTTAATGAGAAATGAAGAAATACGTAAAATATACCAAGACTACTTGCCCGCTTAATAACCAATATGATTTGGCAGGGGACGCATGTGACTTGTAGAACAAAGAAGAATTGAAAGGATATCTATTGGCGGTACCGAAAATAAGGGGCTACCATTAGCCTTCCATAATATCATCAACCGTCGCCAGCTGACGTCATGAAGTCGCAGAAATTTACTGGATGCAAACGGTGCAAGAGAGGTTAGAATAAAAACTGTGGGAAGGCCTAGGTAAACAGCAATGCATTCCGTTTTTCCTGTTATAAAATAAACAATTTGAAACAATACAATGACATATTATTATAGTATAGAAAATGTTTCTTATAAACTCATGTAAGAAAATGTAATAGATTATTCGTACCTACTATTGTCTATGGATTTCTCAACTGAAATTGGCAGATGTCAGTTGTCACTTGTCAGAAAAGATTAAGTTCAAAACAGAGAACAATATTTTGATTTTATATTAAAATTTAAAAGCAAGAATATAAATTATGAATATTTTGCCTAAGAAACGGTATAGTTTATTTAACGATTATGTTGTTATAAAAAATCTGTTATATGAAAATTCTGATATATATACATATAATGAAAAATATTTTTCAGATGGCATGTTAGAACTAAAGAAAATATCGCTAGAGTACGAAAAGATGAGGCAGAAGCTGCCGAAAAAGACAGGCAGGAAAAATTAAGAATTGCAAATGCAGAACGTGAAGCTCGCCTCAATACTTTAAAACAAAAGAGCAAACAAAAGTTGATACAGCTTGATATACAACCACAAAATTCTGTACAATATCAAGAACCACAAGAACACATTAATTTGTTTTCAGATATCGATAATGCTGTTCAAACTACTAACAAGGAGCATGACAGAGAAATTAAAGAAAAAAGAGAAGATTATGAAAAAAAGATTGGGTATTTAACATATCTTGGTCAAGATACTAATGAAACACTAGGTAAAAAGAATTGGTATGAGCTACCTCCCGAATCAACACGTTTTTCACGTCCGTCATATGTAAAAGATACATATGATAAACTTGTACTTAAAGATGAAGATGGTAAGCCAAAGAAAATGGAGTTGGATGAAAAAGATGGAGAAATTGGCTGGAAATCTAAACAACGTATAGATCCCTTAAATTCATTTAAAAAATATTGCAATGATAAAAAATATCCAACTCAAAAATATGCAGGCAACATAAAAGATAATCTAAAAAATACTAATAAGAAAAAGGAAAGTAATAACAGATATTCTAATAAAGAAAAGACAAATAATAAAGATGACTCAGCAGCAAAACTACAAAAATTAAGGGAAGCTAGACTAAAGCGTGAGCAGCAAGAAAAGTATAGGACAGAAATGTTTTTATCTAAATTAAGTGGAGAGGTACCTGAAAATGAAGAAACTGACAAGATAAAAAAAGTCAAACCCAAATATAACTCTCAATTTAACCCTGAATTGGCTAGACAAAACTATCAGTAAATAAATCTATACATATAAAATTGTAACTAAACTGAATCTGTACATTAATTTTTTTTTTAGAAAATCTTATTGAAATAGACATTATCGATATAGAGGCCGAATCTATAGTTTTTAGAATTTTTGTCTGTCTGTCTGTTACCGCATAACGGAAAAACCACAGGAAGGGATTTTCATGAAATTTGGTATGGTGATAGCTAGTTATCTGGGTCAACATATAAAATACTTTACTGAGGGAATATGTCTCATTTCTGAGAAAAAATACAAAAACTGCAATGTAAGAATATACTATGTAAAACCTAAGAATTTGGTTTATGGTCATCTGAACGCGTTCGGAGCCACGGGCAATGCTAGTACATAATATATAAGATGTAAGCAGTAGTATAGTATTTTACAGTGCTGCCAAATTAATTCAATTTTCAAAGAACATGTAAGAGCATTCATACCAGACTGCCAATCTCAATCTAAAGACCATTATTTTAGAAACCAAGAATTCTTTCTGCTATATCAAGTATTTTATAATTAATATACAATCTGAATTGTTATATAAAGCAAAAATAATCTATACAAATAAATAAATTTGAAGTTATTTATGTTATAAGAATTTACTATAACATGTATCATTGTATTCAGCCCTTTTTAAGGTCCTACTTCTGGGAAAGGGCCTCCCTTCAATACAAGGGGGATCAGGTCATAGTCCACCACACTGGCCAAGTGTGGGTTGGCAGACTTCACATGTCTTTCAAAAACTTGCAAGGTTCTCTCACATATACAGGTTTCCTCACGATTTTCCTTCACTGTAAGGTAAGTGGTAATCATGTTAGAAATGATTCGCACATGAAAATGTAAGAGGTGCGAGTCCCGAGATTTGAACCCTCTCACCTGGTTTCTCAAGTGAGTGCGTTACCACGGTGCTACCACTGCCTTTAAGATACATTATAGTTAACATTATATTATTATTGTACCTATTTATATTTTCTAGTGTTTTCTGCCAATGTCACATCATAATTAAGATAATTTCAATGATTTATGAACTCTATTTAATAGTTGGTCAGCAACTGAAACTTATTAAATAATAAAAATGTTGAATATTTTTATAAAAAATAAAATGAAAAGCCACACATAATATATTAATAATTTATTTCTTTGTATGTAAATGGAATGTACAATAATATAATTAAATAAGTTAAAATTTAATTATTAAGAATTAACTAAAAAAATTATAGAATAGCAGTAATCATGATAATTTAGATTTTTATCTCCAATTTTTTTTTATACAAAACAGTTTGAACATAAATATTTATTAAAATTATGTATCACACGTAAAGCTATCAAGGCAAATAACATTTTCAATCAGTGTACCATTGAACATAGGTACTCAACAAAAATAAAATCACTTTTGTGGAGCTTGAGTCAAAAGTACTAATGGCAATTTGTCTTCTAATTTATTAAATGAGTAATTGAATGTTTCACAGAACAGTTGCAAAATCCGTATAATGAGTAGACACTCATTGATTGATTCTGCTGCTTTTAGTCTGTAAAGATACATTTTTTTTTAAATGGTATGGCATATAAAATGTATATAATGGGTTTACAAAAATGATTTAAGGGAAGATTATTTATTTCTTTAATAATATTTAATAAGTCTATTTGTGAAAAAAGAATATATTATGTGTTAATATCATTATTTTTTGATATACTAACTTTTAAGTTTATACTAAGGATGCGAAATTAGTGTGCAAATAAAGCAATGAATTCTATTTGCATGAGTTATATTCATTGTTCATATAAGTTTCTATAGACTTGTGTATACTCACTTTGTCAAAGTCACAAACTTTGCATATTTACATAAGAAATTAACGAAAATTTCCATACTCTCTGTCTTTGATTGCTGTAACAATGTATAAATTCCTACTAGCATGGGGTAGCCATCAGTGTTTTCTCCTGGTTTCTTGGTAATTAAATCGCCTGAGAAAAAACATAATAAAACAATTTTATGAATAATAAGTTCATCTCATAAAATAACCAACCTACAACAAGGAATAAAAGTCTAAAATATACAGACAGTATCTAATAAAAACTCTTAAAAACCATTTAAGAAAGTTGTTTGAAACATGATTTCATCAATATTGATAAATACATATAATCGATTAGACTTATACCATCCAGCTTAGCTCCTATATGTGCTAAAGCAAATCTTTCTGGAGAAATGCAGGTCATAAAAGCAAAGACTGCATTCGAAATCGTTTATTAGTCTTCGAAATAACACGTACAGATACCGTACCGACTACCGATAGATGCTCGCAGGCGTTTGTTTAATATGATAATAATAATATATTTATTGCAAAGGTGTTATAATAACAAAACAATATAATTAAACACATCAAAGGAAGAGCGGATGTTGTCGACGACGCTTAATCATTTTCTAATTGCTTCTACAATGGGACAAGACTGGAGTATGCAGTATAGTAATTGATATGCCAGTGAAGAAATAAAAATAAATAAGGAGAACAATTAAAAGATTAAGACTTAGTAAAGACATAGTGGATTTAGCATCTTATTTTTAAAAGGAATAAAAGGCTAAAAAAATAATAATAAAATTAAGGTTGTTTCAATCAGAAATATATATTGACTCGACGGAAATAGACAATTCAATACGTTTTAATTACATTTTCAGCAAGTCAGTTATAATTTTTTTTTCTTAAAAGACTTGTCTTAAAGAAAGATGAAATTTGTGAAAAGAAAATTATAATGAAACCAAGTAAAGGTCTAAAGACGAAAAAATATTCTCACCAGTGCTTAAACAAATCTGTAGTTTAGTCAACTGTGAGATCAGGACTATCGCCATCAAACGCCCCATATCCGCGCTAACAAGTTCTTGTGCATTCTTAACATATATCTTTTCAAACGGCTCACTCACTCCGCACCGCACCAAGTACTCCTCGAGACTTCTCATCAGTGCCACTGGAATCTTATACATTTCAGACTTCCTGTCCTTCTTTATTTCATTTAATAATGATCTGTAAACATAAAAAAATATATAAGAATAAAAAATGTATGTACATATTTGTACAATTGTACTTTAAGCTTTTATAAAATAAATGAAATAATGCACTAATCAATATTATAATTATTCATTACTTCAAAATTAACGTTTATATTTTAACTAAAAAAAGTTCTATATAAGATGGCATTAGACACCCGATATCATTTTTAACGTTTCAAAGTAGTGGTGACCATTGAAACTGATATATACAATGGCTAATGGCTATCCGTATACGAGTCACATTCTGAGCGGCGGCCGTCGGAAATACCAGAAAGGTCCACCCTTTGTCAATATAATCTCCTTCAACAACTGATGAGTAATATAGCGATTGAAGCGTATAGCCATTACTTACTCATTCATGGTTCGCAATGAAGCCTCCAAATGCGCAGAATCGAACTTACAGCTAGTGTTTAATTGGTATGCAATATGCTTTCTAAGTAGCTGCAGAGTACCCACAACAATGATGATATCGCCCAACTGTTGATATAATTTTTGTCCCTTTAATATGTGTTGTTCGATATCTCTAAATTCAATGTTGGAGACAGCAATTTTTTCTGGTGAACCTCTAAATATACTTTGAACGTGCTGCAATTGATTTTTTATCATGTAACCATATAAAGTATCCAGACCGTGTAATCCCACTACACCGATAGAGTTGTTCAATTTGCTAAAGGTTTTAGTGTTTACAACTTCATTGTGGTTTTTAACATCAATCCACGCCGCACATATGTTGATATAAACACAGAATCTGAAGTTAAACATAATTAAGTATTATACATATAATTATATATTCATAAAAGCAATGTGATTACTCTGAATACGATAATTCTGATTAAAACGTGCGCGAATGAATTAACTTGTCTAGTCACGAGCATTGACTGTGAACTGTTCAGCAATAATATGTGGTTGCATTTGGTTATACTAATAGCCATGGAAGAGTTCCACTATATATCTTCTTACCTTGTCTTACATCAGCTTGATGATTACAATTTTTTTATCTGAATTTTATAGTAGGTATCTATAATTGTAGTTACAAATCGATTCAACGATTAAATAAAAGTTACTCCTAGTTAAATTCATTGTTCGTAAGTAAAGCAAAATAAAGCATATCAATAACAATTAGTATCTAATTTTATATAATTTAACGATACCTAGCGTCTGTTAACTGTGCAATCTGGCGCGCAAGGCTGCCCATAAACCCCGCCGAGGGCCCGTACAGGCTGACTCCCTTACGAATACTTATTTCTTTTGCTATGCTTTGGTTTATTATGGCAGATACCTACAATACAAAAAAAGACCAAACCATGTAATATTTCCTCTTGAAAAATATTATACTTGACTTGAAAACTAGTTTGGCTCAGTATGTAGTTACCCTACTTGCTGTGTCAGCAGCCACGGGTTCGAGTCCCTCTGGGGGGATTCATTTGTGTGATGAGCACGAATGTTTGTACTCCAGTCATGGTTGTTTATGTTTATAATATGTATGTATTTAAAGTTATATACATATAGTGTATCAACTATCTGGTATCCATAACACAGGCCTCATAGCTTACCATGGAACTGAATGGTGCTGTGTGTTATTGCCCTAACATATTTATGTATTTATTATATCGAAATGACGCCACACGTGTATTGTGTCGTGACTATGATAATGGCATGTCGCTAAAGTAATACATATTATAAGAAAACTATTGGCAATAATATACTCGTATATAAAAGTTTTACCTGCTTTTGCCAAATTCTCAGCCCATGAATGTTGATATAATCTTGAATATATTCCAAAGATCTTTTGTATCCGTCCATACTGTCTGCTAGTTTTTCTAGCCGTGTCAATAAACTGTTAGGTTTCTTCACTTGTGGCTCAATAAATTCAAAGAATTTCTTACATATATGCCCATCTAATTCTTTTAGTAATCCTTCTTCTAATAGCTCAGCGGGATCTACTCTTATAACACCAACTAAAGTTGATCTCATATCCAATATACCTAATAAAATATTTTTTATAGATGTGTTAAAAGCAACAGTTATATTAGTATAGAGTAAGAATAAAATTGTTGAAAATTCCAAGTACACATACAACCATTAATGTTTATTAGCCCGAATATCCATTAAAAAAATCATAACGAAGGTTCACGACAATGATACTAAAAATCCCCGAAACTCAAATAAAATGTCTCATAAAATGTTACGGGGTTTCTTATACATAGTCAATGAGACAGAATGAGGTCAACACATTAAAATAATAGGGAATATGCGTGTGATTTAAATAAAGGTGAAATGTTTTTTTTATATAATTTTTATTGCTTTTGAATTAAAACTATGTTAATATTTTATTTATTATAATATTTATGTTCATATTTTTGATGTTATTTCTTTTTGATTTCTAAAATAATTATTAAAAAGTGCTAATATAGGTGAGAAATTCAAAGTAGTTGAAACGAACGCCATTGGTCAGACCGAATATGACGTCATAGTATATTATCATAACAGAGCGATTAGCGATTTTATCGCTACAAATTTCGAGCTCTGGATATTTTTTTTACAATTAAGTATTTAACCAAGTAAACTATTGTATAAAAATACATGCATATTCTCTATTGGGGAGAACATAGAGTAAAAATAATCGGAACAATATCTCTGTATAGTGCGTAGGTAAAATGGACTTACCCGTAGTGAACGTCGATGCTGAATGCGTGAGCTTTGCAACTTCCATCCTGTGATCTAATTGAGCGTAATCTCTCAACTTTTCCTTGTCTATCCTCGTCGGCACCTCTTTAATCGTCCAAGTTTGCAATTCTATTATCTTCTCCACTATATTAAAAACCATTTCTGGAATGATTTGCAACACTTTTTGAATATATTGGATTAGTTCGTTGCTGTAATATTGCGATACCGATACTAAATCTTCACTTTGGGCCTGATTTATTCGCAACAACGGTATTTCCATAGCACTTGCCAATTTAAGGAACAATGCTCGGAGACGACTGGTGACGGCAGGGCTCTCTTTTATACTATCCTGCATATGTACTGTATATAAATCAATTGTACACCAAGCATAACTGAAATCTGCAACAGTTTCTAATGTAACTAGAGAATCTTCTTTTAATGAGGCTGCTCTTAGAACATTTTTCAATGCACCTTTGGTCTCAGTAAGAAATTGTACTACAGTTGAAGTTGTTTTGATACTATGAAATTCTTCAACGTCGTCTAGAACTTGCAGAAGTTGGGTTACTTTTTTAACGGTTTTTGTCGTAATTGGTTCATTAAGAGAAGATATTTGCTTTGCAATATTGTCAAACCAAGTCTTTAATTGTTCATTTTCAGTCACTTTAGTGTATGGGTTTCCTCCAGAGAATAGTTGTGATAAATTAGTAACAGCATCTAAAGCGAGCTGCTTGTTTTTGCTCCAATTTTCACTTCTCATGTCGAGCAATTTCTTGAGAACTTCTCTTACTCTCAATTCCAATTCAGCTGTACTTATCAGCAACTCTAGCAGTTTCAAAGGATTGTAATTTGATTCTTTGACAACCAAATCTCTTAATTGTTTACTTTTTTTGTTGTTGTCGAAAAATATAACATCACTGTTATGAAGAAGTAACCAGCGTAACACGTGATTAGAATTTAGCATTACGTTTATTATTTTATTAATATTGTCTAAAACAAATTCATTAGTCAATATACCCTCTTTCAACAACTGATGAGTTTTATTTATAAGCAATTGTACAGAGTTCCCTCTTTTTCCATAAATTTCTTTTACCATTTTAGAATTACAGGTGTTATTTAAGGAACTCTTGGCAGCTTTAAAATTTTCCCAGTAATCAATAATATTCATTGTGACACCCATATAAATCGGCACTATCCAATTGCAAGGGAAGAATTTATCTACAATTTCTCTCATTTTGGTATTGTCAGTATGTAAATATTGAGGTGCAAAAAACAAGCACACGGCGAGCATGCTGGACTGCGTAGCTAGGGCCGAGGCCTGATGTTCTGGAATAGTGTAAACAGCCAGCTGATTATAGATGTCTTCCGATCTTAACTTACCAACAACTTTTTCTACAAAGTCATAGTAAATTGGGACTCGGCTAAAAATAAATATGAGAATTAATAATTTAAATAAATGAATAAATGAAGTTTGTTATGAAAGATATGAACAATTAAAATATACTATAAATTATGGTTAGAATTCATATAAATAATAATATAATTTAGAATAGTGCACATTGTTAAACGACACAAATTGCTCTAATATGCACAATATTGTATGTAGCATATTATATAAAAATAAGTTTCAGACTTAAAAGTACATTTAAATTGAATGAGAGTTTTGCATTATATTTTTTACCTAAAGTATTCTACAGGATAATCAGGTGGCCGTCTACATTGCTGTTGATCATAACCTGTGTCCCTCAATAGCTTACATACATCATCAACATTTGATTGGGACTGACTTGTGCTGTATCTATAAAACGCAACTAACAGTCTTTCTCTTACACATCCAGGTATATACAGGTCACATAAAAGAAGCATAGAACCATATAAATAAAGAGATTCACACTAAAACAAAAATAAATGTACATGACTATTGATTATGTATGCAATAAGAAATATAAATGGCTCCTCCAGATATTCTTCTAAAATTTAAAAATAGTCAAATATCAGATCAATTATTATTACTACAATTTACAAACCAAAAGTTGTTTTCCTTCTATATCTTTCATAACTGTTTCAAAAGTCTGTTGAATAAATGCTCCATCATGTAATTGTTCTACAAATGTATTTAGGTCTACTATATATTGGTAGATATTTTCAAATAGCAAGTAAAAACGGGTTATTAATTCTAAATACTTTTCTTTTATGTCATCATCCAAATCTTGCAGCTTCTAAACAAAAAATAGTGATAATTAATACACATTTTATAATAAAAATTAGTTTTTAGTTAACTTCAGGGTTAACTTAATTATTGCAATTAAAATAATACGAAGTTCAGTTTCAGTAGTCATTTTGATATTTTATTTTAACTTACGTTATTCATGTTAATTTTCTTATCTTGTGAATCTGACATTTTAAAATAACTGAAATCCATTATGACATCATGATATTGCTGCTGTATTTCTTTACTTTCTAATCTGAAAAGTTAATATGTATACACATATTTTTGTAAGATGTCATTTATGAAATATATTATAAAACAACATTAAGCAAAAGCAGGAAAAATATTTGAGTCTTTGATCAAAAAACTTAATTTTTATAATATGTGGAACCACATTAATTTACAGGTAGATTAAAACTTTGGTTTTTTATTTTATTATTTATGAACTCTATTAACGGGATAATTAATTAACACAGTAAAGGGATAATTATTAATTATGTATTTGACAATAAATATGCATTTTAAATTATCTAAGAGATACTTACAAAAATACTTTTGGAATATGATCTTTTAGTCTTAAAATTTCAGCTAATATAGCATTTCCATGAGAAACCAATTTTAGCAAATTTTGGGCGCAAAGATTATCTTCTGCTACAAATATCCGCATCGTGTATGGTTTAATTTTTAATCCTTAAGTTAACACAGGTAGCTAATCAGCTTCAAATCCACCAAATATTGAAATATTATGAAAAACATTAGTTTTTTTACAACTAAATATTTGCATCTATTCCATTAGACTTTTACCTTTATATATGTAGCAATATACTCTATGCTTTTACCAGACGACACTGACGTCTGACAGTCGACAGCTGCCAGCGCGCCGCTCAGTGCCCAGCGGCCAGCGGTGAAATCACAAAAATTCGAGATAATAATTTTATTACGTAGGTATTGAAAACATCGATAAATGAAATTATTTTTTTTCATTTATTAATGGGAAAGAATTGTTCCTTTGTCGCCCGCCAGATGACGTGATCACTATAGCCCTCAGTATATTGTAAAGCTTAATAGCGTGGATGGAATTATTCTCATTTTATTAAAAAAATAATAAAAATGACAAATTGTGCAGTGCCAGGATGCAAAAAAAATATAGATATACTTTGTTCCCAAAATGATGACCAAAATTAGCTAAATCACAATCTTTATACATAGTTAAGTGTATGTGGACATCATTTTAAAGTGATTTTAAAACTCTTTAATCGTCTACAGGTGATTTTTTTTTGAAGTTATACTTCTTTTGGGACGTTTAGAAAAAATTATAAGAATAAAATTTTTACGATGCGCGCGCCCACCGACAGCCAAAAAGCGACATGATGAAGTTAGCTGATAACTGTTTGTTGCCATGGTAACCCTTTACCATGACAATTAATGATAATACATAGTATTATATTCTTTCCATACATGTATTCTATAAATACATGGTTGTAATATGCCTAATTTAATTATTTTATTAATTTATCATTCCTTATACAATCAGAGTTATGACATACAGGATGAAATCTTTAGCTATTTTTGTTCTGTTACGCCAAAGAAGTATACCCTGTTATCCAATTACAGCACTAATGTCTAAAAAGAACGCTGGCTGTCAAGCTGCAAGCGATTTATCGGTCAAATTGGTGGGGCGAGGTGGGGTGGGGCCGCATGCTTGCCAACGCGCTATTGGTTCGTCAGTTCGAAATACCATCGCGCACATAAAAGTTTTTAATTACGAAATGGTTTTATATATAGAAAAGAGAGAAAAAATATTTTTGACGTATATTGTTTTATAAAGAGAGACTCTGATAATAATGCAGTTATTAATTTAAAAAAATGTATTAAACGTATTAATTTCTTTTTTTGTAAGTAGATTAAACATTCTATATTGAATCAAACATACTTGTATTATTATACTTCTACCGCATTTATCACGGGGAGTGTTCCGAGGAATTGTTCGGACTGATCCCGGCTGCTGAATTTCATCATCGGACATCGCGCCAAAATATTAAATTCCATCCACACCACCTCGATGTCCAGCGTTCCACAACAGTGCGATTTTTAAGGTATTTTCTGCCCCGCACAACCACTCTGTGGAACCAGCTATCGTCGGCGGTCTTTCCGAACCGCTACGACCTGGCCACCTTCAAGAAGAGAGCGTATTCATTCCTTAAAGGCCGGCAACGCATCTGCAAGCCCTGCGGTGTTGCAGATGTCCATGGGCGGCGGTGATCACTTCTTCAGGTGAGCCTCCTGCCCGTTTGCCCCTTTAGTCCCATAAAAAAAATTATAATATCGACGATGTATTCAGCCCTTTTTAACGTCCCACTGCTGGGCACGGGTCTCCCTACAATACGAGGGGGATCAGGCCATAGTCCACCACGCTGGCCAAGTGCGGGTTGGCAGACTTCACATGTCTTTCGAAAACTTGCTAGGTTCTCTCAGACATGCAGGTTTTCTCACGATGTTTTCCTTCACCGTAAGGCAAGTGGTAATCATGTTGGAAATGATTCACACATGAAAATATCAGAGGTGCGAGACCTGGGATTTGAACCCGCTTCACTCGGTTTCCCAAGCGAGCGCGTTACCACTGGGCTACCACTGTCTTAATAATATCGACGATATGTATTATTAATTATATTATTCATATTAGTTGTATTTTTTCTTTCAACACTGAACTTAGTGCCCTCTGCTGGTGCACTTGAAAACTAATTCACGTTCCAATTAAGCATTAACCTTAGATTATACATAAGCTATAGAGCGCGCGCTAGCAAGTATGAACACGTATTTATTTACGTATGTATTGAAGACCATTAATACCAAGTTTCAAGTAATTCTGATCATGAATAATTCTTTCCCTATATAAACTTTATTACTCTCTTTTACTCCTTTAAGGAATGAATTTCAAAAAATCATATAAATATATTTATTATTTTTAATCTTAAAGCTTTCTGTGTATTTCACGTTAAAAATGACAGAATTTCATACAATCTTTAATCCCCTATTTTACCCACTTATGGGATGAATTTATGATATTTATCACACATTATCTCAACAGTTTTATTGATTTGTATAATAAGATTTGATTTGATAGAATTTTTAGTGACCCAACAGTATAAAATAAGTTGGCTCTACTGGCAAGTGGCAGCCCTGCACAGAGTAGTTTAAACCTATTTATGAGTTATGACATGACAGGGCTAGGGCAGCCCTGCCAATTAGCGGGTAAATTACCCGGAAAGCGGGTAATTTTGAGCGATTTTTGATGGCGGGTAATTTTGACGGGTATTTGGATTGAGCGGGGTCAAAGCAGGTATTTTAGTGTCCCCCCCAACGTGCGTTCACCTGGTCATGGTGGGGGGGCTCAGTAGTGCCCGGCAACCCAACCGGGCGCGAAGCCAAGAAACGCACAGGGAGGTGACCCACTTCGGTGGGCGGGGGGAGGTGGCCCTCTTCGGAGGGCGGTGTAAAAGTTTACACATTAGTAATTTACAGTAGTCTACTTTGAAACAACTCCATAGGAATATTTTTTCATATTTATAGACAACATCTAATCTGCCACAATGCTTTGTATGACATGTCACCATGTTTCTATTAAAACTTAGACACACCATCGATAAATTTGTAAGCTATTTTGGTATCTTTATGGTCATATCAAATATCAATATCTTTTATACATTAATGATAATGGAAATAATAACAAATAAACTTTATTTGATTGAATATTGTATTTTTTTCATCTACCGATTATGGGTAGAAATATTCCGATTTTTGTAGGCAACTGTACCGATTTCGCACATTGACGTTCGAGACCACTATTTTATAGCTTGTAGCTTCGCAGTTTGCAGTTTGCACTTCGCCATTCAGCTTTGGACTCGGAGTTCGGAGTTCGGCAATCGGCATACAATTTATTATTTACAAATAAAATGCTTTTAGCTTTAGTATCTCTTCGTAATTTGTGGTGTTAACTGTTGCGTGTCGGTGAAGAAAATAATAATATAATGGTTTATGATTTATAATATAAGCTATGTTTTAGCCAAACGTCGTGCTCTACAAATATGTGATGATTTTAAGTGATGCGAAATATTTTTTAAATAAACTTAAATGTAGTTTATAATTATTAATATAAATTATTAATAATGATTTCCTCTATATTGAGTTATGAGACGTTGGTTCACGCCATGGCCGGTGCTACGGTAAAGATTTTACTTTAATTGCATTATAATATATTGTAAAATCAAAAATGAAATATTTTTTTTATTTTAGGGAAGTGTCATTGGAATGGCAGCGTTTTATCCACTAGACACTTTACGATCAAGAATACAAGGTAATTTTTGTTTATTCCTGTAATAAATATGACTTTGTAATGTAAATACACTTTGTCTTATATAATATTTTTAAATGTACTGTTTTTTTTTTCGATTTTTTACAGTTGAAGATTCCTTAAAATTTCATGGAACAACTCTGCAGTTGCTAATTAAGTTAGCGAATGAAGAGGGTATGGAGTCTTTATACAAGGGTTTATGTCCTGTTCTACAGTCTCTTTCTGTGTCAAATTTTGTATACTTCTATACATTCCATGCATTAAGAAAAGTTGCTACATCAAATTCTTCAGCAATGCGTGATCTAATGTTTGGTATGCTGGCTGGTAGTATTAATGTTCTTCTGACTTCACCTCTTTGGGTGGTAAACACTAGAATGAAGCTTGAGAAAAATACTTACTCAAATCTTTTTGAAGGGCTTTGTGACATATTTAAAAAAGAAGGCATGTCAGGATTATGGTCAGGGACTCTACCATCTTTGTTATTAGTGTCAAATCCAGCTATTCAATTTATGGTTTATGAATCATTGAAAAGAAAATTGGTTACTAAAGGATATTTTGATTCATTTACTGCATTTCTCATTGGGGCTTTAGCTAAGGCTATTGCAACAACTTTAACATACCCTTTACAGTTAGTTCAGTCCAGGTTAAGGGCCGGAACTAGCTTAAAACCTCTTTTCAGAGATACAAAAACAAAACCTTTGACTCTATTTCGTGGGTTAGAAGCTAAGTTACTGCAAACTGTTATGACAGCTGCACTTATGTTTTTAATTTATGAAAAAATTGTCCGCCTAGTTTTAACAATAATGAGAATCAGATTAAGAAAACATTAGTATGAAAAGATTATTATTTTTTCATTTTTAATTGGTCACTTGGTGTTATGTAAACATATTGATTATATGATGCAATAGAATATTATATAATATTTCCTTATAAGCATATAAATAATTTCCTAAACATGAATATTTTCCTTAATTAAATTGAATAAACAATGTTTTTGTTTAAAAACTTGTACATTACAAGATTCTTATAATTAGTTCAATCGGAATCCAGTTTGGGAACAAAATACTGAAAACCTGACGTTTTAAGAAATTCGTCAATGCCCCCGATGCCAAACTACCCTGTATATACGTGCTAACATTTTAAAATCAAAAAACTTCAGGTTTTCAATATATTTTTTTCTTTTAGAAAATAAACGGATTCCGATTGGTCTAAATATGATCATGTAGCAAAAATTTTATCTGTGATTATTTATTAATCCTAAAAATGACAATTTGTTTAATGTAATTTAATTTATAAGAAACGGGTGAGTAAAACATCAAAGATAGTGTTGGTTTTTTTTATTAAATAAATGAATGAGAGAACACAATTACTTTTAATTAATAAATCAATTTTTAATAGTATATTTTATATGAGCCAGCTTCATGTCTTCAGATGTGCGCATCACAACTTTTGTGTACTCTTCTACAAGTGACTTTAACTCGTTATATACCTGAAATAATATTTTAGAATTTATATAATAAAATTTTTGTTAGTGAGCACTTGACATTCAACATTAAATAAAATAAATCAAAATTTTAATTTAACCAAGAAAAATAATTAAAGTTATAATGGAAAACAATATTTAATAGCCCTGTACGGACTACAACTTACTATGGCGATTTTACGTCTCCTAGCATGCGCCCATTGCAACATGGTAAGCAACATGACATACTCTTTTTGGAAAGGGATAAAAGAGGTTACTGTAACTTGTGGATTCCATTTAGCTACACTAGTGTGATTCCTCGAAATTATGTGTCTAAAATCGTGTGTATATTCTATCTATTCTAGTGGGATTACAACAAGATACAATCAGTGATGAGTAAGACGCAGGACCGACAGCTAACTCTCCTAGAATGGGGGTGTACGCACTGTCAACTTTCAACTAAGGGTTACTGCTAAATATTTAATGACTACAAAACCTATGAGTTTGGACCGAACCGGGACTGAAGCTAAGGAGGTCACAATCTACAGCCGCACCTGCTAGCTACCAACGTGATAGTCCTATCTGATGTACACCTGTCTCTCTGCTAACTGCCTCAGCTATCTAATGGCTAGTATCTACGGCTGCCGAACCGGTAGTCCTGGGTGCCAATCCCTGGTCGGGCCTAGTATAGCTATTGAAGTTTTCTGTCAAGAAATTCTAAATAACAACCCAGAGTTGTGTAGTTGGCGATGTTATATTCCGTGCTTTGGAGAGCACGTAAATTCACCATCTGATTTCTCACCGATCGGTATATATCGTCCAACTAGATTATGAAAGGAACAAAGAGTGCACTTGTGTCTAGTCTCAATGATTTTTTCGCTGTAGCCGGAATCTGTGATGTTATGTCAGTTTTAAAAGATGTAATTAATTCACTCAAATTCGTTGATTACAATAATACCATAAATTATAAAGTAGATGGCGATAACCTACAAATCCTCAAGATAGTGTTAGCTGACCTCTGGCTTACTAACTTTTTATATAACACTAGCAGAACCCGCGGCTTCGTTCGCGCTAAAACTACAAAAAAATCTTTAAAAAGGTAGGTTTCATACAAACTTTTTCCCCTATTTTACCCTCTGTTACAATGAATTTTGAAAAATGCTAACACGTATTTATTTAATTGTATTGAAGAGTATACCAAGTTTCAAGTAATTTTAATAACAAATATTTTTTGGGTTGTATTATAACGCATTTTCCCGTGGAAATAAGATAATCTCCCGCGGTATAAAGTAGCCTATGTCACTCTCTAGCCCTTCAATTATCTCCACACAAAAAATCACGCCAATCCGTCTCTCCGATTCGACGTGAAAGAGGGATAAACAAACAAACACTCTTTCACATTTATAATACGAATAGTTATGGATAGGGTAACATTAGTTACCTGTTTGACGTGCGGGTGGTGCGTGTGGTGCGCCAGCTCGAGCAGCAGCAGGTCGGCGAGCGCGAGTGGCGCGGCGGCGGGCGCGGGCGCGGGCGGGCACAGCGCAACGCCGCATCGCCGCAGCGCCGCGCCGCACAGCTCGCCCGCCTCCAGCGCGCGCCCGCCGCTCAGCAGCGCGCGGATACACGTGCTCGCCTCCACATCCTGTTAGTATACAACGTTCATTAACACGCTGTTATTATCTTCACTTGTATTTGAAATGTAAACAATAACTGAACTATTGGACGTCGTTTTAACCTACTTCTAATTATTATGGTATCGAAATGAAACTTTCTATGTATATGTAAAGCGTGTTTTTCTTAGTTTTATAAAAGTATAATTATTAATAATACTACCGACAGAAATACAAAGTTTGAACATGTCAAAATTTATTTTTGAAGTTAAATACGGGGCTAAGAACCGGTTTAAAAAAAACGCTTAATTACAGTAATGTAATATAATCGCTCGTTCGTACTACCGATTAATAAAAACTAACGGTTTAATAAACCGAAAAAATAATGGTTAACGGTAATTTTTAGAGAAAATTTAGACTAGGGTTTTGATACCGAAATAAACCGATTAATTCATTCATAATAATCATAAGTAAGAAACGTACGTGTCCTTCTACTATGTAATTCATCAATAGAAGATTTTCTAAATTTTAACGCACAAAAACTCATTTTAACCAGCTAATTCGACCATGGAACCTAAATTTGTCAAAAACAGACTTTTAGGTGTTTAACCGATTAAAGAACGTAACCGAAAAGCCTTCGGTTTGGGGTTAATGATCAAAACCGGTTTGAAAATTAAACAGCGCTCGCCAGGGGATTCAAGTAAAGCTGGCGCAAATCCCGGTTCTCGCACTCGTGATACTTTCAAGTGCGAATCATTTCCAACATTACTCATTTCACTTCATTTCATTTATTATCGCTCAACTCTCTGCATTCTTCTCCAAATAAACTTTATACTATTCCAAAGCTCACACTCCCTCGTGCGCGCAATATTATGCTTAAAAAGTGATATAATATTTTCTCTTTACGTATAATATATACTTATATAACTTCTCTATTTTTGACCATTTTTCAACCAGTTTTATAATCATTTTGTGAAATAATCATCCCAAGTAAGCGTTGCTCAAAATACAACAAAAAATTGTACAATTATTAAGAATAATTACCATAAATCTTTGTAAAAACCAGTGAGGCAGGAACTGGCCAGTGCTAATAGCTCTTTTTGTGACTGCTAATAATGTTTGTACATCAGCTTCTTTTAAATTTTGATACAATCTATCGAAGTCTATATTTTCATTTTCTGAAAAATAAAAAGAAACCTATATATCAACGTTTCAAAGTCATATTATAAAGACACGTTATAAAGCGATCCCATAGTCAGATGGGTTGTCCCCTTCAAGAATTGAAAAGTCTAGAGACTTAATAAATCTCATAATATATCGTATCTGTTTTCTATACACACACACTATATATATATATATATATATATATATATATATATATATATATATATATATATATATATATATATATATATATCCATCCGTTTCAGAGCTTAGCCGGAACAGACAGACAGAATTACAACACAGACATTAATATCAAAATCACAGTAATCAGTGTCTGTACACTTCAATTTTAATAACTGACCTCCAAAAAGGAGGAGATTTTATGTTCGTATGTTGTTTGCTTTTTTTTATGTTTATTTTTTTATTTTGTACCTATTTCTCGGAGACGGCTTGACCGATTTTGCTACTTTAAATGGTATTGTAGTAAGGTTGGTACGGAGGTGGTCCCATAAAATTTTCTTTGACGTAGAGTATACCGTTTTAGAGAAAATCAGGACAAACCATGAAATTTAAAAAATAAATTCATAATATCTTAAGCATTGTCGTCTGGCACCGAATTCGAAAATATGTCTATAGTAAATAAAATTTCAAATAAAAATTCAGTTATTTTTTACTTTTTAGTGCCTGGAAGTCAGTTTTTTTAAAGCTTTTATTTATGTATAGATAAAAAAGATGTTTTTTTTTTTATAGATAACAAACGAGCAAATGATCCACCTGATGGTCAGTGGCTATCATCGCTCATGGACATCTGCAACACAAGAGAAGTTGCGAATGCGTGGCCGGTCTATAAGGGACTTATAGACATTACTCTTGAAGATCATTCCACATCTTGCACGTGCGAGGTAAAAATGATCGAGATGTACGTACATTTGTAGGATGCCAAGCATCTAAAATGTGTGAATGACATCCTACCCGACGGCGAAGGGTGCAATGATAGAAGTGCCACGGTGGCACCAGATCAAAAAGTTCATCAGAACACTCTCCATTGTATAGACGATAGAAAACACACAGAGAGCCAATGTTTGTATATTTGTGACTTAAATGCGCGTAAATAGATAAACCAGACTTCTCTACACATTAAGACAACAAAGTTGCAATTCTGACAAGATGCAAGAGTGTAACCGTTTGCTTTTACAATAAAGAGAAACAAACTCATAGCAAAATAAATAAAGAGATCAAAAAAAGGGACGGACTATATGTGTGGTGTGTTGCAAACTCATTTAAATTAAAAAAAAATCATTAATAGCCAATATGCAGCAACAGCTAAAGAAAACCCTTCAAGGTGAAGCCGTGGACAAATACTAGCGATGTTATAAAAGTGTAAATTATTTCATGTATTAACCAGAAGGTCAGGTATTGTTAAATATTATTTATATTATATTACGAATAAAAAGTTTTCATACAAATTACATTAGCATATTGATTATAATTAAAAGACAATGACGAAATAATACCTGATGGAATTATCAAGCGTATACTTCTAGACAAATAGCAATATAACAGACGTATTTTTTTTAATTATATTGTACATCTGTCTATCTAGAATAAAACAAAAATAAAAAAAAACTCTCGTTATGACATTTGCCTTTTGTCACTCGCATGTGCGACTCGCTAATATTTATTTATTACTTTTCTTATAGACTTTGAATTGTACTATAGTGACTCTAGTACTTGCCAAAGGATTCCGTTTGTTTAAGACGAATTTTGTACTACGTTTCTATTAAATTTTAAACTTTTAAATTTTACTTTCAAACGTTTAATTTTACTTTACAGAAGATTTCTAGTAGGAAGACAGTTTACCACTGCTCTTTATGATTTCATGATACAAAGAAATTCAAATAATTTTATTCTTATGTAAATTTGACTGCAATAACTTATGTATTATGAATAATCTATACATATAATAAAATTCTAACTAAGTCAGATTCGACTTACATGTACTTTTGTACTTGTACATTTATTCTTTGAAAAATCTTATTGAAATAGACATTATTATCGATAAAGAGGCCGAATCTATAGTTTTTAGAATTTTTGTCTGTCTGTTACCGCATCACAGAAAAACTACTGGAAGGATTTTGATGAAATTTGATATGGTGATAGCTGGTTATTCGGGTCAACATATAGGGTTTTTACCGCAGCAAAATATCTCATTTCTGAGAAAAAATACAAAAACTGGTTAGAATAAAACCACGATACTATATATATTTTAGCAAGGTAACTTACTATACTATAAGGCAAAAACTATTAAAAATAGCTTATCTTGAAAAACAATAACAATAGCGCTATTTTATTTGGTTTTTGGTCATCTGAACGCGGGCGGAGCCGCGGGCAATGCTAGTAATAATTGTTTTACGAATACTATACTAATTACTAACGTACTTACTTCTTAAGGCTTGTTGAACCGCATCTAATGATTCTGGAACCTCTTCTCGTAGTTCTGCAGCTAACTCCTCTGGTCCTATGACCTTTTATGAACAGAAATAATGTTTAATTTATAAAGACACTAGCAGAAGACGCAGCTTCGCTCGCGCTGAAACTACAAAAAAAATATCTAAAATGGTATGTTTCATCCAAAATTTCAACCGCTATTTTACCCCCATATAGGATGAACTTCGAAAAATGCTAAAACACATACATATTTATATTTAATTAATTGTATTGAAGAGCATTTATACCAAGTTTAAAGTAATTCTGATTATCAATATTTTTTGGATTGTATTGTAACGTGTTATCCAGTGGGAAAGACATAATCTACCGCGGTAAAAAGTAACCTATGTCGCTCTCCAGACCTCACTATCTTCACACAAAAAACGCGCCAATCCGCCAAGCCGTTTCGACATGAAAGAAAGACAAACAAACAAAAAAACACACTTTCACATTTATAATATTAAGTATGTATTAACGAAATACTATACTTACCTATAATAAAGACGGTAAGTTTAATTAATATTTGTGTTTAGGAAGAGTTATTAAATTTAACGTCGATATGAACAAAAATGACTTGCTCGATTTTAAATATTCTTAGAATTTAAATGAATATTTTTAATTTCCACACAATTCTTGAATGACATGAGTGTGTTTAATATGTAGAATTATTATTTGTTTGGTAATACTTTTGCAATAACCTGTCCTAGTGTTACTATATGGAGCGTACTATTGAAGCTCGTGGCATAATACGACAACAACAAATTACCTATTTGGTGAATGCTATAAGGAGCTAGAGACTACCAGTCGGCACTCGGCAGCTGATAATTAATTAACACCATAATGATAGAGCAGTTAAGAATCTGATAACTAGTTAATGAATCTAATTTGTCTGGTAAAAAGAAATCTTCGTATTGTGCGCACTTATATATACATATTCATATTGATTACGAGCCCGACAAAACGATCGGCCACCAGAAAGTCTGTAATAAGCAGGGAAAACATTGATTCAAATAAAGGAGATTGGGCAGATCTAATTAGATATTAAATCTTGATATTATGACGACCGACGATGATAGATGAAAAATATGTAGCTTTATTTAATCCTATAGGTAAATTACGAACATGTCTGTATAAATATCTCAAACAATGCCAGTATTTAGATATCACTCGTTTTTCTGATAGTTTAGACAAAACTGTAATTTATAATGCCAAATACATACTTTAATTAATATATTTTGTATAAGATTTTTTTTATTACTACTCGTTCTGCTCGGGTGCCTCTTTAAATGCCCTTTGGACCTACTTTTAAAGTTATTATGATTTTTGAAATTCAACACATTTTTATCGCAGTAAAAAATTATCTATATTACTAGGCATTACTGAAGCTTCCTATTATTAGTGAAAGAATTTTCAGAATCGGATCAGTAGTTTCAGAGATTACTTCCTAAATACAAAATTTATCACTTTACAATATGAGTATGGATTACTCGACCTCCAAAACAGGGAGCTATTGTATTTATATTTTCATATTTAACATTTAACACACGCATAAGTTAATTCTTACCTACCATTAAGAATATATAGTATAAAAAGACAAAACTCATCGATTTTCTTTGATTGGTGGTTATTGCCCCTCAAGTCTATAGGGAATATGCGTGATTTTTTTTTATTCTTTATATAATAGCTTACATTGTTACATAATTGTAAAAATAATACGCAACTCCAAAAATCTAAAATTAAGTATAAAAAATATATATATCATATCAATGCGGATACTTTAAACGCTCACCAATTCGCGCGCTTGGCGTGACGTGACAGTATGATATACACGAAAAATTAACGACTCAATATGTAGCGACAATATCGCTAATCGCTCTATTATGATATTGTTTATAAAGTGCTGTTTATTGTACAATAAGCTGTTGATATATATAAATAAATAATATTATATACTCTGACGTCATATTCAGTCTGACCAAGGGCGTTCGTTTCAACTACTTTGAATTTCCCAACTATATTTGCACTTTTTAATAATTATTTTCTTAATAAAAAAGAAATTACATTAAAAAGTATTAATATGGGGTTAATTCAAAAACAGTAAAGATTATAAAAATAAAAATATTTCATCTTCATTTAAATGACACGCATATTCAATATTTGCTTAATTTTACTAATTATAAAAAAATAACTTATGTTAAGAAAGTCTTAGGAATAGTCCGGAGTTAGTGAGTTAGCAGTATTTCACCACCGTGCCTCAGAGAGCACGTCAAGCCAACAGTCTGATATCTCACCAGTCGTGTAGAACTGTCAAACCATCGGATTATGAGAATGAAAGGAATATAGAGTGCGCGTGCATTGTGCCTGCGCGCACGCGAGGACAGTGTGTGTGTACCTGCAGCGCGTCGGCGCCGGGGCGCGCCAGGAAGGCGTGGTCGGGGCTGGCGAGGCGCAGGCAGGTGAGCGCGGCCGCCAGCCAGCGCCGCCGCGCCGCGCCCGCGCCGGCACCGCGCTCCGACGCGCAGCGCGCCGCGCGCTCGTACATCACGGCCGCCGCTACACATTATATACATTATATATGTTTAGTATATAAAATACTCGCTATTTAAATTATATAAATATTTTCTTAGAACATATGTACTAAAGAATGTTAAATAGTTTCTTTATTAACCTTATTATATTTGTAAAATATCAAAATATACGATATAGACTTTCGCTTTAACAATAGTACTCTGATATATGAGTGACCTTTGCGATAGTGATGCCTGGAGAGATGCAGCGCGTAGAGGAAGTCGTAGTAGGGGTTGTGCGGGTGCGCGTCGTGCAGCTTGGCGCGCGCCGCCGCCGCGCGCTCCGCCTCGCCCGCCAGCGCGCCGCACGCCACCAGCGCGCCCAGCTGCTTGCGCTCCGCTAACAATCAAACATTTTTGTTCAATAATAAACATTGATTAAAAAAAATACTATATACAATCAGTGACAAAAAATACCCTCACCGAATGAGCGCATTTCAACATTTGAGTGCGCTTTTTTTTGTGAAAAGAACTTCCAGCGTTTAAGGTTCAATTACCATTGTTGTATATTTATGTTAAAAACAAGAACTTTTGTATGAGATTGTATATCTAGTACTTTTTTGATAAATAGTATTCAATTATCATAATTTTCACTCCACAGAAACAAATCCTTAACTTTTATTTAAGTAATAGAAAAAGTATATATAATAGACTCATAACGTTCAATAAATAATTGTATTAATTTAATGCTGAATAAAATATTTTGAATTTGAATTGATTTTGAATACACATTTATCATTAATCATAAGAAATAGTAAAATAATACAAAAATGAAATAATTTAAATAATAATGTTTTATTAATGGGAAACAGCAGCTAAGGGTTAAACGGTATAACAGTAACTTGCCACAGATGATTAAAATTAATATCTTTGTCAACCCTTGCATTTTTTAATAGCATTTCCTTTAAAATCAATAGGCTAGGCAATATTTTTTTACACTGTTATATAGCATATGGTAGTGGTACCACCACCACTACCACCTCTGATATTTTCATGTGTGAATCATTTCTAACATGAGTACCACTTACGGTGAAGGAAAACATCGTGAGGAAGTCTGCATGTCTGAGAGAACCGAGCAAGTTTTCGAAAAACATGTGAAGTCCGCCAACCCGCACTTGGTCAGACCCTACCACTCAGACCCCACCTTGGTGGACTTGTGACTTGATCCCCCTCGTATAGAAGGGAGGCCCGTGCCCAGCAGTGGGATGTTAAAAAGGGCTGAAAATACTGTTACATAGCTAATCTATACTAATATTATAAAGAGAAAAGATTTGTTTGTTTGTACCGAATAGGCTCCGAAACTACAGAACCGATTTAGATGAAATTTGGTAAGAAGATAGTTTGAGACCCTGGAAAGGATATAGGATAGTTTTCATCCCGGAAATCATCACATGAGAGGGTGAAAATGGGGATGAAAATTTGTATGGGGTAGCAACCTAGGGACGAACCCGAGCGAAACGAAGGTGAGTCGCTAGTAGGTACATAAGAGAGATCATAAAGTTACCCAGCGTGGTGAGCAGCTGCGCGGCGGCGGCGGCGCGCGCGTGCGGCGCGGGGTTGGCGGCGGCGGCCGACAGCGCGCGCGACACGCGCCCGCCCGACAGGTGCCACTTGAACACCACCCACTGGAACATCGGCTGCGGCCGCGCGCCGTACACGTGTGTAGTCGCAGGGTTATTGTATTGTCGTCATATTATAATTAGACGTAATTATGCAAAGTGGATTCAGCCTATGAAAACAGTTTTTTTTAATTACTGTCATAAATGGCACCTACACATCAACATTAGTATATGCAAAAAATATCCAAGCCGCAAAGTGCCTTATTTCTTTTGAATCATACGGATAGATGGTCTTGTTATTTTGATATACCAATCTTATTAAAACTCGTATTTTGTCAAAAGTATGTTTTTGTGGTTGGTTCTATTTTGTATAACTACGCCCAATTTCACTAGTGGAATATATAATATCACGACTTTTACAATAACTCAGCGAACAAATACATCATATTTATGTACTCTTATCTGTGTGAGTGTATTCCTACAGCATTCTCCTCCCTCTTTTCTTTTTTTTTTAACACCAGGATATTTTAATATCATAATATAATTCGTTTCGTATGCATATGTAACGAAGTTCAGTTCAACAAAGTTCAGTCCAACGAAGACTAGTCATTTGTAGTATTCTTTTACTCGTTTTAACAAAATAAGTTAGCTAACTGAAATGAGTTGTTAACTGCAATTGGTGTTTGAAACTATAGAAAATAGTTAAGTCTTTCCTTGCTTTAGTAACCCACGATGCAATTCAAGGTAAATTCTGCATCAGTAAATAACAACTTACCAAATTCTGATCATCTTTATCGGCGATACTTATCGCAGTCTCTGCTAATCTCACAACACAAGCTCCTGCGTCGTGTATTTCAAATAGCTTTATAACCTGTACATAACATTAAGAATCTAGTCAGAAAAATTACGGAAAGTACATTACTATTGACAGTAAGTTAAAAAAAAAACAACATAAATATGTTAATATTTTATTGTAGGTATAATTAAAACCCTCTTTTATATTGTACATATTAAAAAAGCTGTAAAATCTCGATATAATATAATTTTGATAAGATTTATTTAAATTCACTGTCTTAATGTATAAATAGTACAAATATGTACAATATACAAAAATATGTACAAGTGTATACGAGTATACCTTCATGTAGTATAGCACAAGAGCCTGGTGCTGCGTGAGGCGCGCGTCGGGCGCGGCCACCAGGTGGCGCAGGAAGGGCTCGGTGCTGACGCCCTTGGCGGCGCGGCAGAACGCCGTGTACGCGCCCTCCGGCTCCCCCACGTCTAACAGCGCCAGGCCCAGGATGAACTGACCTGTCGTATATTCAATTTCATTAAGAGGATTGTGATGCTGTAATTTTTCATACAAAAAGCTATAACGGTTTTTCCCCCCATTAACATAATTTAATTTTCATAATTTTTGGAAATGTTGTAGATATAATGAAAAACTAGGTCCAAAGGTTTTTATTTTAAAAAAATATTGCGTATGATAGAAGTTATGAGCATCTAAATATCTGTATTTTTTACTTAAAAGCTTCCTCGATCGTTTTTATTTTTTTTAATTAAACTAAACTAGATTAAAGTGTTTTGAATCTAATGGACCAAAATTGTCTCATTTCGTAAATGTTTAGAGTGGTGAAAACGTAATCGCCAGAAACAATATTTCAAACAGGAAATGTTAGGTAATTGCCCCTAAGATTTGCAACTCTCTCTATCGCATCATACGGGTTGGCAAAGCGAGCGGTATGAAACGGATAGTATTTATTAAAAGAACCAACTCGCGCCGCGTATCGGCACTTAACAATCCTCTTAATAATTTACTCCTGACTAATTTTCGGCTACGGCGGCCAATCTCACTGAGACTAGCCATGTGCGTAGGTGATATTATAGTGCACAAGTGTTCTGCACAAACACAACATGCACTCTATCCCTTTCTCTGTCAAGCCCAAATGTGAGGCGACAATTAGAGATGATCGGTAAGAGTTCAGACAGAAGATAGATTGAGATAGTTTTTTAATAACGTTATTTATTTAATGTTCACTCAACGACCCCAACTAGGTTTTACATGTATCGTGAGACCGCAAAATATATACACCCCGGCTACGACTAATATTTCCATTGTCACTATATACGTTGGCCAAAGAAGGACTTGAACTCACGAACACAAACAGAATAATGGCTAAAGACCAACTCTGAATTGCACTTTTTATAATATTTTGTTTACTTATCTGATAAAATAATTAAAATATATATTACAATTTTTAGAAACACCAATATGTATATTTCAAGACAGACAGAATGACTTTGTTGGTCTGTCCATTTGTGCAAACTATTAAGAAATGTATGTAAAGATGTTCAAAATAACTCAATACGGAGATATATACTGACGTGAGCAAGCGTTCCACTCGCACCAGGGCTCCAGCAGCGCCACGTAGCTCTGCACAAGGCGCGGCTGATTGATGGACGCCAACCACCACCCGAACTCAAAACCGCCACTCACTGCCCACCTGAGCTCTGTATCGGAGTCTTATTGTTTGGTTTATATTTATAAACATTTTAAGTCTATTTGTACAAAAGGATTAGGTTAGTTGTTTTTTCACATATTGTGGAATGATTCTTACTTAACATACTAATATTGCTGGATTATTAGCTGAATATTTAATGTCAGCCTTTGTTATAAGCATAATTTCATAATTAAGCCAGCAAAAGAACCATGACAAAAAACAAAAGATGTATAAAAAATAATAATTATAAATACATATGTGTACTAGCGTCTAGCGACTTATCTTTGCTTCGTCGGGCGCGTCTCCAGGTGCCTAACATTAGCTTATGTGGTACTCTAGGTCGTAATCTATTTTTGTATTAAGCTTCATCTAAATCTGTCCAGATGTTTCGGCAACAAACAGACACGCACGTACACATACATACAAACTTTCGCAATCACAATAGGAGTCTGATTAGTAGGAATTATTGTATGCTATGGTATAATAGTTGATAACAAAGGATACAGTTGGTGCGCGAGATGGTAGGCCATGAGCGGCAGCGCCTGGTGCCAGTGCGTGGGCGCGCGCGCGGCGGCGAGGTGCGTGCGCGCGCGCCGTCCGCCCGCCGCCGCCGCGTAGGCCGCCGCCACGCCGCCCTCGCCCGCCGCGCCGCCCTCCGCGCCGCCCTCCGCGCTCTCTCCGCCCAGCGCCGTCAGCTTCAAGCGGAACGCTTCTGATGAACCCGCTGACCTACACATTATAAATATAAAATCAAATATAAAATAATCAAATTTTTAATTCAAATTCATAATTTTAAATAAAACTTTCGCAATATCCTAATAAATATATATAAGTATCATTAAAATATAATATACAATTAAGTTTATCTTGAACTATCATTTACAAATCTATAATTTCTATCTGTATCAATCACTATCAACCAAAGACTGTAGGGGTTTTCGTCTCAGCCCGTACAATAGTATTATCAAATTTATTCAGCTTTAAATTATAATTAGTTGGATTGAACAAGTCTACCACCGGTTGAGTAAGAAAACGCCCTAGTCCTGAGAAAAACTGGTAAGAAGCCCAGCAAGACTAAATTAAAACATTGTTGATAATATTGAATAATTAACACATGATGAAAAGATCAACAATGTTCATATTTTTGTCAATCTATCTACATGATGTTTGTCAATCCAATCATTTTAATTTTTTGTACAAAGATGATACTCACATATTATGTTTAAGTAAGGAGCGGTTCGAAACATTCAGAAAAAAAAGATAAATAAGACTATCCAGTAGAGCTTTGACAAAGACTTGCATTAAGTTAACCATTATAAACAGACTAAATAGCGAGTTCATTGATCGAATTCATTTTTGTTACTTTCCATCCTGACATACTGCCTTTTCTAGTCGGTAAGTAGTTGTACAGGTGATGTGCGTAATTGCATTCCCAACATTAAAATAAAATAAAAAAAAATCACTAACAATGTAAAAACAATAATATTCACAAACAATGAAATCTAGAAGCCCCCATATTTTTATATGTCACCTATTTAAGAACAATTGGATTACTGAGACGAATCTAGCGTACCTTAATTAAAGAAAGAAAAAGGTTTGGAAGATATTAGGGAATAAAGAATATTACAAACAAACATACAAAGATAGGCGTGAAAAACATAACCCTTTCCTTGCAGTCGGGTAAAAAGGGGGTGAATATGACGTAATCAGGGTATACTAACGGTCGCTGTACGGTGGCGGCGCGCAGCCACAGCAGCGCGCGGTAGGCCTGCCAGTGCACGGCGCAGTGGCCGGCGCCCGGCACGCCGCCCGCGCCGCGCGCCGCGCCCAGCGCCGCCAGCGCGCCTCGCACTACGCGCGCCCTGCAAACAAGTGCCGTCGTAATCCTTTGTCCATACTAATATTATAAATGCGAAAGTGTGTTTGTTTGTCCTTCTTTCACGTCGAAACGGAGAGACGGATTGGCGTGATTTTTTGTGTGGAGATAGTTGGAGGGCTAGAGAGTGACATAGACTACTTTTTACTGCGGGAAAACACGTAATAATACGATCCAATATTTATGATCAGAATTACTTGAAACTTGGTATTAATGCTCTTCAATCAAATTAAATAAATACGTATTTCAGCATTTTTCCAAATTCATATCCCATAAGGGGGTAAAATAGGAAATGAAACTTTGTATGAAACTATTTTTTCAGAGATTTTTTTGCAGTTTTAGCGCGAGAGAAGCCGCGGGTTCTGCTAGTAATTTAAAATAATTACGCAAGTTCGATATTTATTTAGACCGATAACTATCGAGATTATATATGTATATAGAAAATAAATACTAAAGTAGTGTTCAGTACGTAAAGATAATATATGAGAGTATACTCCTTTAATTTTATATTTTATTTTATGATCCAATTAGGCTATATTTATTTAGTATTTTATATAGTTTTGCTGTAATAACAAGCTAATATATTTTAAAAGTAAACTTTAAATGTAGTTTTATAATATAATTAAATAACTCAGGAATACATGAATTCTGTAGGAATTTTTTAAGTATAAAATGAATATCTAATTATAATAAGAAGTAAAAAAATTAATACAGCTACCTCATTTCGGCCATTTGGCGGATTGCTTCAGTAACAATTGCTACACCCAAGTCACTGGCAAACAAATTATCGTATTCACTTGTTTCTTCATCATCACCTATAAAAATATCATATAAGTATATACATCAAAAAATTTAAGCAAATTTATAATTTAAATAAATATTACTTTTACAAGTGTCTAATTCAGGTACATCTAATTTCAAAGCGTCATTTAACTCCAAGACAGCATTTTGCAAATCTTTGATGGGTTCTAAAATGGATGTTATTTCATCTATCTGCTCAGGTGAGAGAGTCTGAAACAAAAAAACATACAGTTTAAAACATTTTCAACCGACTTCAAAAAGGAGGAGGTTCTCATTAGACTGTTTTTTTTTTATGTTTGTTACCTCAGAACTTCGTCATTTATTAACCGATTTGGACAATTTTTGTTTTGTTTGAAAGGGTATACTTCCAGATTGGTCCCATTTAAATTTCAAAAAAAATACCACTCCTAAGGGTAGAAAAATAGCTAATAATGAATTTAACCTACTTCTAATTGTCATATTGACTTGAAACTTTGCAAGTGTTTCTATTTCCGTTGATAGTACAGTGGTTCGGTATTGTTGACCTGATCTGATGGTAAGGCCAGAAGGTGGATAGGTGGAACTCTTCAACGGCTAATAGTAGATACTTTGAGTTTGGGCTTATTTTGTTTGATTCGACAAGCCTAACACGTTAGAATTCTTACTTTGCTACTACTGTTTACACTAAAAAGGGAAAAATAAAAACTTTTTAACAAAAAAATAAAAACAGACTTCAAACAAAAGCACTAAAAAGTAAAAAAATAACTGATTGGTAGTTTTCATTTACTATACATACCTAATCAAATATTTTCGAAGTCGGTGTGCTTTGGCTAAGTAATTAAATACTATTAAATACATACTTAATTAAATATTTTCGAAATCGGTGCCAGCCCATACAAAGCAAAGCAGTGTGTGTGTGTGTGTGTGTGTGTGTGTGTGTGTGTGTGTGTGTGTGTGTGTGTGTGTGTGTGTGTGTGTGTGTGTGTGTGTGTGTGTGTTTGTGTGTGTGTGTGCGTGCGTACATACGTACCGGCGCGTCGAGGGCGGCGTGCGCGGGCGCGTCGTGCGGCGCCCCCAGCAGGTGCAGCAGGCGCGGCAGCAGGCGGTGCTGCGGCGCGGCGCACGCGAACAGGCGGCGCTCCAGCTCGGCCGCCGCCGCCGCGCTGGCGCCGCGCTCCCAGCGCGCGCCCGCCACCACCACGCGCACCGCGTCCGCCGACAGCTCGCCCGCCTCGCCTGCGCGGCACACGAATATACTATACTAGCATTTCCCCGCGTCTTCGCCCGCGTATACTGTATTCGCAGAATGAACCAAGCACTTAAGATTTCGCGCTTCCACGTGATTAGTTGCAGATAAGACGTTTAGGCTGCGATTACAATGCAAGTCATTATTAGTCCGTCGTTGCATTCCGTACCGTTCAGAGATCTCTCGTGTAGTTATCTGATTTATTATCAATGTAGGAGACGACAGTGATATGTCGGAAAGAGAAAATTAATAAATAATGTACATATACAAATATTTTAAAATACAGTTAATTTTAGTTTAATGTTCATTTTATTTGTATGTTGAGTGTTGATTTTATTTTATTACAAATTATTATTAATTCCTCACTAAAGCATTAGCAACATGAACGAGCCCTATGATTTCAAACCAATTGCAAGTGTTAGTGGGCGTAGTTTTCTGTCTTTTTTTTCTGTCTTAATCAGTTTGTATACTAATGTGGGACAGAAAAAGCGCTTTGCATGGTTCACTCCGTGAATAGAGTATAGTACCTTCATTATGTATTATTATATCTTTATAAATTATATCATACATATAGGCATATGTTATTCTGATGTATAAGATATATAGCAATATACCTAAGTAAGTTTTTTGAAGCTTAAAACATTCGTGACCTATAGCAATAAAGTTAAGTCGCGTTTGTTAAGTCTAATCTTTGTGGGTATTGTTATTGCTACCATTGTTTATTATCAGTATGTATGTATATCTTTATATATATAATTCTTCTGTGAGTGTGTATGTCACTGAACTTCTCTCAAACGACTGGACCGATTTTGATGAAATTTTTTGTGTGTGTTCAAGGGGATCTGGGAATGGTTTAGATTCACAATTTGAATAATAATTTTCATCAAAAAAATTATTAAAAAAAGTTTGAAATTTTCAAATTAAAGACGTGTAGACAGGACAACGTCTGTCGGGTCCGCTAGTATTATATATATAAATAAAAAGATAATTGTTATATAAATAAATATTATAAATATGAAACCAATATGCTTAACTAGTGAGAGTGAGTTACCCATAGCATCAGGTAAGGAGTCCTCCGGTGAGAGCATGACACGCTCGAGCGGCTCGAGCTGGCGCACCAGCGACACGCCGCAGCGCCGCAGCACGCCGCACCACCACCCCGCCTCGCCCACGCCACACTGTTGTATGGAGAAACATGCTGTAGTTTTACTTACTATAAGACATCATCATTGTATGTATTCAGCCCTCTTTAACGTCCCACTGCTGGGTACGGGCATCAGTACGAGGGGAATCAGGCCAGAGTCCACCACGCTGGCCAAGTGCGGATTGGCGGACTTCACGTCTTTTGAAAACTTTCTAGGTTCTCTCAGACATGCAAGCTTCCTCACTATGTTTTCTTTCACCGTTTAGACAAGTGGTAATCATGTTGGAAATGATTCGCACATAAATATCTAAGGTTGCAAGACCCGGGATTTGAACTCGCTTCACTCGGTTTCCCAAGCGAGCGCGTTACCACTGGGCTACCACTGCCTTTATCATTGTATGCGTGTGTACATTTGTTATTCCTTCACGATGATACTGATGATGGATTGATTTGGATAAAATTTTATGCACAAATAGACTGTAATCTAGACATTATAGTAATACATAAGCTACTGTTAAGTATTTAGAAAAGTAGACGAATGAGGCGAGAATTACTTGTCATAATATAAAGGTGAACTATTGAAATGAGAAAGTCCCTTATGAAAAAACTATGTAGAATATATTGTATATCCATGTTTACCTTAATAACATGCAACATATAACGGAGATAAAAAAAATCTCCGATTGTCTAAATGTTTATATTTTTTTAAATACATAATAATAAATATGTATTATTTTACTTATTTTCCAACTTACATGTTTAGAAACCATAAGACCCAGCGGCTTCTGTAAGCCCTCCATGTATTGCAAGCACCAGCTGTACAAATCTGACCAACATCTGAAATTATAGTATGTATTACAAACATTTTTTATTTTCAAAACATAATTTATACATAATTAATTTCACCTGATGTAAACTACGTTCATATCTCTTTTTTTTTATAAAGAATATATTATACTTTTCGTCATGAGATGGAAAAATAAACTATTTTGACACTACATTGTAAATTCTGCCTAAAATGTATAATATTTTTAATTATAAAATACTTTTCACCTAGTGGTTAGACGGATAAGCACAACTTTACTTCAGATTTATTTTATTACTACAATGTAAAGATAAAAAAATGTAGGACCTAACTAGTGGCTAACATATATATATGGCTGCAGATCAGAATAAACTGGCTTCAATATCTGGGTTAGGCCAAATATTGTATTTTTTTATCAATACAAAAAGTTAAACTCAGGAAACATGTCGAGCTGTCCCACTGTGCTCTTTGAGGTTGACAAAAAGGGAATGCACTATATCTTTTCACACATAAAGTTGGCTAATGTCAGTGAGATTGCCCACTATGGCCGAAATCGGTCAAAGAGCGACTATACTCGTATAGTTACAATCAAACTAACTTATGCATGAGATGCGAGTGGTCGTGGTCGGCGCGCGCGCCGAGCGCCCGCACGCGCGCCGCCACGGCCGCCGCGCACGCGTCGCCCAGCTCCGCCTCCGCGCCCGCCTCGCCGCCGCCCCACGTGCGCCGGTACATCTGCCGCACGCGACATGCGACCATTAAATAGTGCTATACTATGTTCGCCGAATGAAACAAGTACTGACATTTTGCGCTTCCACGTGATTAGTTTCAGATAATACGTTCAGGCCGCGTATACAATGCAAGTCATAATTAGCCCGTCGTTGCATTCCGTACCGTTCAGACGTCTCTCGTGTAGTTACCTGATTTATTATAAATGTAGGAGATGACAGTGATACGTCGGAAAGTGAAAATTAATAAATAATGTATACAAATATTTGAAAATACAGTTATTTTTACTTTAATGTTGATTTTATTTTATTACAAATTATTAATAATTCCTTACTAAAGCATTAGCAACATGAACGAGCCTTATGATTTCAAACCAGTTGCAAGCGAGTGGATGGAGCTAGACAGTTTTCTGTCCTTATCAGTTTGTATGCTAATGTGAAACAGAAAAAGCGCTTTCCAGGATTCACTCCGTGATCAGAGCATAGTAGTTTAATGTTTAATTAAGCCAGGCAGCATAGATCCAACAATATGTTTCATGCGAGACAGGAAAATCCTTCTATTATGCGAGTTATGAATTAACAAGCCTTTTGCATGCTTTATATTTGTTTGGTATTTCGGTTTCATAGGATTTGCGAATAATAAATAAGCTTATTCCAGAAACAGCGTGTAATCTAGCACATATCCTAGGAAATTATTTATATATTCAAACTTTTGTCTTAAAATTAATTAAAAGCATAGTACATCATCACACTTTCCACATGAAGTATCAAAACATAACCACTTACTACAAGAGCCTTCTTAACGACGGCAGACGGAAAGAGTCCGGGCGCGAGCAGGCGGTCCCGGTACTGCTGGTGCGAGGACAGCTGCGGCAGCGCGGGCGGCGGCTCGCGCGCCGCCACCGCGCGCCAGCTCACCTCCGCGCCGAGGGCGCTGCCTGTTATAACACCACACATTACGTAATCCTATACTATGTATTCAGCCCCATTTTTTTAACGTCCCACTGCTCAACACGGGCCTCCCGACCATACGGTGGGATTCAGGCTATAATCCACCACGAACCAAGTGCGGGTTGGCGGACTTTACATGACTTTCGAAATTTGAACCCACTTCAATCAACCCGGGATTTGAACCCGCTTCATTCCATTACGCAATCTGTGCGCATATTGATGGATACATCTGCATAACAATACTAGATATCACCCCATATTTCATAATCATATACTATAGATAGGGCGCCCTAAGCACTAGCTCCTGCACAATGGGCAATAAATTGTCTAAATCCAGAAAAAGCACTGCATAGAAGAAGACTAAAACAGATATTTCGTACACACGTAATACTCTGTTCCATATGGTTTCATTACCTTGAAAGTTCAAAATAATTTACATAATTATATTTTGATATAAAAAAATATACTCACTTGTCACAACAGCATCTCCATCTGGTTGAGTCCAGAGAGCCCAAATGACTTGGTTACCATCACCATAACCAATGGCATAATCTAGTAAGTCCAACTAAAAAAAATAATTATTATATTCATAATGAACAACAAAATGTTGTAAGTGCTACCAAAAAAAGTATTTCATAATGAGATTCCTACCTGAGGTCCAAAAATGTGACAAATTTGTGAGAATTTAACAGCTCCAGCACCTCCATCATGCATTTTCATTACCACAAATTCACATTCGTTGGGAAATGATAAATAAGCCACCAATACAATGCTCCCATCTGATCCAGTTGTAGACTGCAGCATGTGACCATGAGCTGTATGTTAAATAAATATTTACTATCAAATATTTATAAAATTGTAATATGTTGTAACATTATAATGACAAAAACAAAAGTATGTTTTAAATTTTGGGTTTAATATATGGGACACAGCCCCTGAAGGGGGACTTGTATTTTTAAACTATCTCAAAATATCTCTATTCAAAAATATAAGCCATCCAGGGTCATTCCATATATTAAATGGCAGCCATTTTATTGTTTAAAACTTTAATATATATTATTAAGTGTTCAATTAATTAATATTTACAGATACTTTTATTAAAAATCAATCATAATTATAATGTGTTAATACTTACGAGGTGCCTTAGGTCGCACTAATGTTTGTGACAGTGGTGTTGATACAGCAGTTGGAGCTCCACCTTCATCTAAGAGCCAGGCTCTCAGGCATGTATCTCCACAAACAGCCACAGCTAAACTATTTGTCAGAACTACACCATATGTATCCACTCCATCACCACCTTTACCTCTAAATTTAAAAAAAAAGTTAGAAATCTATCTAAGTATATTAAAATTGTTTATAATTAAAAAAAATAGAAAAAAAAATCTACCTCAAGGCTCCTGTAATTCCAGACAAAAATCTGGGAACAGTTGATTCTCTTTTAAGTATTATTGTGACAGCTGAACCAGCAATTGGTAGTTTAACCAATAATAATCCACCTTCACCTCCATAACCAAAGGCCAAAGCAAACACTGCTTCACCATTATCTCGCAATAACGATGCACATGAATGTGCAACTCCTGTACCTAAAATAACAGATTTTTTTAAACAATACAAAATGTCAACATATATTCTTAAATAAATGATTTATGATCAATACATATGTATTTAAATTGTCAAGTTATAGACTCAAGATACATAATGGTTCTACTTAATATGATTTCAACAAGAACACTTTTTTCTTTCTTTAATTATACCAACAGTCCATTAACATACATTTGCAACAGCAATTTGTATATATATGGTATATGTATAAATTTTAACTAATTTAGTCCAGAACATTTGGAAAATTAAACAAAAACAAACTTAAATCATACTAAAAAGCTTGTTTTTAATTGAATAATTATAAGTATAGCTTTGCTTACATGGCAAGGATGGAGGGTAATGGATATGTCCAAATCTATCCCAATGATGCAAGCTATATCTTAGCCAAAAATTGAAATCTATTCAATGGTTTTGGTTTCAGAGTGAAATTTCAAAGTAATATTTTAGAGTAAAATTATAAAAATGTATATAATTATAAAAAAAAACTCCTTCACTTACTTGTATTAGAGTATTGATTCAATATAAAATAGTTATTTGGGTTGTTTACTGCAGAAGTATCATGAAAAATTGAAGGGGAAATGCTACATATAGATCCAAAAGTAGACTGAAAATATAAGAGATTATACTAATATAATTTATAAAGAGAATATTATATAGAGTAATAACTATATTTAAACTTAATAAAACATACCATGAAACAATTGGTTTTACCTTTCTATCTAGAACATCTGGGTGAGGAAATACTAATCTATGCACTGATGATACTGTGGCAGCTAATATGATTATTTGTTGTGATGCACTCCTTTCATAGATTTCTATATTATTCAAAGGTGGTGTTCCTGGAGCCACTTTGCATCTTAAGTTGCTGCTGGATAAGTTTACATCAAGAGATGCTTCTGACAACTCTATAGAGTCTGATGTTGTTTGCCTATAAAAATAAGGTTAGTTTATTAAACAAATATATAATTATTTAATTTAGCATCAGATGAAATTCATTTTTAATACCAATATATAAATCTATTTCTTGTATTTGCTATTTTCGAGTCTCGGTACCAATATCCACCGGCTTTGTGAGGCAATTTTATATCTTGTAAAGTACTATGAGTTCCCCCTGTGAAAGATAAATTTTACATTTATTTCACATATTAAAGTCTATATATAATATAGATTACAGTAATGTAAATTTTACCTGTATTTAAAATTATTTCCTTCCATTTTTCAGGGATATTATGGTTTGGTGTTATTTCTTTAAAAGTAACCGGTATAGTTTCAACGAACTCCATTGTACTGAATTATATTTTGAAGTAAAATTTAAAAAGTACTTTTCTCTTTATGTAAGTTACAATTCTATATAGCAAGTAAATTATGTATGTATTAAAATTTTTACCAAAATTATTTCATAGTAATTCTTACAAGTACAAACAATCTAGAATTCAATGAGCATTTAAAAACATAGTAGTTATTCTCGTAACGCGCACACATTGGTCATTACTCATTGACATCATGGATGACAAACAGTTGACATAAACTATAGATAAAAGATGCAACCAGCGTTGCCAGTACCAATTTATCAAATTCCCCGAAAATCTATCTCAAATTCCCCAATTTGGGGACAAAAATACACTGATTCCCCACAAATTCCCCTTACAATAATTAAAAAAAAAAACAAATTTCAACTATTTAAATACTATTTATTTTTTATCTTTTATATTTTTAAGTAATTTTGAATAAAAGTTAAAACTATTTTTTCGGATTTTTCTTTATGTTTGTAATATAATAACTAAATAAAATTCATATAGTCCAATCGGAATCCGGTTTGGGAACAAACAAATTAAAACTTAAATTTTTAAGTTTTTAAAACGTATAATGTGAGGTATATATGCAAAGCGTTAAAAAATAGTATTTTTCAATTTTCGGCTTATTGCGACATTCTATCGAAAAATATTTCCTACAAAAGTTGTAGGTAACTATTATATTATAAGGAGGGTAGAGGTAAGGAGGACCATCACAGTATATTAAAAAGTGACCATTGAAAGGGAGCAAATTAAGGTGGAGCTATAATAGCAAATGGAAGAATTATTTTAAAAGGAGCGCCACAAATTATTAGAGTAAGATACAAAACTAAAAAAGGACAGACATTCTTTTTGCATTGACAACAATAAAAGCATCAAAATAACAAAGATGTATCAACAAAATTTTATAAAAAAACAAATCACTATGTTCGTTATTTCAAGAGTTTCATATCTTATTATTTACTAAATAATTATAGTTGACTACGTAAATTGTTCAGAATTTAAATACTGTATATTTTTTACTACAGAAGTCAAAAAAAATATTAAATTTTTCAACCCAGCACACTTCACTCTGTATATAACTGCTAACTTCATATCCCAAAGAGGGTTGACGTCAGGCAGATGGCCGGTCGGAAAACTTATGCCAAAACGAATTAGCAGTGACTTACTGCGCCGACCCCAAGTAACTTGGGAAATGGGCAGGAAGAAGAAGATTATATAAAATAAAATAAATAATTTATAATATCGACGATATATACACATATAATAAAAATGTAACGGATCGCTGTCTGTATATGGAAGATATACGAGAAAAAATATTATTGAAACCTTTATCAACACTGCTATTTGTAACCAAAACAATGATTGTTAGATTTTTTGTCTGTCTCTTTATCTGTTTGTCTGTGCGTTTGTGCACGCTAATCTCGGAAACGGTTTATCCTATTTAGATGTGGTTTTCATTAATTTATTGTGATAAACTTTACTTAACTTTTAGTGTTTATTTCATGTCAATCGATTCATAAATAAAAAAGTTATGCCAATTTAAAAAATCACGTCGAACATTTGTTAAACCTTAACGATTTTTGTACGGGCTAACCTCCGAAACCGTTGGGACCGTTTTAAATGAAATTTTGCATGGTGGTACCGTATAACCCCTTTCAACATTTTAGAAACTTTTCATCCCGAAAAATAAATGACTTCCTGGAGGATAGTTAACAAACTTTAGTAACTTATACAGCTTATTACACGACAACTTATGCACCTAATTTAGTAAAATTTGTCATGCTGATATTTTATATTGCTGGTAAAACAACAGGTTACTTTTTATTGCGGAAAACTGAATGGTTCCCGTGGGATAGATCTGTTTGTTCTTTTCTAGAGGCGAACCCGAGCGAAGCGAGAGTGAGCCGCTAGTATATATTATATACATAATAATTAGTTATATTTTTTTCTTTCAACGCTGAACCTATGCCTCTGCTGGTGCACTTGAAAACTAATTCACGTGCCAATCAAGAATTAGCACACTTCGGCATTGTACGCCAAAGTACGGCATTATGCTCTGTAATTGGTAAATACGGTATGACTGCAAGAGCGGTCAGTTTAAGTTGATCACTGGATAACTGCTCAAGCAGTTCGTGTATGGCCGGCCTAAAGCGCATTATGAGGCATAATATTAAACTTCGAATTTTTCAACTACTGCAACGCTCCGCGCAATCGAGCACTTTAAATTTTAAAAGTACTGCTTTGGCATGACCAACTCACTCAGTATCAGAAAATATAATAAGTGTTTTTTCGCGTTGTTCGAGTTTGTGTGCCAAAGTGCGGCATTATACTCTGTAAACAGGGCCTATTGCGTAAAAAGCAACAAAACGGTAAGAACAAGTTGACGAAGAAAAGTAGTATAAAGTAGCAATAAAGATTTCATAAGTCAGTGCCATCATTTTTTTTTTTAATTTCAAGTTTATATTGAAAATTTTCCTCTAAAATATTATACCATTATACAAATATTATACCATAAGCAAATCTCTGACGTCATTTATAAGAAACAAGTTCTGAATACAGAGAAATAATATCTACATATTTGTGAAACAACACAAACAGACAGAGACAGTTGCGTGTTTTAAATGACAGCGTCATTTCCCTCAGTTTTCTAAATTTTCGTTCGTGGTTTTAATTTTCTATATATGTGTATTAAATTCACAAATAATTTAGTTTATGGCTTTCAATTACATATTTAAATACTAAGAACCTTCCAACTAATAATAAAATATGGTGATTTTATTCCCAGTCATAAATTTATAGGTTTGTATAATAAGTCATCGATTTTTATGTTTATTTCATAAGCTTTAATAAGTATTTCTTAAATAATTATTTAATAGTTTGTAAATGGCACTATTTGCAGAAAAGTTTTGATGTGTTTGTTTCAATTTATGCTTATAGTTTTACGTAAGTTTAATTTAGAATGTAGTTGAATTTCTTTGTCACATTTGCATAGTTACAAATTTTTAACTATTCTACATAATATAATACATTTTTTTCAATAAAACAATGTTTATTTAATTAGTTTAAAAATATATATTTCGATAATTATTGTGTGATATATAGTTTTTCGTAATATTACTGGCCTAAATTTGTCATATTTTTTTAAATAAAAATAGGTGTTTACAGTTTAATTTGTGGATATTATGTGTATTTTAAATAAATTTAAGCAAAGGTTTTTAATTTAAGCTCGCTAAATTTTATAGGATTACTACTGTAGTGTATTAAAATCAATAAATGTATCAGTAGTATTTATATGACTTCATATTTCTTTGCATAAAATAGGATATTATTGATCATAAAAAATTGTTCTAAAACACTTATGTAATTTAGTAATTTATTTATAAAATTTATAATTGTGTAATTTTTTTGGTAAATTGATGGTTGAAATGAAGACATCATACTTTTTTAATTAATTCAATGCTTAGTTTTTAAATGTTTTGCAACAGTTTATTTAAAATGGAATTTACTGGACTACTTTAAGATTTAAAACAATAATATTTATTTATTGCTTTACAAAAATTATATCAGGTTACTTCTTTTAGTATGCAAAACTTTTACATTTATTTGCTTTTTAGATAAAATATAAAATTAATCTATTTTAATCAAGAACCACTATTTAGACATGTTGGGTAATAAATAATTTAACACTTTAAATACAACTATGCCACTACCATAAACTGTTTGATACATAAAGATCATTAAATGATTACTTCTCCATATCAACTCGGACATAATTATCCAAATAATAATAAACATATAGTAAAAGTCAAACTTTTGCTAGATATTTTAGCATACTAATGTTATTGGTAAATATGTAATACAAATAATACATAATATTATATTGTACTAGCGACTCACCCTTGCTATGCTCGGGTTCGTCCCTACTTACGTTTTAACATTTAGTATAGATTTCTCAGAGATGAGATATTTTCTGGCAGTAAAAAGTATCCTATATGTTGACTCTGATATCTAGCTATCATCATACCAAATTTCATCAAAATCCCTCTGGTGGTTTTTACGTCATGCGGTAACAGACAAACAAAAAATTAAAGATTCAGACTTTGTATCAATAATATCATCATGATATAAATATGAAATTTCAATAAGCTTTTCCAAAAATATGTAATGTACAGATTCGACTCAGTTCAAATTTTATTATATGTATAGATGATGTTGTGAAACTTGGTGTGATAATTTGACTAGCAGTTGACAGTTTTTTAAATTATTTTATTGTAGTCGTAGTTATTTGTATAAAAGATATTTTTTTGATAAATTGTAGCGCGGTGGCGGGTTGCGAGCACGGTGCAGGCGGGGCGAGCTCGGGCGGCGGGCGGCCCGCCGACACCATTCGCCGCGTCAAGGTGAAGATGTCGTCGGTGTCCGCGCAGGGCGTCGTCGAGCGCGCCTCGGCCGAGCTCTCGCGCCGCATCACGGGCCTCGGCCTCCGCGGTCGTAAGAGGTCCCCCGGCGTGGTCGAGCGCGTTGCCAACGCGCTCTGCGGCCCCGCCGCCACTGCCGCCCCCCGCATACCGCGCAGACGACGACCGTCACCCAGACCTTTAGTTTGGAACCAATTCATAATGGAAGACAGATTTCTTGAAATTTTTTTTCTTTATTTTAATGCAAACGATAGGAGATCACTGGCTCAAGTTTGCACGAAATGGCGCGACATTCTCTATTCGTCGCCGCGCTGGTGGTCCGGTCTCGTGGCTGTGCTAGACTGTCGCGAGCTTAGATCGGAATCTGGCTGTTGCATGCAGAGATTTTACAATTCTATAGTGAGGAGGGGTATACGCGGTGTAATTTTGGTATCTGCCACCGATGATGACATAAACGAGTTTATAAAACAATTTCCTGTATCAACCCATCATATACACGCTATCGGATTAAAAGGCTGCACAATAACAGATAGAGGATTAGAAGCTATATTGGATCACTTACAGGTCAGTTGTACTTTATTTAGCGCATCAATTTAATAAAAATAAAATATTGCATTACAATTTCATTTCTTTTAGGTTCTTTTTGAACTAGAACTAACGGGCTGCAATGAGATAACGGAAGCTGGTTTATGGGCATGTCTAACTCCAAGGATAGTTTCACTTACGCTTACTGACTGTATTAACATTGCTGATGAGGCTGTAAGTTCTTTTTTAAACTATAACAATAATTATAACTCATTTAATTAAAGTTTCAAGGTATAAGATACATTAAAATTATTAAAAATATAATCAATATCACATCCATATTAATACATTTTTTACATAAGCCACATAATATAATTAATCCCTTTTTTACATGTTGGAAAATGCATTTATGCATAACATCTGTATACATGTAGGTTATTATGTAGGTCTCACCGCCTAGAAAAGTCAGTACTATCCACAAAAACCCAACAGAACCTCCCCTGTGTAAGACATCGCTTACGCCCTCAACCACGACGCCCCGACTGCCGAAGCAGCCCACACAACCATGGGGTTGCTCCCTCGGTCCACTCTGCTATCACAGAAGTACCAAGAGCAAACTGCATGGTACACCGCCCACCTAGGTGGGCCGCCTCCCAGTACGTTTTTTGGCTTCGCGCCCGGGTAGATTGCCGGACGCTTATGAGACAATTACAGTAATTAATTTGAAACAATTCTAATCATTGGATGATCGCCTGCTGCCTACTGTCTAGATTTTTATACTGTGCTAATATTGAAGGCATAAATGAAACGCAGGTGGGTGCAGTGGCACAGCTCCTGCCGTCCCTGTACGAGTTCTCGCTGCAAGCGTACCACGTGACGGACGCCGCGCTCGGCTACTTCTCGCCCAAGCAGAGCGCTTCTCTCAGCATACTCCGGCTGCACAGCTGCTGGGAGCTGACCAATCATGGCGTCGTCAATATTGGTATTGCTATGACTGAATATATTTTGTTTGAATTATTTTTTATCATTTTATAACTTTTTACATAGGATTTTTGTCTTATAGATTTATAATAAACTAGCGACTCACCCTCGCTTCGCTCGCTAGCTTGCTTCTATATTTCCCTTCCCCATACAATCTTTCATCCCCATTTTCATCCTCTTAAGGGATGATTCCAGGATAAAAATATATAAATATTCGGATAAAAATATATAATATATAGATTTCGTTTTAAACATTTTAGACGATAAATTTACTTATTTTAATAACAATTCAGAATTGTTGATAATATGACCAATAAACATGACCTACCGATTTAATTTAATTTTTAATATAAAAAACTACTTTTTGTGACTTAAATATAAAAGTTAGACATATGCTGTCGCTGACTTTTTTGTAGGCATTATTAAGCTCTACAACTTTTCTCTAGAACAATCATATATCTCTCATCGTTAAGGCAGCGTTCGTAAGAAACGTTTTGGTTCGACCGTTTTTTCTCCGACTTACTTTGCAAATCCGATTACCATGAAAGAGTTTTCATTCTTCGGGTTAATATAGAGCATATGACACTCAGAAAGAACGTGGCTTTGTGTTGGTAAAAGAACTTTGTAAATCGGTTCAGTAGATCCAGAGATTACTCCCTACAACATCACCAACTCACAATATCACAAACTTTACCCCTTTATAATATTAGTATAGATAATGTGATTTATAATTAATATTAATTGCACAAGATGTTATCTATCTATATTCTAGAAAAATGATAATGATTAGGTTTTGAGTTCGATTCCCGGATCGGGCCAAATCAGTAACTGGGGTTTTCAGTAGCAACCCAGAGTTCAGAATTCAGCGGATTGTACATCCGCGTGCCTCGAAGAGCACGTTGTGCCACTTGCGCGAATGCTTAGGCACCATGATATCTCTTGCGCACATGGCTAGTCTCGGTGAGATTGGATGCCTAATCCGAAATCGGTTTATGTATGTTACTAATTATTACACATTAACTTTGTGGTGTTATATTGTAAATAGTTCAAAAGTAACATTTTATTGTATTTATCTTCAATTTTTTTCTCGTTTTATTATACGAATTACGATTACAAGTTTTGCTAATATATGCACATAATGGTACCTAATTCCCAACAACCTACTTATAGCACGTGATTAGTTTGTGTTTTATAACTTTTATATAATTAACTAGCTACCTCAATACACTCGGGTGCGTTTTAATATTTTTTTGGCAGAACCCTAATTCTTTTTCTAAAATAAAAGTAGCCTGAGCTACTCCTTATAACATCAGTTATCTGCCAGTGAAAGTCCTGTCAAAATCTCACCACAGATTACCCTAAATATATTAATAGATAATATATAATAAATATATTAATAGATAATATATAATAAATATATTAATAATAATAATAAATATTTTGGGTCATTAACACACAGTACCATCTGGTTCCATGGTAAGCTACGAGGCTTGTGTTATGGACACCAGATAGTTGATACACTACTCATATATAAATTTTAAATACATACATCTAATATATAAAATTTCCATGTCACAATGTTAGTTACCGTACTCCTCCGAAACGGCTTTACCGATTTTTACCAAATTTTATATGCGTATTCAGTAGGTCTGAGAATCGGCTACTATCTATTTTCCATACCCCTAAGTGATAAGGGTGGCCCACGTTATTATAAATATAAACACCCATGGCTGGAGTACAAACATTCGTGCTCATCACAAATGAATGCCCAAAGCGGGATTCGAATCCGCAAACTGAGCCAAACGTGTCGTCAAAGTTATTAAAGTAATATGTGTGTGGTGGTAATAATATGATCGTTTCCGTCCCACAGTGCACTCGCTGCCCAACCTAACAGTGCTGTCGCTGAGCGGCTGCAGCAAGGTGACGGACGAGGGCGTGGAGCTGCTGGCGGAGAACCTGCCGCGCCTGCGCAGCCTCGACCTCAGCTGGTGCCCGCGCGTCACCGACAACGCGCTGGAATACATCGCCTGCGATCTGAACCATCTGGAGGAGCTCACTTTGGACAGGTACCTATTTATTATATTATATTTAATATTGTATTCAGCCCTTTTTAACGTCCTACTGTTGGGCACGGGCCTCCCTATAGTACGTAAGGAATCAGGCCATAGTCCACCACGCTAGCCAAGTGCGGATTGGTGGACTCACATGTTTTTTGAAAACTTTCTAGGTTCTCTCAGACATGCAGGTTTGCTCACGATGTTTTCCTTCACCGTCAAGACTAGTGGTAATCATGTTGGAAATGATTCACACATGAAAATATCAGAGGTGCGAGACTCGGGATTTGAACCCGCTTTACTCGGTTTCCCAAGCGAGCGCGTTACCACTGGGCTACCATTGAATTAAACTTAGCTTAAGCATTGTAATCAATTTATGTTAAGGTGCGTACACATAACTGACATCGGCGTGGGCTACATCAGCACGATGCAGTCGCTGGTGGCGCTGTACCTGCGCTGGTGCTCGCAGGTGCGCGACTTCGGTGTGCAGCACCTCTGCGGCATGCGCTCGCTGCAGCTGCTCTCGCTCGCGGGTGAGTGGTCGCGCCGCCGCGTTACTTAGGTTATAGGGAATATATATACGTCTTTTTTTAATTTTTATGCAATAGTTAATATCTTATATAATTGTAAAAAAAATATACCGATACTAATACTTTAAAGCTCGCGCAACATTTCACAGAAAATTACGACTTAATTTGTGCCGACAAAATCGCTAATCGCTCTGTTATGATAATACTTTGACGTCATATTCGGTCTGACCAATGGCGTTCGTTTCAACTATTTTGAATTTCCCACCTATATTTGCACTTTTTAATAATTATTTTTTTAATACAAAAAAATTACATAAAAAAATTATATTATAAAGAAATATTTCACCTTTATTTAAATCACTCACATATTCCCTATTACTTACTATCTTACTCATTTACTCATTAATTCATTCACTTACCTACTTGCTTAAATTTTCTTTGTGTCGTGTTTCAATTTTTCATTAATCTTTAAAAAATGTTGAGTTAATTGCTATTTTTGAACCTTATAAAAATTATTCGAAAGTTGAATTTTCCTATGTATATTTTAATAAAGTAATTGATATGATATAGACAAATACTTGGAAAAAGGTATCAATGTATAATATAATATTCCTATAATCAATTTATTTACAAGCAGCCCTGGATTTACACTAGGGGCACTCGGGGCTAGTGCCCAGAGCGGCAAATTTTTAGGGGAAGCAACTTCGGAGGGCGGGAAAAAAATTCTCTTTGCGTTATAGAAAATACTTTTTTATTTTCCAGCAAACGATTAATTAAAAAAAAACTTTCTTAGATTTACGTGAATATTTGACATTTTAAATAAAATAAAACTATCTTTTCGGATTATCTCACGGATTTATTTTTTTATTTTTGGTTCCCGGCGTGTCGAATGCTTTACAGAAATCATGGTCACAGGAGAGACTTAGGTTTTAGATAACTCAAAGGCGTTATATACTTGTTACAGACAGTGCTTACCAACAATTTTTAAAAAGATTATTTTAAATATATTATAAATGATATTAAAAAAAATACTACATATAGTCTGATTTTTAATTCGGCGGAATTCTCACATTTCAGAAATGTTGTCAGCTTTGAAACATTGTCACTAAAAACGGAAAGCATTTTAGCAAAATAAAAAAATAAAACTTTCTTGAATTTAAGGTTTCAATTAGAAAAATTAAGACTTAAAAAAATATTTATAATAATTTTTTTTATTATCATATTATCGCAGTTATTTATAACCATAAAGAAAAATATAAATATAGTATTAATTATTTAAGCTATATTCTATGTGTAATTTCTATGTGTAATTTAAAAAAGTTAAAATTAATTAAGGATAATAATTTTAATTTAGTTTGCTATTATTTAAAAACAACTTACTAAGCAACACTATTAATATCTACTTTCACAAATGAAATATAATAATGGCAACACTAAATATAGATTACTAATTAATATTTTAAAATTGTAATAATTATAAAAATAATAGCAAAAATTAAATAAATAATTTTCCATATTCAATTATAATTAAAATTATAAAAATGTTTAAAGTTAAAAAATATTGTAATGTAATTGGTGCAATTTTCATTTTGTTAATTGTGGGTAGGCTGTCTGTAACAACTATACATTCAAGACATGTAACACCTGAGTCTCTCCCGTGACCATGGATGCTGTAAAGCATTCGAAACGTCGGGAACCAAAAATCGAAATAAATCCGCGAAATAATCCGAAAAGATAGTTTTATTTAATAATGTGCCCTCTTAATGATCTGATAGATAGCGTGAGTGATTGTTTTATAATCCGAGTGGATGATGACGACAAGGATGATATAAGTAATAATGATTAGTAAATATTTTCATTTCTTTAATTAATAATAATAATATTTAATTAATAATAATAATATTTAATTAATAATTAAATAACAATTATTAATTATGTATTAATTAATAATAATATTATATTAATACATAATTAATAATTGTTTCAAAATTTAGAATGCATAAATATGTTGATTATAAATATGCCAGTATATTCGACTATACATTTGGCTCAGTTTTTGGTGACCCTACTTGTGCTGGCGGTCGCGGGTTCGAGTCCCGCTGGGGGCATTCATTTGTGTGATAGCACGGATGTTTGTACGCCAGTCATGGGGGTTTATATTTATAATATGTATGTATTTAAACTTATATATGTGTAGTGTATCAACTATCTGGTATCCATATCACAGGGCTCGTAGCTTACTACGGAACTAGATTGTGTTGTGTGAATTGTCCCAACATCTTTATTATTATTTATTATATAACATGTAGGATGTCCTCTGCTGACATCGGGCGGGCTATCGAGCCTCATCCAACTGCGGCAGCTGCGCGAGCTGGAGCTGACCAACTGCCCCGGCGCGTCGCCCGAGCTCTTCGACTACCTGCACGAGCACCTGCCGCGCTGCCTCATTGTGGAATGAGTGGCGCCGAACACCTCACAACTGACTTAAGCCGCGTTCACACCGTCAACACGATGGCCAACCCGCAGTGAGTGAGTGCTTAACGCTTAATGACCACTCACTTAAGCCGCGTTTATACTTTCAATATAATGGATTTTAATTGCTTTTTGCGCATGAATATTGCATATGCGATGCAGAGTGGAGCCAATATAGCGTTGGTTTGTCAGTATAAAAGATGACATCGTCTGACATCTAAAGCGGCGTAAACAGATAAAGAAAAATCATTTTTATATTAGTCATCACCATAAATATGCGGACAACTCGCGCAATATATAAATTTCGATAGCCGATATCGTAACAGATATAGCGTGTCTTTTACTCGTACATGAGTCGCGTCCAAGTTGTCTTCTATAAGCCCTAGCGTAGTGATCGTGTAAACACTGCTTAATACTGAAGTTGTTGATTCGATGCCTTAATAGTTTATTGGAGAGCTACTGGTGCTTCTAAGCCATAATTTTATTATGAATGATATTTATCTAATTATAATAATTGAACTCACGATTAGTCACGTTGTATATGTTTCTTAATTTAAATAAAAATCATATTACTTTTCACGTCTATAACTCCCTTAAACGTTTGATGGCATCGAATCAAAAATTTGAGTTAAACATGTTCTTCGGGTATGTTGTGCATATGTTTAATGAAACATATATAAGACATTCCAGACAAAAATGTATCTATGTATTATTTATTTAATAAAATATGAGATGAGCGTGGTCCACACTGTTTGTTTCGGTTTGAAACTAAAAACTCATCGATTTTCGTTAATTTTATAAATTTATGAATAATTTCTTTTCATCTGCATAGCACTACTTATCCGATGGACCAAACTAAACACGTACAATTTGTATTAAGATAATACAATAAAGCCAGTTTGTATATAGTAGGTATACTAAGGTGATCGGAGTCAATTTGTAATGTTTGCGCCATTCGCATCTAAACTTTCTGACGCTTTTAAATAATTTATATGAAATATTACCCATATGAAGCATATGTACCTACAAATATGTAAGCATAGTTATATTCTAATGTTACTTTTTAAGTATCATGTTTGCTTTAATCCCCGTTTTCGTGTACCTCTATGTGATGGCGGTATTTTCTTTCACGTTTTCTGTGAATTATTTTATTTTACCATACTAACATTCTTTTTATGAGAATCAGAATATTATCATTTTCATGGATAGAAATTTTTATTATTACCAAAAATTACTGGAATTCTTAAATATTTTTAAAGGTACTTGTTGATATATATTTACACACAAAGCCGTACATACATACATAAATTATAAAATCCCTAACACTTGCTCAATTTCTTCCATAAATAAAAATATATTTAATGGTAACTGTAAATACATATGTCTAATTGTATAAAGAAATCATAAAATAAATAAACATTATATTAGTTATTTTAATTTAAAAAAAATATATATTTGTTTTATAAAATCATATTATGTATAAACACAAATATTTGATGTTATTATACCTAAGTATTTATTTATAAAATTATTACAATGTTATCAATACACAAAACAAGTATGTATTTTCTTCTTGGGACCTTTAACATTATATTACTTCATATTTAATAATATATTAAATTAATTATAAAAATGGCTATTACACTGAGCTGTCTATAGGTGTAGTGCACATGCTCTGCACCCGCGAGCCTCGACGTTTGGTTACATCGTAACTAAATAAATGTATGGATCAGGTTTGATTTTTGAAGGGTTTTATAATGCTATTTTTACATTTATTTTTTATAATTTCTAGCTGGATATTGTTCTCATATGAATATTTTACATTTATTTATATATAAAAATGTTTCTGGTTTTTTAATTAATTTGAATGGCGGCCTGTTTTCTCTAGTCATTTATCTCTGATGTTAGAAATAATTAAATGCTTGTACACAGTAAAATATTTAGAAGTGGCTGCATTTGAAACATATAATCCTAATAAACTGGCTTTAATATAAAAATCTATATAAAACGAAACGTAGATAGAGAATTTGCTTTGTTTATACTATATTCTTATCTCTCCTACTATGCCTTAGGAAGTTTCATCGCCTGTTCATTTCACCATAACAATTGTAGTCATATTTTTTTAATTACCTATTTGTATTATTATACTTTATGACGAATCAGGTATTTGTTTCGGGACGGTTTTTACAAAAATATTTTTAAATAATTATGTATGTGTGTTACATTAATTGTAGTGACTAGCGGTGTCTGTCTCGCCTCGTCTATATCGCGGGCGACCATCGTTCCGTAGAGTATCTATTACTTGAAAAATCTCTCATTACTATACCGTCCGAATTGTCTGCATGTGTGTGAGTGTGAACTGTGTGTGGAACATGTGTAGTTGTAATTATTAATATGTTTTTAATTTTATTTTTGTTAAAATCTATATCAATTTGCCGTTTTTTATATTTTGTGTGATTCTAAAAAAATCATATATGTATATAATAACAGATCAGGCGTATTGAGAAAAAATTATCTTGAGACAAGTTTCTCTATGTCTATAATATAATGTAGATCTCATTAATTTATTGTTTGACGAGTGAATATGGTACTATGTACTAGTTCAACTTGTTTATGATTTGTTTACACTTTCGAACTCACCAAAGTCTCAGCATTCATCATTTACTTTATATTTTATATATTGTTTTGGTAAGGATACGAGATTAAGAATTGTGGTTGTAAGTGTTTTTAAGGTTTAAGCTGAGGCTGCTGATTTATTATAGATTTTAAGGGAGCTTTCTTTTACTACGATAAGAGATTACAAATGTTTCTGAACATCAGCAGCCTTAGATTAAATGTACATGTATTTACTTATATGTGTATGGCAATTGAAGTAGACTTAGATATTATGACCCGTAGCATTTAAAACTTACCTAGTCATTAACTTAGAAAGCACATTTCGAAATGCAATAATGAAGATGTATTAATATAATGTGATTATTAATTGAAAGACTTAGACAGCAAATAATCTAGATGTGCCTCCAAGACCTAGCTAGTATCTTGCATTTTCAAATTTCACAATCGCTTTGTGTACTTGTTTGTAAGGATCTCACAGTTTGTTTTACTTTGATATCCATTCATATTTGTATCGTTTAGGTTGCGTTGATGATTACAAAACTAACTTGAATAATATTTACTAAAAGATATAAATTTCTTTCTGTATATACTTGTACTTATATAAAGATTTGTAATTAGTCATAAAATGTAATAAATGATAGTTATAATATTGTTGAAAAAAAAGTGACTTATCCATACTTATACCTGAATGGTTGTAATGAAAACAATAAAGCAATATAATTTAACTTGTCATTTGGACGCTTTTGCGATGCTGTTTATGTATCATTTTGTTTTTTTTTATTTTCAATATATATGTCAAAGATAAGCGCTTACTGAGAGTCTCTTACCGCGTTGGTGGGTTTAGATAGTTATATTTTTATAAATGTACAAGTGTGAAAAATTAGTATGGGTTAAGCTAGATGTATCTTTTTTCTAGTCTTTGTTAGAACACAATGTTCCTTTTTTTTCAGATGTATATTTATTGTACTTTTGGTTAGTACGTAAATGCACTTTTAGATTAGTGTCGTTGTGTGATGTTTGGTTCATAGTGCGTAATTTCTTTGCGTCGAATTACATAAAGACACCTTATTTGTACAATACTAAGTGAGATGTTATAGTGCAATATAGATGTACTGTTTTAAAAAGAGTTTTATTTTTTTATTATTCCATTAGATCAGCCATACTCAACCTTTTTAGGAGCCACAAACACGTTTCAGTCATGGTGTCGAGGGCCGCAAGTAAAATTTATTTAGGTCTTAATGAAAACGTAATTACAAGTTAATGATGTAGTCACTTTTTTAACAAAGATATGTTATAATGCGGTTTTTGATGCTGCCGCATGCGGCCCGCGGGCCGCAGGTTGAGTATAGCTGCATTAGATAGACGTAAGTATATGTATAGGTATGTATGCATGACTTAATTGTAATTAATCCGTAACATTATGGTCGATTTTCATTTACTTTGCTCAGATGAATTTTGTGGCATGAAGAAAATACTGCTCGGCACTGCCGACTTACAAAAATTATTAGTAGGTACATAGTGTGGTATTGAGCGATTTGTGTCCGCTCCGGTGTAGCTTATAGAAAGCGCGTGCTTGGTTTAACCACTAATACAGATTGCCTTGTCTCGTAATTGGCGGAAAATGCACACACAAAAGAACATTCTTTGTTTATTTTCGATGTACTTAACAAAAATGGTCATAGGGACGTTCTATTTTTGATATATAAAACTATATTTTGCAGTTTTTCTTCTAGCAAATAGTACTTTGTTTTCATTAAATGTTCTAGGCAGCGCCATCTATTAATAGGAAGTTTGAACTATTATTTCATGGGAACTACTAGATGGAAAGTATAACATCAAACTAGCTCAGGGCATGGCCTATCTGGGCGATGTTCCATCCGTGACACGGTTTACGCGTGATGAGTTCCACACATCTAAAGGTCTTCATAAGCTTTCATAATATTATCACATAATGTTAGCGTTAAACCCAAAAGCTTGATACAGACAGGGCAAATGTTGCAGTTTCTCAAAATATACTATTTTATGTTAATACTTTATATTACTGGATCGTCAATTTGTCATTTAAAACACGATGGCATGTTTTAAAAAAAACCAGTTATATGGTAATAAGCATATTTATTATTTGTCTTACAATTATCAAAACTAAATCAAATTAAAATAAGTATTTATTAAAAATATAATGTTAAAATAAATCAATGTAATTCAAGGAAAAAAGGAAAAACCAATTAAAAGTACTTTTTTGTACAATTTATTGCAATAACACAATCTTACAAACAAACCATGACAACAAGTGACAAATGATGGTAACTTCAAGTATAATTCATACATCACACAATAAAGACCTTCCATAAAGGACTATGCTAAGATATATCGTGATAAGAAAAGTATAGTAATATTTATATTACTTTTATATAATTTAGCGATTTAATAATAAGAGCCAACTATATGATATTTAACACCCTATATGTGCATATATTAATTTTATCATGAAACTAAACTGAAATGCGCTGAGCACCGATGAAGACTAAAATAATTCTAAGTATAAATAATATTTTTACACATTTACACGATATGCCTATTTGGTATGGCTTTTATAAGAATGAATCTGGAGACGGTATTATCTCTCCCATCGATATATGTTACATGTAAAAACATTCGTATCAATATTCAAAAACATTAATATAGAAAAAAAAGCAGTATCCACATGGAACACATAAAATTATGAACGCCCCTTTAAAATTTCTATATTTACCTTAGATAGGTATGAGATTTAACAATTTAGCCGTTTGACATAATGCAAATAATAAAGTACATAATACAATAGTAAACATTTATAGCGTTACGTCAAACAGAAAATAAATAAAGCAAGTTTCAACAGCTTCAATTATTGATATTAGAATATGTTTGCGGTATTCGTTGGAGTCAGTCTTATGTTATTTGGTCCTGAAAAGAAAAAATCACATATTATTTTCATTAATCATTTTTTTTAATTGTGAAAGCGGGCTAGTAATTCAGCATGAACGTGTTAAATCTGATTTGCATGTAACCAAAGCAGTCGTGTTGAATGGAAGCCCATGCTCAGCATTGGAATGTTAAGTGAGCTGAATTATTACAAAACTCGTTGCCCCGTCGCGTAAAATAAAGATATGCTAATGAAATAAACGGATGGCATTTGTAGACCCGTATCGTTACTCATCTCCTTTAACCCCTATATGTTCTTATAACAAGTGCGAACCAGACTTAAGACGTAGATAGCTCGTTTTAGGGGTAGATAGATAGGTACAGTTACTAGTCGGTAAATATAGTTTTTGGGTTCTTCTGTCAAGAAATACTCGATAACAGTCAAGAAATAGAAAGTATGTAGTGTTTCTCCATGCCAGAACAGAACACGTAAAGCTCTTTCACCGGTCGTATCGAATACCATCGGAGTACATGAGTGATAAGAATTGAGATCGACCGCCGTATATATTAAACTAGCGTCTCACCCTCGCTTTGCTTGGGTTCGCCTTTAGAGAAACAAAAATGTGTTATTCCAGACTATAGTCTATCTCTATTGCAAATTTCATCCAGATCCATTCAGCTATTCTGGGGTAAAGGAGTAGCAAACACCCATACTCACTAACTTTTACATTAATAATATTTATATAGAGTAGCATTTTCCCGCAGCACCTCCGTCTAATTCATTAATTATAGCCTATATTACAGTAGGTTCATCATCCATTCAGTAATAATTGGGAGATGCGAGTAACGAGCGCACAATGCATATCCCTACATCCTCACATGCGGTCAGTGGTAGGGGCGCAGGTATGCGTCGACGGAGGCGAGATCGCGGCGCAGCCAGGCCGCGTTGAGGCGCACGCTCTCGAGCGCCTGCTGCACGGAGCGCTCGGTGCCGGGCGACGCGTGCGTGCGGAAGAACTCCTCGATGTCTGCGGCGTGCGCCTCCGACGCGAAGTTCTCCGTTGTAGACTTCACCAGCCGAGCTAGCAGGAAACCACCCTACAACCATACATTTGGTTAAATTATATTTGTAGAATATTTTTGGATAATTAAATTATTATTATTTAAAAAAACTTCAAATTAGCCTATGTATTACACCGAGTCATAGTCTATCTGTTTTTATATTTCATCTAAATCCAGCCAGCCGTTTTAGTATAAAAGAGTAACAAATATACACACATATTAATTAGTCATTTACAACTGTAGTTCAATCCGGTGCAACATTTATTCAAATGTTTGACTGCAAAGTTGAAAATACAAAAACTCATTTGGAAAGCATATGTGATAGGATTTAATGTTATAAGTTTAAAATTGAAATATCAACTATTTTTTTATATTATCCCCTATCAGAATGTCTTTTCAACATCGTGGTAAAAGCGCCAAATTATAAGTATTAAAGCTAATATGTTTTATATATTCAAGGAATTATTAAAAAAATTAACATGACTTACTTGATAACGGTCCATGAATTCTTGCCAGTGATCTTTGAAGAACTGCCACGCTAAGTCACGGCCATGCTTGCTGACCGCCACTGACACGATCACGAACACTGTGTCTTGTGATCGCACTTCATCCTGAAAATACCAGTACCACGATTAAATATATATGATATTGTTTTTTTCTTTTGACGATATTTCTACTGACTTTTTATAATACATTATCTATACAGATAAATAAAATTGAAGTGTCTGTTTGTAATGTCAAAATAAAAATTAAATAAAAATAAAATAGCCTATATTACAGGAGTCAGAGTTACAGAGTTATTCAGATAAAGTTGTTTTAGGGTTTACAAAATATCTCTGATTTCTGTGTGCCTTTTGGCAAAGGCCTCCTCCATCTGTCTCCATTGGACTCTATCTAGCGCCACTCGTGTCCACAGTGGCCCTAGAGTTTGGCAGATTTCATCCTCCCATCTCCTTATCTGGCGCCCTCTTTTGCGTTTACCGTCTCTGGGGTACCAGACCGTTACGCGTTTGCTCCACTTCTCCAGGCTACTTCTTAGTAGGTGCCCAGTCCACCTCCATTTTAATTGGTCAACTCGCGTGAGTATGTTGGTAACTTTTGTTTTAGATCTGATATCATCGTTGCGGATCTTGTCTTTTAATTTCACTCCCAACATACTCCGCTCCATTGCACGCTGACACTTTGTAAGTTTTTCCCTATGGGACTTTGTTAGCGACCAGGTCTCGCATCCGTAGGTCAAGCATGGTAAGATACATATGTCAAAGGTCTTCCTTTTAAGATGGATTCCCAGCACTTTGCTCTTCATTACTTCCTTCAAAGACCAATATTTCTTCCAACCATATGCAATCCTCTTGTTGATCTCCTTAGTCATTTGGTCGCTTGGAGAAATTATTTGTCCTAAATAAACATATTCGGTAACATAATCGAAAAGATCACCATTGATTGTTATGTCTACATGTTTTGAGTTGGTCATTATTTTAGTTTTTGTTCTTGTTCATTTCTAGCCCTACTTCCTTGCTTTTCGCAGCCAGATCTTTGATCATAAGTTCTAGTTTCTTGGGATTCTCTTCGAACAAAACAATATCATCAGCGAATCGCAGGTGGTTAAGACGACAGCCGTTTATATTTAGACCTAAGCCAGCCCAGTCTATACTCCTAAATATACTTTCTAAAACAGCTGAGAAGAGCTTTGGGGATAGTGGGTCCCCTTGTCTAACTCCTCTGTTAATAGGGAATGGGTGACCAGTTTCTTCCAGTTTTATGCTACTTTTACTTATACTATAGATGTTTTTAATTATATTTATATAGACTTCGTTAACACCCTGCTGTCTTAAGCTTGACCATATGTGGTTGTGGTTGAGCGTATCAAATGCCTTAGAGTAATCAATGAAAGCCACGTATAGGGGTTTCTGGTATTCGTTGTATTTCTGGATGATCTGTTTCACAGTATGGATATGGTCAATAGTGCTGAAATTCTTTCTAAACCCTGCTTGCTCCACCGGTTGATTCTCGTCCAGCGTTTTTGATATTCTCTCCTGTAAGACTTTGACAAACACCTTATATATATTAGACATTAGGCTTATAGGCCGGTAGTTACCCATCTCATCTTTAGCGCCTTTCTTGTGTATGAGGATTATGTGGGATTCGCCCCATTGATTTGGAATGAGCTTTGTGCGCAGGATGTCGTTGAATACCACTGCTAGTATTGGGCTTAATTCCTCAATTGATCCTCTCATTAGCTCATTCGGGATTTTATCAGGTCCCGGTGCTTTTTCTAGTTTTTGGGAATTTATGGCCTTCTCGACCTCTCCTGCAAGTATAGATGGTATTGGGTCTTCTTTGAGTTGAGGATCAGATTTGTCTTGGTGATTTACGTCGTTAGCATGGTCTTTGGAGTACAATGTGCGGAAATAGTCTGTCGCTAATCTCTGTATATCTTTTCGTTTAGTAATGCTAGTTTGATTCTTTTTCATTTTGGGTATCCATTCTTTCCCTTTCTCTCTTAACTCTTTTAGTGCTTTCTTTATGCCTCCTGTTTTCACTATGTGTTTTTCTAAAGTTTGAAGTCTTCTTGTTTTTCTATCGTTTTTCATACTTTCCCTAATTATTTTACTAAGCGCAGAGATTTTGTTTAAGTTGTCTTTTTCCGAAAACAACTTCTTTCTTTCTTCTAGGAGATTTAAGGTTTTGGTTTTCTTGTGTTTGTTATGCTGGTTTTTGTTAATTTGGTGAGTTTGTTTTCTACCTTGTTGTATTTTTCTAGTACATCTATTTCGGACTGAACAATTTCCAGAAGAGGTTTGGTATCTGATTTATTCAATTTAGTGAGTTCTTGTTCTGAAGGTAGGAGGTTTCGATTGATTATGAATTTTCTAGATATTTTAGGTGGTGCAGAGTTTAGACAACTTCGTACCATGCGGTGGTTTGTGTTGAAGTTTAGGTTCTGAATTATGTGCGTGTCCTTAAATAGTTTGGGTTTGTTCGTTAATATAAAATCAATTTCGTTTTTAGTCCGCCCATCTGGGGATATCCATGTCCATTTGTTCTTAATTTTTTTCTTGAAAATCGAGTTTAACAGTGTCAAATTGTTTTCGAGCAAGAATTCGACCAGCTTGTGACCATTGGTGCTTCTCTTTCCGTGACCAAACTTTCCCATGATTAAATCCTCTCCCGCTTGTCTCGTGCCTACTTGAGCATTAAAATCTCCCATCACTATAAGGTGATTCTTGGAATATTTTTCCACGATTTCTGATAGACATTCGTAAAAGTGGACCGTGTCATTCTCATTAGCTTGCTCTGTAGGCGCATATACCTGGATAATAGACCAGTTTTTTTTTGTGGTTGGAGATATTGATGTGGAGGATTGCTATTCGGTCCGATATCCCTTCGAATTCTTTTATCGTGTTTTTGTGATTTGACTTAACTAAGAAGCCTACTCCACGGTGACCAGCAGTACCGCCTTTATTGTACATGATGTATTCCTTTCTTTCTACTATTCCCTCATCTTTTCTTCTCATTTCGCTGATACCTAGTATGTCCCAGTTTAGGTCTCGTAGGGCAAGTTCTAGTTCTTCAAGGCTTTCTTCTGTTCTCAGTGTTCGAGTATTCAGTGTACTGATATACATGAGGTTTTGTTTGTGAATTTGTTTTCCTGTATAATTTATTTCAGTTGGAGGGTGTTGGTCGTACTTTCCCACGGTGACCAGCCGGCTTGGGAAAGATTTTTTTTCAGTTGTGGTTGTGCGCGTTTGGTTGTTTAGAGTGTTTGTCTCCCGGTCCTGTCGTTTCAGTAGTTGCTATTTCTTGCTTGCTGTGGTTAGTGAAAGCGAGTTCGATCTAACTCTGTGCACTTGTTCTAACTTGTTTGTTTTGTTTATTTTAGTTGGGGCAGTAATTGGTTGTTCTTCAGCAGCTGCTGCAATTTTAGGTGACTTTGACGGCGATCGTTTCCGCTTTTCTGTTGATTTCTCATTTATGATCAGTTTATCATAGCGGATATAAGCTCGTTTTCCTTTCTTGATTTCTTCTTGTTGCTGTATTTTCAACTCTTTCCTTTTGTTTAGGATGTCTTTTGAGAAATCTTCACTAATGTAGACCTTTTGTGGGAAGAATATTTTATTCTTTAACATTTCCATTTTACGCCATTCGAGGGTAACAGAAACAAGGATGGGTCTTGTTTTGTTTTGCATTGGCATCCCAAGTCTACGAACGTTGCTGATCTCCCATTTGTCCCAATTGTCCAATTCAGCTTTTTCGCCAGCCGTGTTAAAGATTTCTAATACCAGATTTAGAAGGTCCGCGTGATTTTTTTCAGTTTCCTGAACTCCATGTAGTATCAAGTTGTTCTTCCTTATATCCCTCTCCATGTTTTGTACTTTTGTTTTTAAAGCATTAATCTCCTTTTTCAATTCTTGGTTTTCTTCCAGAACAGGTCGCAGTTTTTCATCTATAGTGGCAGATAGGGTTTTTGTCACATTTTCGGTTATTCTTATTGTTTGTTTTTCAAATTGTTCCTCCATTTTAGAAAGTAAAATTGTTAGGTCCGTCATGTTTCAATTTCTACTAAATGGTAGTTTTTCCTTTATGTGGCAACACTTTTTAGACTCTGGTAACTTTGGTATTCTATGTTTATGGTCGGAACTGAAGTTGTCAATGTCAAACTCCACTGAGTGATTACGCTGTTATTTACCAATTTTGAATTTAGTATAGCATTTATAGTTATGTTTATTTTCTAAAACGATATTGTGTTTCACTGTTTCTCGCGATAATCACTGTTGTTTTTCATCTAATTGTATTGTTCACACTACTGGAATATACGTCCTTGTTTTTGTGCACTATTTGCGTCGGAGCTTTTGGGTTTTACAACACTTTTTCGAAATTATTTTGGAGACACGAAAATACACGTAGTTTACTTGACAGGTCGAAACCGGAAGTTCCAATGTCAAAATAAGTGTTCTACTAAATGTATATTGCGAAATTATACAATGTACTTATAAGAAAAACATTTTTTTTTTAATTTTGTCTGTCTGTTTGTTCCGGATAATCTCTGAAACGGCTGGACTGATTTTGACGGGACTTTCACTGGAAAGCAGCTGATGTTATAGGGAGTAATACGCCTATGATACATGTTATGCATATGACTTTTATTTTAAAAAAGGAATTAGGGTTCCACTCGAAAAAATTAAAACGTACCCAGGGACGAACGCGAACGAAACGAGAGTGAGTCGCTAGTTAATTATAAATTATATTACATTATTTCATATACGTATATGTAGATAACGAATACGAACATAAAAAATACACCGTACATTTGGCGCATCTCCAAAATAAAAAAAAAACAGTACACACCGATATAGCAAAGTCGAGAACACGCTTGAGCAAGGCGGGGTCGGTGACGGCACCGAGCGCGCGGCTGATGCGGTCCTTCTCCTCGTGCAGGTCGGCGGCGCGGTACAGCTGCAGGAAGCGCGCGAAGCCCGCCGCGTCCGCGTCCGCCAGCGCCGCGCGGTAGCACGCCGAGCGCAGGTCCGCCGGCAGCGTGCGCGCGCCCGAGCTATGCCTCTCGAACCTGCGCACGCGCGTGTACACACACTACAGGGATCAGGCTATAGTTCATATGTCTTGCATACATGCAAACTACTTTTCGAAAGACATGTGAAGTCTGTTTCTTAGACATGCGAGCTTAGATCACATGATTTCCTTCACCGTAAGACGAGTCGTGATTAAATTGAAAATAATTTGCACATAAAAATATAAGACGTGATTGGAGCCGGGACTTGAACCCACTTCACTCGGTTTTTAAAGCAAGCGCTTAACCACCACAGGGTTACTTACCATCTAGTAAGTTGATAAAAATAAAATAGTATGTGTTGTTATTGCATATAATCTCGATATAACTGAAATCGGTTAACCCGATACAGAAATATCAAAATAACAAACTTAAACATTTATAAAAAATTATTCTGATATAGAAATTTAAATCAATATTTTGATAAAAAAGTATATTAAAACTAAGAAACCCATGTTCCTTACCGAATCTTAGCTTCCTTAATAGTTTCTGGATCTTCAAAGCTTATCATTTTGTTGAGTACCAAACTCCTGAGAAGAGTGTCCAAGTGGCTTTCCTTTTCCTCAGCGTCCCAGCCCAGTCTTTTAGTGATGTTGGAGAATAACTTCCGTCCATAGTTCTTCAGCGGTTTATCCAGAGCAGTGTGTGAGAATAAAGCACTTAATTTGGACATGCAGTTTGATATCGATGACCAAACAGTGAAGTTTGTTTCATTTGTAAATGCCTCCATCAGCTTTAATGACTAAGAGAACAAAATACCTGGTTAAATGGATTTGAATAGCACAATAGAATTCATTGAAACCAATTAATTTATTCATTATTAGATAAATTAGTTATAGTTATGCATGTTTATGACCTTATTGTATTGAACATTTAAAATGTTATGTTTTACTATGTTTACTATAACCATTTCCAAGCGATATGCAAAACAAATAAAGAAAAAATGTTCCCTTCTCGCAATGAACTAAATAAAAAATATTTAACATTAATATCTTGAATTTCAAGATCAAGGACATGAAAGTTCGAGAAACAAATATCATTTTTTATCAATTTCATTGTGTTAGACTTTAAAAGTAATATAGGCATCTAATGGCATCTAATCAGAACTAAATATGGTGGTTTGACAATCTTGATTTAGACTATTGGCTATAGTGAATGAAATCATTATATTCATATTATACATATAGTCAACAATTTAGAAAGTTTCAAATTGATATAACAAGTAGGGGCATATCTTTTAAAGATTACATAGTTACAAGTGAAAGTAGTATATGATATTACACCGACTCCACACGTTCAACGTTTATCATGCTTCTCCGAAACACATAGACGTACTCGTAATCGATGTGGATATCGATGTGTCTCATCAAATTAAGCCAATTTTAGCTAAAATTAAGCTTGTAGAGATTTGAAGTTTGCAACGACCGGTAGGCGTGCGGCATACCTCTGCGGTGGGCGTGTGTCCGGCCTGCACGAGCGCGAAGCAGTCATCGAGCAGGCCGAGGCGGTCGAGCGGCGGCAGCGAGCCGTCGCGCACGGCGCGCACCAGCTGCTCCAGCATGGCGGCCGGGTAGCGCGTGCGGTAGTACCCCACCTGTACCCCACCACGGCAACATACATTTATTTATTGACTAACTTGTTTTCCAATACAAACTTTCATCTCCATTTTCGCCCCCGTAAGGGATGACTTCCGGGATAAAATATATAAGGACATAGTCCTTACCGGGGTCTCAAACTATCTTCTTACCAAATTTCATCTAAATCGGTTCAGTTGATCCAGAGATTACTCCCTACAACTTCACATACTCACAAACTTTACCTGTTTATAATATTAGTATAGTTTTCAAACTTGATAAATTGACCAAAAGTTATGCAATCTATGGTTTATACATGCCGACGACGCGCGTTTAATGAACGTATGTACATATACTTAGATATTTAAAAAATGCAGATTGCTTGCGTTATTTTGGGTACGAAAGCGCGTTAAAATGTCATCGTGAACATAGTTTTAAACCCATAATTTTTTCGGAACACTGAACATGTTTTAATGAAGTAATTGAATTTAATATTTTATCATTTTGGAAATACATATCCTAAATACAAAATTGGAGCAGTTTTGATGGTAAGAATTGATTTTCACTTAAATATTTATATTTAATATGAGCACTCCATATACAATTCAATACATTTCCTATCACTTATCAGTATTCAAATTATACTATAAACAAATTTGAATAAATACTTATTTTAAATCATATTGTTTGGATTTCATATTTTTTCCTATTCAGGCTATGTATGATGTTATATTATCGCAAACGCTTTCAGTAATTTGACGGCGTGCCATCGAAGCTCATGGCGGCAACGGAAGAGGAAAGTAGATGATTTACTTATTTAATAACCATAAATTATCATCATACTTAACAAATATATGTTTATTTCGTAACTATTAAAATATCCAACATTAAGTCAGTAATATAAACTTCATTTGAGCTTTTTTTCCTCTCAAATAAAATACGTGAAAACAATTTTATATTTACCGTGCCCGGATTAAGTTTCACCCATGAATCTTCAGCGACATTCTCTAACACGACTTCTTGCGAACGTTTATCGAGCACCGTAGACAATGCCACCTATAAAAAATGTATCATTAAAAACAATAAACATTGAACACTATTAAAAATTATAACATAACCACAATAACAAAGAATTAAATAATAATTTAACATTACAAAGATGATGCTACAAAAATATACCTTACTATATCATAAAGATAAATAGGTATATTAAATTTTTACATAATCATCATTTGTTTTTGAGACTTGTGCTAAATTAAACACTGAAGCAGATTGTTTCCAAGATTTAATTACTTCACATCGACAATCGTCCGTCTCACATTGTTCATCCAATGTCATTTGGGGTAACTGTCCAAAAACAATAACAAAGTTGAAGACTTCATGTACAATGCAATAGTAATTAGTTTATGAAATATTAGTAAAATATATTTACATTATAAATAAAACTATCTTTATGGATTCTTTCGCGGATTAATTTGGATTTTTGGTTCCCTCTTTTTAGGAACTAAAAATCCAAATAAATCCGAAAAGATAGTTTTATTTAAAATATCAAATATTCGCGTAAATCTAAGAAAGTATTATATGTACATTAATAAATAATTTAGGAAGAGTAATTTTATATATACAGCATAGATTAATTTATCATACAATATATTCTATACTTTTCACAGAGTGATATAATTAGATGGTATGTTATTTATCAATTTAAAATAACAGGAAATGAAATCCAAAAGTGGGTTAGTGTTGCATTATCTATGATAAGATATATTATTTAAATAATAATAATAACACCTTGAAAAGCAGGTGTAGATCATATGATTATTATATATCAGCTATTTAACGTTTTGAAAAAGAATTAAAAAGCTGGCTTTGTTTATTGAATTAAATACTAAAATTGTAAAATAAAAATTTCCCTAAAAGTCCCTAAAAGCTTTCTAAAATTATGCAATTATGTCACATATTATTAATTAAATTAAATCACAGCGCCGTTTTTATCTCAAAGTCGTTGAATTGAATGTATTTTGCAGTTTGAACTCAATAAATAACGAAATCATATTAGTTTACAATATATTAAATATTATGTCATAAGTAGCTCTTTTTTTCAAAATCAAATAATAATAGTAAACTAGTAAAAACTATATATGTACATATTAAACTGTATACATAAATACAAAAAACAAAGATGACTTTGGTTTTTAAATTTTAGCTGTTTTTTTTAGTGCGACAAATAAATGTCAATGATAAACTTAAAATTTCATTAACAACTAGGTAATCTATACATAAATACATATAATAAAATTCTAACTAAGCTGAATCTGTACATTAAATATTTTTTGGAAAATCTTATTAAAATAGACATTATTTTCGATACAGAGGCCCAATCTATAATTTTTAGAATTTATGTCGGTCTGGGACCGCATCACGAGAAAACCACTGAACAGACTTTGATGAAATTTGGTATGATGATAGCTGGTTATCCGAGTCAACATATAGAATACTTTTCAGTGCGGCAAAATGTCTCATCTCTAAGAAAATCTATACTAAGCCCTAAAACGTAACTAGGGACGAATCCGAGCGGAGCAAGTGAGTTGATAGTATTAAATAAATTTAATGAAATAAGTATCTTCAACAAGTTGCATTATATAGGTTAAATATGCAATTGCAAGATAAAGGTGTTAATTTATTAATATTCTATCAACAAGATCATCTTTGCAAACTAAAATAGCTATAAAAATTAATATGGAATGTAAAATAACATTCATTATAATAATGTATACATGAATAAATACCTTAGACGGTTGCTCTTGTGTGGAGATAGTAATGGGCACCATCCAAAGTGTGTCTCCCCCTTGGCTGCCATCGGCACAGAACTTTTGCTGTGTCAACTTTAAAACACGGTCTGACCCTCTTTGTTCAGAATTTACCTAAAACACAAATTCATTACTATTATAACAACTTTATGCTGATAAATATTTAATTCATGGTATTATATATTCAAACCTTAAATAACTGTCTAATAAAGCTTTCTATTTCAAGATAAGAGAGTGTGTTTAAATTCCACTCATAACAACAGCATTAACTGATATAAGTACCTATAATTTTATCAGTCTCGTTTCAGTTGTCATGTAAAATATTTATTTTTACCAACAATATATTCCAATATCTTACTTCTACGACTGGAAATCCCATTTGCTTAGTCCATGTTGACATCACAGCCCCTACTGGTTTATTAGAAGCTTCTTCCAATGCTGCCCATAAATCTTCAGTAAATGTATTTTTGTACTAGAAAAGAAAAAAGCATTAATATGTATGGAATTCAGTTTTTGGAATGCATATTATAATACTATAAAGATATACATGCCTGATGTTTTGTTAAGTAAATGTTCATACCCTTGCGGAAATCATCATCTCCTATATATTTGTGTAACATACGGATTACAGAAGCCCCCTTATTATAAGAAATATCATCAAAGATTTCATCAATTTCTGATGGATGGCCCACTGGTACCTCGATTGGATGAGAATTCTTTAGACAATCTAATTCCAGTGCTCTAAAACAATTTGTAAATGTAAACAATAGCAGTTTCTTTGTGCATTGTACAACTGCAACTATAATATATGAAACAAATTAATTGACAAGTTGCCAGATGTGTATAAGGTGAATGACTTTTGAAAAACCACAAGAGGCATAATTCTATTTTTATAAAGTACACATAAACTGAAACACTTATTCAGATAATTTAATGACATTTACAAAAATATTCAGTATGTTTAAGATATTAAGATATTTAGACTTTAAATTGGTTATTAATTTGTTAAATTGGTCTGTTTTGTTACAAATATTAAATACCCTAATACTAATACCATAAGTAACTTTCAATTCCTATAATTAAAGTTACAGATCTAAAAAAAAGTTACAGTTACAGACCCGTGATATCCAAATTTGAGTATTAATGCGGGGCATCAATATTACTATAGTTATAATGTATATAGCTATAAATATAAGTTAATTTTGACCAACAAAATTATGTAGACATTTATTAATTAATAAAATCTACCTTATGTATGTCTCCGTGACAAACTGAGTCCAAATGTCATACTCAGGGAAAAGATGGTTCACACATAAAAATTCAACAAATGATGCATATCCTTCGTTAAGCCATAGGTGAGTCCACCATTCCATGGTAACAAGGTTGCCAAACCACTGATGCGCAAGTTCATGTCCCACAACTAACGCAATCCATTGTCTGCGAACAGCTGATGTGTGCTCTTCATCAACCAGGAGACATGTTTCTCTGTAAGTCACAAGGCCCCAATTTTCCATTGCTCCAGCGGAGAAGTCTGCTATAGCTATCAAGTCTATTTTAGGTAGAGGATAGGCAATATCGAAGTATTCTTTATAGTAAGGTAATACTTTGGCTGCAACTTCAAGCGCAAATAGACCTTGCTTACTTTTACCCACAGGTGTGTAGACACGGACTAGAACACCATCACGAGAAGTTTTTTCCACATAATCATATTCTCCTACCACAACTGCTACAAGGTAGGTAGACATTATTGGTGTAGTATCAAATTGCATTACTTTTTTATCCCCATTGACCACTTCTTTTTTAACGGGCATATTTGAGAGTGCGACACGATCTGCTGGAACCTCTAATGTTATATCGAACGTAGCTTTAATGGCTGGTTCATCCCAACAAGGAAAACATCGCCGGGCGTCCGTCGCCTCGAACTGGGTAACAGCGGCGTAACGTTCCTCGCCTCCTGGTGTAAGGTATTTGCTACGATAAAGACCTTTCATTTTATCATTTATCTCGCCCGTAAACTCGCAGAATAGTGTAGCGACACCTTCAGGCAGTGGTTTATCGAATAGAATAACCGCAGTTTCGTCAGCCGGCTCCAAACGTACCTCTTGCGGATCGAGTGTTGTAATTGCACCACCATCATCGTATTGTAATTTTACATATGTTAAATCCAAGTCTAAGCTGTTCAATACTATTTGTTTGGTAGAATTAACAATCTGAAAAAATGTACGTCGTTAGACAACGTCACATGGAAACCAAATGTTTGCAATAACGACATTATGTTGAAATTTCCACTTACCGATACTTTCACCCTAGTCTTTCCTGTAAATGTAAACTTTTCAAGATTCGGCACCAAATGTAGTTCATAATGCTCAGGCACGACATTTTTTGGAAGACGTTGGAACGGTTTGTTTTCTGGCATTGTCACTTTTTCTTTCAAGATCGTGAATGTAGGACGCACTACAGAGAAATACCGTAATGACCGACTGACAGAGTAAACCCGCGCTGCAACCGCACCCGCACCGTTGATGCGAGCCCCCCTCGCACGTCTGTACCCCCACTCCGAATAACGGTATTCACTACGTAATAACTTGTAATGGCGGCTTAGATTACGATGACTACTATAATTTTGAAAACGAAATGCAAATGAATTATGCACACCACGTAGCAGTTGCAGCGTCATGGAACGTGATTAAGTGACGTTTTCAGTGAAAGTTATTGTATCTATATAGCTTATACATTTATGTTAGAACTTTTACAGTAGTTATTCTATCTTCACGTGACTAATCGGGTTAATCTTTCTTCTCAGATGTAACTTATGTTATCTGTGAAATGTAAATATTTTTGCAAACAAATGTCAAGAGTTGTCCAATACAAATTGATTAACATGCATGTATGTACCTACCTATGATATTTAGATTCTGTACTGTCGCTGATCGCATTCTTCCCCCACTTCATTCATAAGTTCATATTTCATAATATGAAAAATAGAATAATATGGTAGGTAGTGCCTTGCTGATGCCTGACAGTACAGAATCTAAATAACATAGGTTATAGGTACATGATTAGGCACAAGTTTAGAATAGGGGACATTGCCCCTGGTGGAGTGGGTGGTATTTCTGGATAGGGGACGTGATAGGAAGTCGAAATGTTAAATAAAATTTTTTCCGGAAACGTACGAGTAAAAAGTTATTGCGACTTAAAGTTACAACATTTCCATACATTTTCATATATTTCTTTACCACCATTCGGAGTGGGTGGTATTTTTAGATAGGGGAGGTGACAGAGAGTCAAAATATATTAAAAATATTTGGAGGAAACGTACGAGTAAAAAGTTATTGAGACTTAAAGTTATAACATATCTAACACATTTCCATACATTTGCCCATGATTACCTAATTATAGTCTGAAAGTTTATTTTTGAAAGAGTTAAAGTTAATTATTAATCTTCTTAACCTAACAGTGTTAACATCTTGGGACATAGTTCTTTGCTAAGTTTTGTTATGACTCGCAGTCTATTTGTAAATTAAAATAACTACCAAAGAAAATATCTACTCATTTTAATACCTAAATGTACATAATAACATGTCTTAGATACCTATTTAGATGGCTTGTAGTTTTGTTGAAAAGGGCTATTTATGCCTATTTTTTTGATTTGGTACCTAGTTTAAAATATTATTTAGATAAATAAAAAAATATTTTTGTAAAAGTTTTCCAGAGTTTAATTATAATTATGAAGTATAAGTAAAACACCGTCTTCTTCAACTAAAAATCTTTTGTCTGTGATTATAATGCTCATAATTAATAATAAATGTTTAACCCTTTCTAATTTAATTTATTTAAATAAATAAAAGATGTATTGACATCACGTAGGGGCATTATGGAGATATACAAGAGTATTATGGAGATATACAAGAAAATTGTCATATTCAATATTAAACTAGGGTGGCTTTTTCCCCCGGGGGAGAAGCCAACTCCTACCGGGCGCGTCCCCAGGTGGCGGATAGGGGAATGCCACCCGCTTAGGGCGGCGGGTGGTACCGGAGAAATCCGGCGCGGACCAAATGGCTTGGATGGGGCCGCTCGTCTAGGCCTCGAGCTGAAGACGTTGCGGCCACCGGTGGTGGGACCGCTTGGTCCCACAACCGGATGATGGGTGCCGGTTGCGGGACTGTGGTCGCAGGCCCGCATCCGGCGGAGGGGTAGGCCGCGGCGGGAGAGGAGTGCCGGTATTTCGGTGCGCCGTTCTCCCTACCTTCCGCGGCCTAGACGGGGCCGCCACCGTTTGATGGCGGACGCGGTGGGGCTGCAGGGGAAGAGGAGTGTCGGTGTTTCGTTGCCGCTCTCCCTGTCCTCTGCAGCCGATTGGAGGTGGCCCACTTCGGTGGGCGGTGTTTTGGTATTATGGGGCTGCTCCGGGTACCTCTCTGACGTAGCAGAGTTGACTGTGGAGCAGCCCCATTGGTTTGGTGGTCTGCCTAGTATTTAGGCAGACCTGCCGCCGGGGCGCCGTAGTAGTTATGCGCAAGCGATCCTGCGGCGTCCCACTAAGGCGGGGGGAAGGAATGTCGGGTTTTAGTGGGTATTACCGGCTCTTCAAGCCGGTGAGCCCCACATCACCACCTGGGGGATCAGGTGGTATGCGTAAATGCATTTCCAGACGATAAAAAAAAAAAAAAAAAAAAAAAAAAAAAAAAAAAAAAAAAAAAGGGTGGCTTTTCCCCCCCAACGTGCGTTCACCTTGTCGTGGTGGGGGGGCTCAGTAGTGTACTCGCGAAGCCAAGAAACGCACAGGGAGGTGGCCCGCTTCGGTGGGCGGTGGGAGGCGGCCTTCTTTGGAGGGTGGTGTACCATGCGGGTTGCTCCTGGTACTTCTCTGATAGCAGAGTGGACCGTGGAGCAACCCCATGGTTGTTGTGGTCTGCTTCGGCAGACCTGCCGTCGGGGCGTCGTAGTTGAATGCGTAAGCGATCCTGCGACGCCCCATTAAGACGGGGGAAGGTTTTGTTGGGTTTTAGTGGGTAGTACTGGCTTCGCCGGTGAGTCCTACACTTCGTGCGTAAATGCATTTCCCAACGTTAAAAAAAAAAAAAAAAAAGGGTGGCCTATCAGACCTCACGTCGGTACTTATGTTACTCAAATAGCACGTTGATACTTAAGGGCTTAAAAGCTTTTTAAAGCTAATACTTTCTTAAAGTACAAATTAGGACCTCTGTATAAGTATACAACAATGAAGTGAAGCTCTGCGCAGGCTAGTTCAATAGTTTGCTCAACAGAGAGGCTCACAATATCTTTACGTTCATTATATTCAAAAGTAACCTTTAAGTAAGTATAAGTAATAGTGACCATTATTAATATAATCTTACAGCAACTTCTAAATTCGGAAAAATCCATTTTAATTTATCGGTTTTTATGAGATTATATGTAAGACTAAGATAAAGAGAAAATCTAATATATATCGGTACATAAAATACATATCGAACATATTTTAGTTAAAGTTCATACCTAATCATATTTACCTATTAAATATTTATATCTTAAAATATTGTTGGCTGGCACTGACTTCGAAAATATCTGATTAGGTATCTAATATCTATCGTTAATGAAAATCCCCGTTTAGTAATTTTTTACATTTTAGTGCCTGGTCGATTTTATTTTTTTAGTTTCTTTTATTCCATTTTTAGTGTTGACGTAATGAGCAGGTAATTTGTAAGAAGAAAGTTTTTAGTAATAAAATATTCGACTAAGCAATTTATTTAAAAAAATAATTTATTGTTGATTTTTTTTAAAACCGCTCGACCGATTTTGATAAAATTTAAATGGGACCACCTGGGAAGTATACCCTTCGTAACAAAAAACAAACATTTCCAAATCGGTTCAGGCGTCTTCGAGTAATCAGTGAATATTTATAAAAAAAAAAGATTCCGACGAATTAATAACCTCCTCCTTTTTGGAAGTCGGCTAAAAAAATCTATTAAATTTTGCCATTAGGCAAAAATGAAAGTAGTAATTTAGTTTTAAAGGGTCTGTTAACAAGATATTTTTATTTATTCTAATAATCTCCATAGTTTGCTCAGATTTTTATTCATCAGGTTTTTATTTGTAATTGTAAGGTAGTGGTAGCCCAGTGGTAACGCGCTTGCTTGGGAAACCGAGTGAAGCGGGTACAAATCCCGGGTCTCGCACCTCTGATATATTCATGTGCGAATCATTTCTAACATGATTACCACTTGCCTTACGGTAAAGGAAAAACATCGTGAGGAAACCTGCATGTCTGAGAAAACTTAGGAAGTTTTCGAAAGACATGTGAAGTCCGCCAACACGCACTTGGCCAGCATGGTGGACTATGGCCTGATCCCCCTCGTATTGAAGGGAGACCCGTGCCTAGCAGTGGGACGTTAAAAAGGACTAAATACATACATACATGTGTATTGTATCAACTATCTGGTATCCATAACACAAGCCTCGTAGCTTACTATGGAACTAGATAGCGTTGTGTCTTAATATCCCAACATATTTATTTATTTATTATTTATTATCCATAGTATTAAAATGTTTGAGTAATACAGCTAATTTAATAGACCCAGTTTTCCAATTAGAGCACTAAAGCGCATTATGTGGTATAATGCTAACTTCGAATGTTTCAACTACAGCAACGCTCCTCTCAAGTCCCAATCAAGCCTTTTGAAAAGTACTGCTTTAGCGCCGGCGCAAAACTTGAGCAGAATACCCGAAAATAGTTTTTTTAAGTAATTTATATTAATGTTTCATATTATAGAATAAAAGAAAGTGCTAATGCTAGAAAAAGAAGTCATTGTAAGCTGTTCTCAATTAAACAGCTTAAAATTATTAATTCAAACATAAAAAAATACTTAAAATATCAAATTAATCAGCTAAACTAAAATACCTGCTTTGATCCGCTTAATTACCCTTTGAAAACCCGTCAAGATTCCCCGCCATCTAAAATCGCCTAAAATTACCCGCTTGTCGAATGTCGGGTAATTTACCCGCCAATTGGCAGCGCTGGCAAGGATACCAACTCAATAGCAAAAAATAATTGAGAAGTGTTTTTTCTGATGTTTCTTCTGTGGTATTGATCAAAACTTTATTTACATTATCGTTAGTAATATTTGTTTATATTTTATTTATTTATATATCAGTTATATTTTTTATATACATATTAGTTATATTTTTTCTTTCAAGTTTCAACATTGAACCTTTTGCCCTCTGCTGGTGCATATGAAAACTAATTCACGTTCCAATTAAACATTAGCACATTTCGGATTTACAAATTGTGCGCCAAAGTGCGGCGTTATGCTCTGTAATTGGAAAAATGGCAGAGATTGTAGTAGTTTTAGTTAGTCTGTGACATCTTTATAATCTGCATTTTATGCGTCAAACTTCGATTTTTATCTTTCATTAAAAATTTAAAACTGCCAAATGCCAATTCATGTATCAAAATTATTATTGCCAGTTTTTCTAGTGTTTTAGTATTTGTGCGATTTTAAAGTTTTATTAAGTTTGTTGAATGATCTTATTATTTGAAATATATATTAATCATAGGTGATACCCCCTAACATATAAAGTGACGATGAATTTTAACCTAGACCTGATTTTTATGTTAATTTTAGGTATGTAAATAAAGCACTTGCTGTTAAAGCTTTACATCAAATCTAATTACTTATGGGTTTATAAAATGTATTTTGCTGACCAAATGAATTTTAATTTTTTACGCTTGCATTTTACAAGTATTTCAACATCAGGAAACATTTATTTAGTATTTTAAAATAAAATTAATTAAAGTCCTAAAATTTAAATTAGATATATATTATATATACATTATATATATATATATATATATATATATATATATATATATATATATATATATATGTGTTTAGTATTTCTAAGTAATAGGTTGTATGTGTATTAAGGTGTTAAGAAATCACTAATTAGCGATAAGATCGCCTTTTGTGCACACTTTTGTTTTTGTTTTATATTTTGTTAACTGTATTTACTTTATGATTGTGGAGTACCATAAAGTATAAATAAATAAATAAATTTTATAACTCAAAAATTTATGAAGCCGACATATTATTTTAATTGAACATATAATTTAAATAATTCATATTTTATTAAAGATAATTATTGTTTATTACAGGTTTTAGTAGTGTATCATCTTCTAGAGTTTTAGAATTAAGTGACAAATTTATTGATATTAGTAATGGGGGAATTTGGTTTGTGAAGTTTTATGCACCATGGTGTGCTCATTGTCGAAGAATGGAACCTATATGGGCACATGTTGCTCAAGCTTTATACAATACTGAAATAAAAGTAGCAAAAGTAGATTGTACAAGATTTACAGCTGTTGCTACTCATTTTAAAGTAAGAGCTTACCCAACCATAATGTTGTAAGTTTCATTTTTCTATATCTTATTTTGGCAAGTCTAGTCTTGGACTAATAATGAAATTTGCTTCTTTTTTACCCGCTTTACCAATTAGTTATTTAAATATTTGTGAAGTATCATTTAAATTCAACCTTTGTTATTTGAGTATAAAATTACAGCATAAAAGGAGAGTATTGGCATGAGTATTCAGGAGAACGTGTTAAGGATGATATGGTTAATTATGCTATGCGCATGGCTCAACCAGCCGTGCAAAGAGTATCTCATGCTGACAGTCTAGGATATTTAAAGGAGAATCATAATGTCTTTTTTGGCTATGTTGGAAAACAACAAGGACTACTATGGGTATACAAAATCTAAATTTTTTATATTGAATATATTTGTGTAGTACAAATTTTAATTAACATTTACATCTGACATTTTTATATCTCTATGAAAATAAGAAATTCTACCATTTGGTTTTATAGGAAATGTTTTCAAATCATGCAGAGAAATATCAAGAGCATAGCTGGTTTTATGCTTTATCTCACGAAGTAGCTAAGAAAGATTTAAAGCCTCCAAATGATTCTGTCGTTTTTGTTTATAAAGAGGAAGAATTTTTTTACTTTAAAGGTATATTTACCCTATTTAATAGTAACAAGAAAAAAAATTAACTTTTACTATAATATTTTTGTAATATTTCAGCAACACCGGAATTGTTAAATGATAAAGATTCATTAAATTATACTTTGAACAAATGGGTAAATTCAGAGAGATTTGGATTCTTTCCAAAAATAACAAGATCCAATATTAATGATTTAATGGATACAGAGAAATATATTGTTATTGCTGTTGTATCTGAAAATAAACTTAATGAAATAACACAAACTGAGCGAGACTTTAAGGATATGGTTGAAGGCATTATAAGGTATGGCTTCAATAATCTCATCAGTCATCACTAATCCATCAAATTATATTGTTCATGGTTGTACTTCTAGAGGACCGATTCATGTAGTTAGTTGATTTATGAAATGTTAATTAACAATAATGTGTATATTTTGTATGTGACATTTTATATATATATGTTATTACTAAAGAAAGAAAGCTAATCCTACACAGGTCTTACAGTTTCATACCATATCAACAGTATACTGCATTTTTATTCTTGTATTTGTTTGTGTTATTTGCAATATATTAAAACCGATTTGTAAAAATTTTTGTACTTAAAATAAATAATAATAGTGCATTAATAATACAAATTGCAGAAGTAGAAAACATGAGCTACATCATCGTTTTCAGTTTGGGTGGATAGGAAACCCCGAGCTTGCAAATACAATAGCTATGTCAGAATTAACAGTGCCTCATCTTATTGTTCTAAATTCAACTACTAGCCACCATCACATTCCTGATGATGATCCAGTATTAATGACTCCGGAAGCTGTTGCAATGTTCCTTGAACAAATACACAACCAAATGGCTCCTGTAAGTAATCAATCTTTATAGTAGCTTAGGAAAAAAAGGAATTTTCTGTAAAAAAAATTGTTAATTTTTTTTCACTTAACTTTATGAACTAAAATAACGTTTGAAAGTTTGCACAATCATTTGCACAAAAAAATCTGAGTCGTCAAAATCCGTAAAATATTTTTACGGCCAAAGCCTGCATTCACGTTTCCTGTAAGATAAAACGTTTGAAAAATTTGTGAATAAAACAATCAAAGACACCTTTCCAAGATTGTTACACTACCAGCGTGTCCAAGCAACTCTCTGCCACCTGTAATTTTGCGAAGTGGAAATAATTTTGAACGGAGAAAACTCTTATGAGATTATTAATATATATTATACCAAATGTCCCCACAAGAGAAAATTTAATTTTGGACAAATTTTATAAATACCAACAAGATGAGAAATTAGAAAATTTAGAATTTTCGAGATAATGAGGTGTATAACTGTTTTCTCCGAAACGTGCCTCCGTGTTCGCAGCTGCGCACGTATGTATGTAGTATGCGTACTTAAGCAGACTGCTGAATGCTCATTGTGATGATATCAGATCTAGACGATACTTTTATGTAGTAAACACGCACTATAAGTGAATATAAAAGCGGTTTATGAAAAATACAATGGGGAAGTTTCCTTGTTTTGTTATGTATTTATTATAGAAATTTAAGCGAAATATGACACAAATATGAAAGAAATATTAAAATATCTCAACAAATGAAAATATAAGGATAATTTCATGACGTCACACGACCTGAACAGCCGAAATTTAAATTTAACTCTCAAGTCATTTATTGATGGATTTCATAATTTTTTTTTACTGATTTATTGGTTTTGACATATATTATATAATTCCATTGCTTTAAATATGATATTATCAACATCAGGAAACTTTTCAATTGCTGTATTATCAACGTACTTTGTTGAACATATTCAATTCAATTCTTTAGGTTTGTGGCTTCTAGGAGTGCCTTTGGGCACAATTTACTTCGCCAATGTCGCGTAGAATGGAGAATGCACGTTATATATAGAATGACCGGTAAAAAAAAGAAAAAAATCACTAATCTGATTACATGTAGCAACAGAGCGATTCGTTGTAAAATCAGGACCTACAACAGACAACACAATATATACAAAAATAATGAGATAAACTTGTTAGTATACACACATATTTATACATATAATTACAATTTGATTTTATTACTTTTAATATATTTACACAAAAATCTACATAATGTACTAAACACAAACATTAACAAACAATTAACATTAATGGGACGGGGGACTTGAGAAGGAAGGTTGTCATAGATAGGATACTGAAGTTTAGGACAGCTAAAAAGGATATGAGAAGAGGAGTTGAACATATTTCCATATTTCTTTTACTGTCGCAATTTACAATGCCAATTATACCCACCGTTCTCATTTCTCTTCATAAGAAATTAACATGTATTGCAGTAATAAAACCACAACGCTTATTTTAAATGAAACCCAAGACAACTAGACGACAGAAAAAGATGTTAAATAGTAAAATAGACAATATTAACGAAGAAAGCCTCGACGCATAAGCCTTAGTATTTTTTTTTGCACATGGCGACTGTGGAAATACAACTTCAGGGTAGTCATCTGCGGTGGCCATACAAGGGCATCGAGCCCCGCAGTCGTTTGCAAGCGTTGCGGCACCGATAGTTTTTTTATATAAGCAAATTAAACAATCCATACTAATATTATAAATGTGAAAGTGTGTTTGTTTGTCCTTCTTTCACGTGGAAACGGAGTGACAGATTGGCGTGATTTTTTGTGTGGAGATAGTTGGAGTGCTGGAGAGTCACATAGGCATCTTTTTACCGCGGGAGATTATCTCATTCCTGCGGGGAAACACGATATGATACAACCGAAAATATATTTATCATCAGAATTATTTCAGATTTAGTATTAATGCTCTTAAATACAATTAAATAAATACGTGTTTCAGCATTTTTCGAAATTCATCCCATTAGGGGGGTAAAATAGGGGATAAAGGTTTGTATGAAAACTACCGTTTTACAGTTATTTTGAAGGTTTAGCGCGAGCGAAACCGCGAGTTTTGCTAGTTTGTAATAATTGGCTTATCATAGAGAGAAGTAAAGACGGGTAGGTAAATGTGTAGTCTTTCATTATATAAATGTTGATAAAAATCTAAATGCCTAATATTATTTTGTTTCGAATAGGATTAAAAATAACGAAATAAATCTGTGCTATAGAGAACGTTACGTAGAGATTGACAAACATTTAACATCTGAATATTTAACAATTTCATATGTTTTTCTACAAATTATATATTTGTTGATCACTTTATAACAATTAAATTTAAATTTTCAGACTTATGGCGGAAACAACTGGCTAGTCCGCATGTATAGAGGTTTCTATGAAGCAAGAACTACGCTTATAAGCATGTGGCGCGGGAATCCAGTTCTAACTGCTCTCGTCTTCGGGCTGCCACTTGGTTTTCTTTCACTTATTTGTTATTCTATATGTTGTGCAGACATACTCGATGCTGATGAAGAAGAAATTTCAGGTACATATTATTTATATATTTATTTATTTAAAAACTTATTTATAAAATACTTTTTTTTTATATTAAGAGTCTCTGCGTGCGGTTACGCCCTTGCTTAAAGTTTACCGAGGTGAAAAGTATCCTATACTTAATCCAAAAGATCTAGCTATCTTGGATAAAAAGTTTTCTGTTTTAGTCGAAAAACATAGCTACATGTCCCAGGATAGAAGTATCCGGTGTGTTAGTCCAACATAATTGCTACCTGTCGAGAAATAAAAAGTGCGTGCTTTCCATAACACAGGATATCTGTGCCATCTTTCATTTTAATGCGTTTAAGCGTTTATAAGTAACAAGCATCTAAAAACTAACATTTTAAATATTGCACAGATTGGGTACATGGAGTATAACTATAGTAATATAAAACATTTCTTCATTTTTTTGAATAATTCTATCATCTTCATGTGAGTTATTCTTATAATCTTTTATTCTATTTCAGAAGGCCATGAAAAGAAGGATTGAATAAGAAAATAAAATTAATTTTTTTTTATGTTCCTTACAGTACTTACTACTAAAATTTCAGGTTGTGAGATTTCGTTTAAATATGTTATACTTTTCAAACAATTTTTCTATAACTTCACATGTAACTACATAATAAATGACTACAGGCTCTGTGAATTCTGAACAAGTTTTGGCGAGCATCATACATTACTATGGGTTACAAGCGTGTATTTTTAACTAGAATTATTAATGTAAATTTTAACTATCAAAAAATGAACAGTAGATAAAAATAACAACCACAGGATTAACTTTTTATTGCACATTTTATAGGAATATCACAAGCTTAAATTTTGCTAGAAAGTACATTACAAATAAACAGGGCCGTGTGGTGCTATGATGCAAAGACGCGACCGCCTCAGGCGGCATAAAATAGAGGCGGTATTTGGAGCCATCGAATAGGTCTCATAATATTTAAAACAAAAAACAGATTATTAATAACCCATAATAAGTTCAGTGAACAACCCTAAATCATATCATACCATTTGAGATTCATTCAGAACTGGACAGCAGAATATGTAAACAGCAATTATAGAATGTTTTCAGCATGTCTCCTTGCATCAAAAGTATTTGTATGAGAAACAAAATCACTTTTGAGGACAAGCACATACAGAAAATATCCCATGTCTCAAAACTAATCAACATATCTTCTTCAAAATAATTTTTATTGAAAGTAATTTTTATTACAATTGTTTTTTTTTTCAAAATGTTTCACTCCTTATTTTAAAAATTAGAGACACAATATTTACAATTTTTTTCGTAGCTTAACTCTGCACCTATTGACTTAAATAAAAAACACTAAGAAAAATGCATCTTAATTTTAAAGATTATTCACAAATACCCCACACGCTTAATGGACTCAATTTTATTTTATCCCCATCATTATTATTAATTTTTTCTTGACTACAGAATGGCCAGTGTTTTACATACGTAACTCAGCATTCAGCAATATACTTACAAAGCTTCAATAGTTTCCCGAGTAAAATTTAGTAACCGTGACATACAGACGTGACAAAATTTAAAGGGTTTTTCTACTTTTTAACTACGGAATCCTAATGAAAATTACCTAGTGGGCGGCATTACAACGCTTTGCATCATACTGAGAAAATGTACCGCAAGGCCCTGCATATAAAGATCACTGATCAGTATTTGTAAAAAATCATATTGTTAATATAGTACCTAATAAAGGTTTTTTTATATGTGTGAATTATTTAAAATGTTTTCTGTTTAAAACCATCTGAGTTATAATGAATGCGTAAAAATAATGTTTGTACCTATGTGTATAAGGTTTTATTTACGTCAGAGCTACATTTTGTTATACGCGAGCAGTTGTTGCTTGCTGTAAAAGTATATATTTAAAAGGTTGCTGTCCTGACGTAAATACAGCTTAAGGGTTTAATAATAATGTATGTGTCACAGGTAAATTGTAAAAACCCTTGAAATTATACATATAATTATTTATAAGTTACGCTTCGCTTCGCTCTTAGCCTTCGCGTTAGGTCTTTTTTTTAATAGAACAATCTTAACCCTTGAAAAAATAAATATGATATTTTGAATGTAGGCAAGTTAAAAAATGTAATAGTGAAGTGACAAACGGTAATGCAAATAATTCTAAGTAAAAACTGAAATTTTAACCGTTTTATTGAAAACATGTATCGCAAGTCGTAGATTATTTTTTGTTAACTAATATATGGGTACTTACTAAAAAACGTATTTAAATAATAGTTAAGTGATAAATAATTAAAAATATTGCATTTCTATTCCTTTAAATTAGTCGACGGCTTTATTGCGCATCAAAAAGATGTCTAAGTCTGACCGAACAGTGGCCGTTTCACAATAATTTTACGTCTTTGTCATTAGTAAAATTCTCAAAACCCCTTTGATTCAAAATATCACTAAATGTGCTTAATGAAATTATAATGTAGCTAAAATTGTCCCGTGATATTGTAAGAAAAGGAGACGATTGGCAAAACTCTAGGAAATTATAATTTTTCATGGTTTTTACAATTCCCATGTGACATATGTATGTATGTATACATTTTGGTTCATAAATAGTGACTGATTTTACATTAACCGTTTCCCTGTCCCATGAGTCATATATGAACATTTCGATTGTTTTACTATTATGTCTATTTCGCGGACAGTTAATCTGTTAATATGAAATTATTCAGCAATAATCATAAAAAAATTTCTCCTATCCACAATAGTGTCTTGGTCAAAAGAAGTTTTATGCGCTTGAGTGTACATGACACGTTGAACAATCCCATTTACTCTTGTTCATTATTATAAGAAACTACTTATTTGTCGCGAGGTAAGTGCAATTAGAGCGGTACGGTGAGATAGAAAATAAAGTAGGTTACGTAATACATAAATATTTGAAGTTTGTAATACAGATGTACGCAAATATTTGACATTTTCAATAAAACTATCTTCCTCGGATTCATAGGCCACAGAATGGACGGAGAAAACCAAAAAGCAAAATAAATCTGCCAAAAAATCCAAAAAAAGAGTTTTATTTAATATATTTAAATTTTCTACAAGTTAATTAACTATTTGGAATGGCATTCTTAAATTAAACTATCTTTTCGGATTATTTCGCGGATTTATTTTGATCCGCGAAATAATCCGAAAAGATAGTTTTATTTAATAATGTCAAACATTCGCGTAAATCTAAGAAATTATTATTTGGAATGGTCTAAGTATATGTCCATCTCCCTCTGGTATGTCTGTTTCTACAGTAAGTGATATCTAAATTAGCTGCCAAAAGTCGGGTTAAAATGTAATCATTAATATCTTTAGATTTTAATTCATGAAATCAAACGGAATATCTCGAAAATAATTAAAATTTAGTCACCGTAGAAATATAATAATATTTTAATGTTATTAATATGTGCAGTTATGTACAAAATAATTTAATTAAGGATATATTAAAAACTGTGCAATAATGAAAAATAAAAGTGCAAATGTACTCTATTGATCAATCAATTTTCTAATCGTGAGGTATAAAATTATTATAATTAATATTAATAATACTATCAGCAGGTGCAATCTAGTCCTTTTATTACATAAACTCATTTAATCTATTATATATTAAATGCATTACATACATTTTGATATATTTGTCTTTTATTTAAAAAAAAACTCTTCCTAAATTGTTTGTCGGTTTGATAAGACAGAAGATTTTTATATAAACCAGTTATTTATGTATTGAACTATAAAATAATGTTAATTGAATTTATTGAGCTCCTCAATGTATATCATTTGTTCAATTTGTTTTACTTGTAACTTTAGTTTACTATACCAATTAGCATATTTTGAATTTGGTGCATGATTATGAATACAAGAAGATGAAGCTTGTGAACCACATTCAATTTCATTTGGAAACCTATTCTTAACATTAGTATCTTGATTTAACAACAATTTCTTCTTCAAGTTTGGCTTATTTGATTGCCTATTAAAATATGAAATTGGATTTTTATTCATATTTTCTTTGGATTCATTAGAATGTCTTAATTTTTTTTCAGAATATTGAATTTGATTTTGGGAGCTTACTGAACATTTTTTATTATTTTGTTTCTTGTTGAAACTAGAAAAACATAATGGTAGTCCCAATTTTAATAATTCAGCATTTTCTTCTTTTAATTTTGGGCTGGTTTTATCATTTATTCCTACTGTAAGATTATTATTTTTGCAATCAGCACAAAAGCTATTTATTTTATTATCATTGATATCATGTTTAATGTTGAGAACTTCAGCTGTGTATTTAGATTTCATATCATCATCACTAAGTTTTGAACTATGTGATACATTGTGGTCATTCACACCTTCACGGTCCAATATGTTATAATTTTTCTCCATACGCTCATGAATGTGATTTTTTATGAATTGTAAGCTTTTATTTAAATTTTTTAAATTTAAATCCATATTTGATATATCTGGCAGTTCAACATTTTTATACAAATAACTATCAGATTCATTATGATCAAATGAATGGCTTGACTGAAAGGATGTAAGCAGTTCTGAGAATGATGCAATTTCATGCTGATTATTATTTTTGTATGAATTCATTAATTCATCAAAGCTCTCTGCTTTTAGGTGTGGTTTCACTACTTCTTCATTGTTACAAATAATTGTCCAAAATTTTTCAAAATAATTTTCTACATCATCATGTTCAATAGTATCTTTTCCTATAGAACGTTTTAATTGCTTGTTATCAGTATTAGCAGTATTATCATCCTCTGCATTATCCTCAGGCCATAGAGCTAATAAACAAACTGATGTATTCAAAGATTGTAAAAGATTCATAAACTTATTTGTTTCTACACCTTCACTAAGTATTGTAACAGCCATACCATAAGAACCAAATCTTCCTGCCCTTCCTATTCTATGCAAATAAGTTGGCCAATCATATGGAGGTTCAAAATTTATTACTAAATCTACATTTGATGCGTCTATTCCACGTGCAGCTAAATCTGTTGATACTAAAATCCTACATTTATATTGTTGTAAAGTCTTAAGTGCATCTAAACGATCAATTTGGTCTTGTTGACCAAACAATTGTTCTACTGGCCATTTTTCTCTAGTTAACATTTTATGTAATTCTCCCACTCTGGCTTGATAATTACAGAAAATTAGACATTGCTTAAATTGTTTTTTTGATAAAATTTTTAGTAATTCAATAAATCTATTTTCTGTTTGTCTTACAATGTTACTGTTATACTTTACATATGTAACTTTCTGAGCTACTCCTAATAAAATACAATTACTATTAGGACAAATATGTTGTGCATCATGAACAAATTGGTTAATGATTTCTTTGCAACTTTCAGGATATGTAGCACTACTCATTATCACTTGCTTTTGCTTAGGTAAAGCAGAATGTATATACTTAATATCTGCTAAGAAACTTTTTTCCATTAACTTATCAGCTTCATCCAGAATAAACAGTCTTACTGATTTTAAATCAATATGTTTTTCATGAATAAGGTGTTTAAGGCGACCAGGACTACCTACCACTATATGGACATTGTTATTTTTAAATTTGTTTATATCTTCTTGAATAGATAAGCCTCCCATTACAACTTCAACACATAAACCTAAAAAATAAATTAAATCATTTAATAAATCAGACAAATTTACTATTATCATTATAAGTAAAAGCTATAATTAACATTTAAAATACCTTCAAATTTTTGTCCTATTTGTCTAAGAACATCACAAATTTGGGCAGCTATTTCCCGAGTTGGTGCAAGAACTACAACTTGAAGTCCTTTACCCAAGTCTAGATTTTCTAGGGCAATAACTGTGAATACTGCTGTTTTCCCTGTTCCTGACTTTGCTTCTAATAGTAAATCTGAAAGAATAAAACATAAATAAATCTAAGAGAATAAAAGTATAAAGACTAGATTTTTATCATGGCTTACCAAATCCACATTTTCCTAATGGAATGCCGTGTAACTGAATAGGAGATGGTTTATAAAAACCAGAACCTTTTAAGCCATTTAATGTATCCTCAGAAAGAAGCATGGTTTCAAACGTTATATCTTGCGTTATTTGGATATCCTTCGTCCTCTGACCCTCGTTTATATTGTGACCTAATACCATTATACTACACTAGTTTATTTATATCTTAATAACGAAAATATGTATTATTTTAATATGAAATTCAACAATTAGTGAGCTTTTTTACCGGTCAGTGGTCACTTTTGTTATGACTTAAAGAGTTATGACAATTGTTAAATGACGTTTGTCTAAAATGAAAATGTCAAGATTCATTGCATAGATGTCATCAAGTGTAGCCAGCATATTAAACAAATAATGATTGGAGTTGAAATTACTAAAAAAAATAAAAAAGAAGGGTTTCTTCAAAAGTAATAAACGTTTTCTAATCAGTGATAAGCAGTTACTTTGAAAAAAAAATCTTAAAAAAATCTATTAAGTTTCTTCAGATTCATGTCATATTGCAGTTGACCAACGCGACGCTCTGTTTACGTGCTAGGAACTCAGACCAATAATTGGTCTGAGGCTAGGAAGGAAAAAACAGTCGTAGAAGTGTCGTGGGTCACTTATTGAATAATTCTAATAAAAGCCACATAGAAACCAATAAATATTTATTGGTTTCCATATTTTTTTAATATTTTCTATGAAATTCAAAATTACATACAATTTCATATAACAAGAAATAATTTCTGATGTTAGTATTCAAAAAATTATATCGATAAAATCAACAAAATTAATAAGCCCACGTTGAATCCAAAGGATGCCATATCGTAAATAATAAGATATTAATTATATATCAATATTATTTTGATTTTAAATTGACATTCTAACAAATAAAACAAATTCTGAAATTAAGTAAGTTTCTTGGGAAAATAAATAAAATCATTTTAACAAATTTTTTTGCACTACATAATGGAAAAATATGGCATAGTTGCGGAGAATGAAGAATACTCATATGAGTGCCGACGACATCCGACGCGATTTTAGATCATGATTGGCATCAGGTAAGCGTGTTTGTGTTTCTGCCTGGTTGTGCCATAATATGGCATAATTACGTGCTAATATGTGCCAGTCCTACTTAGTATTTCCGTTGTTTTTTTCTCTTCTGTTATAGTTTGGGATTTGTCTTTTTACCTACCCTACCCCAGCCTGCAAATTTATGATATTCGCAATGAAAAAAATACTAATCGATAGATTTTTAATAGCTCAATTCAACTACGTAGCCCTTCCAAATTGCTCACCATTAATTATAAAATTAAAAATCAATAAAGTCCTTGAAAAAAATTTCATTTATCCGTATATTCAAATTTCTATATCTTTTGATATATACAATATTTTAAATTGCTCAAAGTTCTAAAATACTGCTCAAGTTGCATTTGTAATTGCTCAAGTAGAGTTCTCACCAGCTCCACTTTCCTTAATTATTAAATAAATATAAATAGTACACACGTAGAAGTCCAAGAAGTTTCAGAATCAGACCTCCTCTGCATAATCAACGATGACGAGGACGACGAGAAATCCTTGTCTCGCTCGGGCGAGGAAAACAGCATAAATGCCGGTAAACGGACCACAACTGGACCCCGCTAAGAAAAATGAAACATCGCCGCTAAATTAATCAGGAAAAAGAGGACGGTACTAAGGGCTCTAATGAGATGGAGTCAAAGAGTGAGACGAAGCTGTTGAAAATGAGATGGAACATCCGAGAGGCGATCAGCTCAGCATCAAGAGATGGAATGTTTGTGGCGCTTCCAGGAGCTAAAAAGGATCGTAGCAGTATTATTAAATTATTGATTGCTGATCAGAGTTCAAAATTCCTTTATATTAAAGGCAGTTTATATTCATGCAGTTTGTTTCTTTGAAATAAAAATGTCATTAAACTATATGTATATTTAAAAATAAAAAAAGTTCCGTCTTGTATTGATGTTAATAACATTTTACTAATGATCCCTGTCATGGCTATTACCTTAATAGAATAAGCATTTGAACATAAGATTTTGTCTTAATTTATCTGTTGGTATTAATTTTCATTTATTGGTAGATTCCAGATCTGTTCTTTATGTTATAATATCTGAAGTGGAATCACGTAATGTGAACAATTCATAAATTCAATAAATTTAAAGAAATCCACCGAGAAACAGAATTAAGACGTTGAATTGGAACGATTGTCCAAGCCCGCCGAGGCCGACCGACAATGCGCGGTGCGCATGCGCACGCTCACTTAACCTACGTTACATTTATTATAACTATACTTTTAATTATTTAATAATCAGCGAAAGTGGAGCTGGTAAAAACTCTACTTGAGCAATTACAAATGCAACTTGAGCAGTGTTTTAGAACTTTGAGCAATTTGAAATATTGTATACATCAAAAGATATAGGAGTTTGAATATACAGATAAATTAATTTTTTTTCAAAGACGTTATTGATTTTTAATTAAATAATTAAAGGTGAGCAATTTGAAAGGGCTACGTAGTTAAATTGAGCTATTGAAAATCTATCGATTAGTATTTTTTTCATTGCAAATATCATAAATTTGCAGGCTGGGGTAGGGTAGGTTGTCTTTTTCTCTCCTTAGTAGAGTTCTCAGTTAGATACGTTTATGATCTGTGTACAATGACAAGGTGACAATTTTGCATTCGTTCAGAAATTTAATGTTAAAACGTAGTGGTTACATTCATTTTGGTTCAAGATACCAAGTGTATATAGAAAAACAATGATGATGTAGGTAAATTTATAAGTAAATTCAATAATTATTTATTTTACAAAAGTTTAATATTATAGAAATTGAGATGTTAAAAAGTAACTGAAATAAAATGATTGAGTTTATTATGTCATGTGTATTAATAATTTCCGAACAGATTTTTGAGAAATGGCGAAATTGAAGATCTTTATACATTTATTTTACGTCCGATTTTAACACTTTTGTAACTAAAAAAATGAAATACTGATAATCTGCTTATAATATTTATGGATGTTCATCGTAACAAACATAGTGCTGCTATTTTGACATCAATGAAACTAGTTGAATCTAATAGGATTCAGTGTTGGAATTTCATCAACAGTTTTTAGTTTATAAATTCATCCACGTAAGTTAAAAATATCATCAAGAAAAGTAATAAGTTTATTAGAACAGTTTTTGAAATTTAACTATTTTACTAAGATAACTTTTGTTTACAAGTTCATTCAGAATTATCATGTAGGTCATCAACACATCACATAAACTACCTACCTGTATATTTGTTATATTCATATATTTTTTATACAATTACATATTATTTTACTATTAAATGCTATAGTAAAACCTTTTCTTTTATGTAATATTTGTATATATTCTAAAAAAGTATTTTTTAAATTTAATGTAGACATTAGAAAATGAACAATTGTGGAGGTGGAGTCGGCGCTGGTGTAGGAACTGGGAGTGGAGCTTACGACGCTAAAATAGCTGGATTATATGATTTGCTTGACACTCTTGGCTCAGGTCACTTTGCTGTTGTAAAATTAGCCAGGCATGTTTTCACTGGAGAAAAAGTGGCAGTGAAAGTAATTGACAAAAGCAAGCTAGATGATGTCTCAAAATCGCATTTATTTCAAGAGGTATTATCTTTTATTTTATATTGATATGAAAACTGTACACTAGTAGTTTTTATGTATGTTAAGATAAATTTAATAAAAGTCTTTAAGTTTTAAGTTATTACACAAGTTTTTATCTTAAATGCTACAATAGTTTATTAAAAATAGAATAACATACTTAAATTTTATACTATTTACTTATTTTCCAGGTTCGGTGCATGAAACTGGTGCAACATCCAAATGTTGTACGACTTTATGAAGTAATAGATACTGCGACTAAGTTGTATTTAATATTAGAATTAGGGGATGGAGGTGACTTATATGACTATATTATGAGACATGAATCTGGTCTCTCAGAATCTCATGCCCGTGATTACTTTCGACAAATAGTTCGTGCAATCTCATACTGTCACAGGTAAATTTAAGTGTGTAAAAATTCCAACATCAATAATTTCATTTATATGAATATTTACTGCACTAGCAAATAAGAAGTTTGATACAATTAAAATTACAAAAGTGATATGACACTAAAAATTTTTTGATTAAAAAAAATGTTGATTTCTTTTAATTTAACATTGTTATGTGTAACTGTTGTTATGTTATATACTTTATTTATTTATACAACAGTGCGTATTACATATAATTGCTTAGTTTGTTTAAACAATATTTCATTTTGTAACCTATTCATCAATTAATTTACCCATTTATATAACATGTGGTTGTTGACAATAATGTGTGTGCAAATGGCACAAGTAAATTATTTTTTATAAATTTATGGTACATCTTGTTCATTATATATATTAAAGTTTCTAATATAATAAGTGAAACTAAAAGATAAATTTATATATATATTATAAATTGTTTTATACATGTTGTGTTTGTTCTAGGTTACATGTTGTGCATCGAGACCTCAAACCAGAAAATGTTGTATTTTTTGAAAAATTAGGAGTAGTTAAATTGACTGACTTTGGATTTAGTAATAAGTTTTGTCCAGGACAAAAATTGGAGACTTCATGTGGTTCATTGGCATATTCAGCTCCTGAGATTCTTTTAGGAGACTCTTATGATGCACCAGCAGTTGATGTATGGTCACTTGGTGTAATACTGTATATGTTAGTGTGTGGACAAGCTCCTTTTCAGGAAGCAAATGACAGCGAAACTCTCACTATGATTATGGATTGCAAATACACTATGCCAGTTCATGTATCCAATCCATGTAAAAGGTAAAACTTTATTGATATATCAGGCCCACGTAAAAATAAGTTTCTTTTTGTAATATATTTAATGTTACTAGCAAATGTTTGGCATGTTGTCTTTGTTGATAAAAAATATTATATATAAATGAACATAATTTCAACAAAATTTCTGGACTGTTTCTTTGAAAATTATTATTAATACATACCTTTATGGTTTCACATTTAATTAAAGAGATAATAGTTTACTAAATAAAAAATGATATTAAAAATATGCATTTAATGATGACACAATCTTAAATTATATTATCAAAAACTTTAAATTAATTAGGTGCTCATAGGCCATTATTTTTTAATCCCATTACACAAAAACAAGCAATAGCTTATCAATTTATTGTTACATAAATAAAGTTTATTCTATTCAATACTTGCATTTAGAAGCATACTGATCTATTGACATTAGTGACAGTAGTTTATTGTGATTTTTGTTAAATAATTTATATGATAAATAGTCTTTCCCGCGGCTCCGCCCGCGTAAAAAACCAAATTCTTAGGTTTTACATATTAGTATACTCTTACATTGCAGTTTTCGTATTTTTTCTCAGAAATAAGATATTTTCCCGCGGTTAAAAGTATCTTATATGTTGACCCGCATAACCAGCTATCACCATACCAAATTTCATCAAAATACCACCAGTGATTTTTCTGTGATGCGGTAACAGGCAGACAAAAATTCTTAAAACGATAGATTCGGCCTCTGTATCGATAATAATGTTTATTTCAATAAGATTTTCCAAAAAATATTTAATGTAAATGTAAAGATTTTTCATGAATGTAAAATATTATTGTGTTAAAAGTTGATCGATCTTATAATTTTTAAATAATTTATCAGGCTCATAGGTAGAATGCTTGTCCGAGAACCGGAAAAGCGTGCGACACTATCTGAAATCGCTACAGATCCATGGGTCACGGCAGGCGAGGGTATCACTGTAGAAGACTGTGACACACCCTTAGTTACCAAACAAGACTTGACCGAAGAAGACAGAGCTGCTATTTTACAGAAAATGGTGAATGGTTCTATTGCCAGCAAGGAACACATTCTTGAAGAATTGGAAAAAAATGAATACAATCATATTACTGCAACTTATTATTTACTCGCTGAAAGAAAATTAAGATCTAAAAGGTATCGTTTCTACTAATCGGTTGCGGTCCATTTCACTAACAATATGTGTATATTTGAGTAGAGTAATGAGATGTCGGTCGGTTTGCACAGACAAGAAGCGCGGCAGCGGGCGCGGCGGCCCGATGCGCTGGGCGTGGCGCGCGCGGCGCGCGGCCTGCTGGCGCCGCCGCCGCTGCCCGCCGCGCCGCGCACGCCGCAGGACGTGCCCCCGGTCAGTATCTGAACAATAACGCTTTCTTTTATAGATGAAACGGATAGTAGTTTAGCCGGATAACGGATATCTGGCGGCCGGATATTCAACCGTTTGTCACGATGCATGTTGCGACAAGTATGTTATTGTAAGAATTCGTGCGTATTTAGTAGTTATTATGACTTAGTGATCAGGTAAAGTCAATTGTCTACATGCTCAATCACTTTACCTCCATTAAAATAGGTGGTCAGTTAACTCGAAGCAGTGTTACAGCACCTAGCAACCTTTACATATCAATTTTGTAGTAGTTGCCTCACAAATATATTTTTCTTCCAGTTTACTAAAGAATAAATCGTTGTTTTTAAATATTAATATTATTTTAAATATGCGGCCGGATAGAAAACTAAGGTCGGAGAGGAGTCCGGACAACAAATATTTACCGGATATTCGTTCCATCTAAACTTTCTTAGATTCACGTGATAATTTTACATTAATATAAACCGCAATCATGGTAACTGGACGTGGTCTCGTGACCATGTAAAATAAAGCATTCGAAACGTGGCGTCGAGAACCAAAATAGCAAATGATACCATGATAAAATCCGAAAAGATAGTTTAATTTAAAATACCTGTAGCCTATTCGACTAAATCTCAGACAAAGTAAAAAATATTTTTTATAACATTAAATTATTATACTTATTTCCAGGGTTCGAAACGATAATTATCATGATAAATATGGGTTGATAATTATCTTTGATAAATATAATTGAAAATATTTAATTTGTAACTCTTCAAATTGTCGATCAGCTAACTGAACTCTCTCAATCAGTTCAAAAAACTTAATCAGCAAACTTGAGTTAATGGAGTTGAGGAGGATGAGGATGATATTCCAATCATTAAGGAGTCTGCCTACTACACCGTCTCATACCATGACCGTACTATGAACGTATCAGGCACGGAAACAAGCAACACGGACTAATAGTAGTCCGTGTAACCCACTAGAACGTATCATTCGCGTATCAACCACGTTATTTCCTATACTTATACGATGGCCAGTAGAAACTTGTCCGACAGAGAATTAACAATGATAGCCATTGTTTTAGACGAGGAAGAAAGAGAATATCATCAGCCGATCACGATGTTACTAGGTTCACGTAGTTTAGAAAAAATATTTAAAAGAAAATATGATCACTAGAAGACAAGCGACAACACGTTTATAACGGGCTTAGAACCGTCATCATACGCACTTATAACCCGTGTGCTCATCCGTCCGCGCGCACCGGTTCGACAACGTCGCGTGCCAGGCACGGAGCGTATCGGCACCGGCCATATATTCTTGCCGACAATTCGTTGGCTCACTATTACAAGGTTCTATGTTACAATTTTAGTACTTATTTAGTTATTAATGCTACAAGGTTCTATGTGTCATTAGCTACAGTTTTGCAAAAACAAACCACTAGATAGTGGCACTATAATAACAAATTATTCAATTTTACATAGTTCTATGTTGTTTTTTTTACGATAACAAAATAACGAAGTTCTATGTAAAAATTACTAAACTTCATTAAAATTAACATAGAACCTTGTAATAGTAAGCCAACGAATTTATTATTGTTAACTTTCCATGCACGGCACGCGACGGTGTTGGTCGCTGACGGAAAGGTCGGTGATGGAACGGTCTAGTGGGCAAAGTTTCATATTTTTCAATATAAAGAATATTTTTTGCCTGACTGCCTGGTCCTAGCACTGTCATGGTATGACGGTGTAGTGGACAGATACCTTTAATTTAATTAAATAGTGTATAGTTGGTTAAATTTATTCTGTTTTTATTTCATAGTTTGTATATATGTCAAAATAATGAAAAAATAATAATAACAAAAGATTACCTTGATTGTTAAAAGTGTATAATATTTATTCTAATGTAAATTATGATAGGCAAGTAGTCAAATACCAATACCTACATAAGGATTGCTAAGTTTATATCTATTTGATAATTATCGCGATAATTATCAAAAGATATATTTATCTTGATAATTTCATACCCTGCTTATTACAATGTATTACTGAACGTCATTTCTCCTTTGGATTAGTCTTACTATATATTTAATACTTATATTTATTATAGATAATGTATTGTAGGTATTTTTATAATATTATTCAAATGATGGTTCATTTCGTTCATTGGTAAGGATATCATTTGAGAATAGCATAGTAGACCAATTAAGGTTTTTGGGGAAAATTGTCTCGGAAAATTGGTAAATTCGGGAGGAACTGAGAGTGATTTTTTCTATAATATTTAGTAAAACATAAGATTATACATGAAATTGAAATTGGGATAGATAAACGTTTGTTTGGTTAGCTAGATTACTAGATAGATATAGATATGAATATTACTCAATGATAAAAAAGAGTTATGTATATAATAGAGTACAATGTTTACAAGAAATATATGTCGCAGTGTTATTGTAAAAAAATTATGGACTTTTGTCAATCGTCTCCATTTTTTACAATATCACCAGACACTATCTTTAAATTCCCTACATACAGGTTAACGATGTGGATCTATGAAATTTTGAAAATTTCACTAAATGTCATATGTTGTGAAATTGTAATACGATCACTGAATTGTAGGCTTTGAAAATTTTATGTGCCCTGTTTGTACCACAGCGTTAATAAAATAAAATTCATGGTCGCCTAATGCTTTTTTGATAAAAATAAATGTATCTTATCGTACTTTGTTGGTACGACAGAGGTCGCGCAAGTGCAGCATAGTGCGGGAGGAGGAGGACGACGAGGAGGGCGCGGTGGCGGCGCGCAGCGCGGACGCGCGTCGCGGCTCGCGCTCCGAGGGCCGCCTGCACCTCGCGCGCCCCGCGCAGCTTGCCGACAACCTTACTAAGGTTACTTGATTACAATATACTTCTATAGTCTGTATAGTCCAGTTTAGTCTCCCATATTTTCTAACCCAAAGGTTGTCTGGAAGAAATCGCTTATAGCGATAAGACCGCCTTTCGTGCACACTTTTGTTTTTGTCTTTTTTGTTTTGATATTTTGTTCACTCTATTTACTTTATGATTGTGGTGTACAATAAAGTATAAATGCATAAATATTATGTTGCACTCATATGGGGCAATTTTAGTTGATTAACCGCTACATTATTGATTTTTGCTTGATCAAAAATTACTGTTCATCAAATCGTTTATTTGTAGCAAAAGATCAGGTTACAAAAATATGTATACTCTTTACACAACTGTTTTGCTTAAGACATAATATAAAATTATCCAAAAAGAGTGCTTAGGAACTCGTACAAGGAAAAAACCTGTATTTAGCACTGTTAAAAAAAATAATAATTGTTGAATCATTTTGTTAAATTTTAGGATTGCATTTTTTATTTTATTTTTAAATTTCTTTATTTAATCCACATAAATTATTAAATTAATTACATTTCTAGTGTAAATTTAATCCTAGAAGTACATATTAAATACTATTATATTTGTTTAACAAGTACACAGACTTATATAAAACTTATAGCAAAAGGTAACATGTGCATATAAATAATTTTTATTAATAATTGAACAGTATATCATTTAAAGTATGTAGGCTTTAGAAAAGCGATTACATTTATATCATAATTTTATACAAAGAAAAATAAACCGTGGTCGGTAGATGTAAATAAAATACCAACTAAAAGCAGTCAGCAGTAAGCAACAAGAACGTAACTTGTTATCTATCGCACACGCAGGTGAGTGAGCTCGCACCGCGGCGCGCGCGCCATTTCCGATCTTATATCACACGGTAATGCGATCGGGAATAGCACACGCGGCAGCGGCAAGAGCACACGCGCCTGTGTTGACGAATGTTCCTATACAAATGGTTCATAGTCTAGGAATAAGTGATGCGGCAATTTGTATCGATTATATTTATCGACATAAGGATTGCATTAAAATAAATAAATCAGGACATACGAAATCGCTATTCCCGGTCTACTACCACAGTATAAAAATCATTAAAATAGGCGATCATCTTTGATTTTAACGGACATGTTTCTAAATGCAAGGGTTGTCAAAAATACCTATAGCTATAGTTATACATTAATGCCTCATTAACCGACTTTCATACACAAGTAGGTATGACAGTTGAGGCGTCTTTCATGATTCATCCGAGTATCAAACGGTTGCGGCCTTTTTTTTTTTTAACGTTGGGAAATGCATTTACGCACGACGTGTGGGACTCACCGGCGTAATACAGCCAGTACTACCCACTAAAACCCAACAAAACCTTCCCCCGTCTTAATGGGGCGTCGCAGGATCGCTTATGCATTCAACTACGACGCCCCGACGGCAAGTCTGCCGAAGCAGACCACCACAACCATGGGGTTGCTCCACAGTCCACTCTGCTATCAGAGAAGTACCAGGAGCAACCCGCATGGTACACCGCCCCCCGAAGAGGGCCACCTCCCACCGACCACCGAAGTGGGCAACCTCCCTGTGCGTTTCTTAGCTTCTCGCCCGGTTGGATTGCCGGGCACTACTGAGCCCCCCCACCAGGACAAGGTGAACGCACGTTGGGGAGGAATCGGTTGCGGCCTACCCTAAGCGGCATGAAGTTGTCCGCAAGACATTTTTATTCCCTAATTAAATAATTCAATTTATCGCTTCCCAATCAGGTGAATCTCGAGCCGGAGCCCCCGGTGGCGGTGCGCGCGCCGCCCGCGCCCGCGCCCGCGCGCCGCCAGCGCGTGGAGTGCCGCCGCCGCCGCGCGCGCGCCGGCTCCTGCTCCTCCTCCGACCTGTCCGACGACGACTCGGAGAAGAAGAAGCGTGCGGCCGAGAGCGCGGCGGCGCCGGCCGAGCGCGCGCGCCGCGACTCGCACGACGACTCCAGCGACAGCCAGGAGCGCCGCCCCGCGCGCCCGCCGCCCGCGCCCGCGCCCGAGCCCGCGTCCGCGCCCGCGACTACGCACGGTCAGTGCTTTTTAACCGACTCCCGCAAAGGAGGAGGTTCTCAATTCCTCGGAATCTTTTTTTTGTATGTTCACCGATCACTCGAACGAAGACTTCTGTACCGATTTGTAATTTTTTTTTGTTTCAAAGGGTATACTTCTCAGATGGTCCCATATAAATTTTATCGAAATCGGTCGAGCGGTTCTTAAAAAAATGAACAATATATGATTTTTTTTAAATAAATTGTTTAATCGAATATGTTATTAAAAAATACAATATTTTAAGACATAAATATCTAATAGGTAAATGTGTATTTTACTTATCGAAATACATTAAGTTTGCTTTGCATCGCCTTCGAAAATATCTGATTAGGTATCTATTCTAAATGAAAAACCCCGTTTAGGTATTTTTTACATTTTAGTGCCTGGAAGTCGGTTTTTATTTGACGACACGTTTGACTCAGTTTGTAGTGGCCCTACTTATTGAACCAGCGGTCGCGGGTTCGAGTCCCGCTAGGGGCATTCATTTGTGTGATGAGCACGAATGTTTGTGTCAGTTATGGGTGTTTATATTTATAATATGTATGTATTTAAAGTAATATATATGTAGTTTATCAGCTATCTGGTATCCATAACACAAGCCTTATAGCTTACCATGGAACTAGATGGTGCTGTGTATGAAAGTCCCAACATATTTATATATTATTTATTTTTTAAAGTTTGTATAGTGTGGTTAATTTACTAAGCTTGTTCTCATGATTCGTGCAGATGTTTTATATATTATAGATAAGCAACTTATATAGTACACACCTTGCTGTATCTCAATATAGTCACGTTTTCGTGAATCGTTTATTTATTAACTAGCATTGCCCGCAGCTTCTACCGCGTTCAGAGGACCAAGAAGCAAATTCTTAGGTTTTACATATTAGTATACTCTTACATTGCAGTTTTTGTATTTTTTCTCAAAAATGAGATATTTTTCCGCGGCAAAAAGTATCCTATATGTTGACCCGGATAATCTGCTATCACCATACCCAATTTCATCAAAATCCCTTGTGGTTTTTCTGTGATGCGGTAACAGACAGACAGATAGACATACAGACACACAGACAAAAATTCTAAAAACTATAAATTTGGCCTCTGTATCGATAATAATGTTTATTTCAATAAGATTTTCCAATAAATATCTAATGTACAGATTCGGCTTTGTTACAATTTTATTATATGTATAGATTACCATGGTTATGCATGGCATTAACTTACTACTACCTACTATACACGATATAGATATAGTATTTCACTCGTACTGAAATTGTACATTAGTACATTCTCCGTCATAACTGCGGCGTTTTTATGTGTAATAGAAATTTTAATATGTCGTAATAATCATGAATATTTTATTAAATGTACCACACATGAAACGTAACACCTTACACGCTGTTTTTTTATTATTGTATAAGAGGGTATTATATTATCGTTTATTAGTACTCAGCTTTACAAAAATAACTAAAAATTTAAAAATGTATGATGCTATTCTAAGATACACTCTGATGGGAGTGTGAAAGCTAATTTACTCGCTTTTCCACGAATCAATAGAGAAGGATAACTTATGGATTTAAATCTGCTTAAATATCGATAATGTTATAATTATATTATTATAAAAACATAGAAATATTCGTTTTTTTTTAATTAATTACGAAACAGAACAATTAAACTTATGCCATTCGAAAAGGAAGTGTGATAGATCTGCATAAATTCATGTTGCCGTTAGGAAGGTTACTTAAGTAACCTCATATGTACATCATTTTTCACAAAATAATAAAAGAACAAACGAATTCGTTAGTTACTTTACAGCCAATTCTATCATATGTGGTTCTATTATTTATTATTTAACTCGCCAGTGAATTCGCAATCAAATAATTTAAAATCAATAAATGCTGCCCAAAAGGTAATGCCAGATGAACACCTGAATTTAGAACCTAAGTTCTAGTCAGTTAATTACATTGTTAGTTATTTTTAGGCGGTAGTTCGTCGAGTGGCGGCGGCGGTGGCAGTGGTGGGGGAGGAGGGGGAGGGGGAGACGCGCGCGGGGGAGGAGGAGGAGGGGGAGGGGGGAGGCGACGCCGCGCCGCGCGCAAGGAGAGTCGGTTGCGGGAGTCGCGTTCACTCAATCGTATCGCTGAGGTATGGATATATTTCACTGGTTTATTATTCTAATGTCTCACTGCTTCAGTGACTAAGTAGCTATCATCATCTCTAGTCACGCTAGTTATTGAGTTTCAAATTTTAAAATTTACCACCGAAACTGGCAGAGAATCGAATGGTGTGGCGCAAACGCATTATGGATATATGGATGGAGGGTCGCAGGTTTTGCGATGAAACCGGGTTCGTTGCACTTGCTGTGCTGACAAGCAATAAAGAGGAAGTTAAGGCGACTCAGTACCATCCGTCGCCTTCTCGTGTCAGGTCTGCGGTAGGACATGTAGCTCTCGCATCGGTCTATACAAATGCGATACATCAGAAGCGATGTATCTATAACATTGCCTCCATAAGGCCTTTTTCTCGGTCCGATATTGGTCTAGTAAAGATATTTTGTACAAGAAACAATCTGTGTATTCAAACTATGAGTAAGATTTAAGTTCCGGTCAAATCCCACTCTACCAACGTTTCTTGTATAAAAATATTTTCTTCAGACCAGACCGATACCGGACCAAGAAAAAACCGTGATCGGTACTATAGTGTGGATCGGACCTAAGGGCCGTTCCACACTATAGTGCCGATGACAGTCCGTTCTGGACCCTTATATCGGTCTGGTAAAGTATTTCTATACATAAGCTAGGTACGTTTTAATTTTTTTGAGGGGAACCCTAATTCTTTTTTCAAATAAAAGTAGCTTATGTTACTCCCTATAAAATCAGCTATATTCCAGTGAAAGTCCCGTCAAAATCAGTCTAGCCGTTTCAGAGATTATCCGGAGCAAACAGACAGACAGATAAAAAAAAAGTATTTTTCTTATAAGTACCGTATATAATTTGATATGCATTTAGTAAAACGCTGTTATTTTGACATTACAAACAGACACTTCAATTTTATTTATCTGTGTAGATAAAGTATGTCGGTTGTCGCAGGTGGAGGAGGCGAGCGCGGCGAGCGCGGCGCGCTGGGGCGGCGGCGGGCTGGTGGCGCTGTGCGGGCGCCCGCTGCTGCGCCTGCTGGCCGCAGCGCGCCCCGCGCCCTCCGCGCGCCGCCTGCACGGCCTCTGCTGAGCGTCTCGCCTCTCTCACCTCCACCTGTCAACTGTCATGTGTCAACAGCTAATAAAAAGTTTATTAATGCTTCTAAACGTGCCAGTTGAGCACAGATTGTTGTGAATGTTTCCATTTTTATTTGGATCATATAAAATATCATTTAAAATGTTTTAAACGCATTTAAAATGTTTGTTGTACATAAATAACACCTATATTAAAATATTTATATATACATGCTGGAAATATGTCATCATGTAGCAGTATAGATTTTCATAACTCTTTCCTATCAAAAATGTACAAAAAAGATACCTTTTAAGCCAACTAAGATAAACGCCTTAAAAAAAATTATAAGTATAATTTAAAAACACTTCAAAATCCTCAATTATTTATACACTTTGAATCACTTCAAACTAATTTCTTTCGTGTGTAAATCCCTGTTTAATTAATTACTTGTTGAAATTAATTGGTGCAGTATATAATTAAAAAAACTTAAAAATCTGTCCATGAAACGGTCCTGACGGGTCATGTTGCTTGAAAAGTAGTTAGAACCTGAAATCAGTTTTGAGGGTCAATCCAATATATTTGCCTAAAGTTTTGTAATATAATATCAAATATAGTGTTCAGTAAAAAGAACTTGATTGAATGATTTTGAAAAATAACAAAATAAAATATTTCATATAGTATCTAGAATATTAGACGCTTCATATACTAGTATGGAATATTTCAATCCAAAAAGGAGAAAAAAAAAGAAAATTTTGTATATAAATATAAAATATTGAGTATATAGCCGATTCTATGGTATGTTTGATGTATTGATTATATTATAAAACTAAATTTATTTTATAAAGTCCGTGAAAACGATTCATGCGTGGCGACAGGAGTCATGTCGCGTCGTGACATAAATATATTTGTATAATTGTAAATATTTTTGATTATCTTCCAACAATAATAATGATTAACATAATATGATGCCCCTTGCATGGCCAAATATTTATACTGGTAGGTTTTTAGAAATGTTTTTCTGATACCAATACGTGATTTAAGTATTTAAAGCTTCATAACGTTTCGAACTAGATATTTGATTGGGGCCATTCTATGTTCGATGTTTATTTCACAAACTCATTTATAATATTTATAAATGAACATTAGGTCAACAGGGTTTAAACGATTCGTTTCATGGGTGTTATACTCATTTTTTTATATCTTAAAAGAAAATTAATAAGAAGCCGAGAACTGAATTTTATAGTGAAATATCACGAACAATGAACATCGTTGATACTGGAAGTTCTAATTTCCATTAGTGATATAAATCATTTTAAACTATATATTAAAATATGTCTCGAAAAAAATATTGGATGTTAGTATGTCTATATACATATTACGTACTTGTAAGGCCAGTGCACCTGTAATGTAAACACTAAACTTGGAAATTGTCCTATGATGCTGTTTTGTCGCCGGATGATAACTATGCAGTGCCTTAATATTCTTCTTTAAAGCTTCTTTTCCTTATTAAATCATCTGTAGAACAACAGATCTGTAAAACTAATTACACCTATAAAAGTAAAACCATGCTGAGCTCTTTCAAAATGCTTACTTCAATTGCGAATTAGAGTATATGAAACTAACTATAAATTGGAGATAAAATGTATGTACGGTAAATCAAATATCATATTCTTGATTACAAAAAAACTGGCTATTTAATGAACTTTAAATTAATCAATAATTATCAACAATTTAAATAGTCTGTTGTTACTGAATAAGTTGTCGCTAAAATTTGGAAGTAATCCGATCTGTCTCGTGTGAACTTCTGATTGAATGAATACATTGATGAATAATACTGTCTTAGATTTACGCGAATATTTGACATTTTAAATAAAACTATCTTTTCGGATTTTGTCGCGGATTTATTTGCATTTTTGTTTCCCGACGTTTCGAATGCTTTACAGCATCCATGGTCACAGGAGAGACTGAGGTGTTACATGTCTCGAATGTATAGTTGTTACAGACAGCCTACCCACAATTAACAAAATGAAAATTAATATATTATATTAAATTAATATATTAAATTAATATATACTATTAATATATACTTTTACATAGTGTTGCTTAGTAAGTTGTTTTTAAACTATAGCAAACTAAATTAAAATTATTATCCTTAATTAATTTTCACTTTTTAAATTACACATAGAACAATTATATGACTTAAATAATTAATACTATATTTTATATTTTTCTTTATGGTTATAAATATAATAATGGCAACACTAAATATAGATTACTAATTAATATTTTAAAATTGTAATAATTATAAAAATAATAGCAAAAATTAAATAAATAATTTTCCATATTCAATTATAATTAAAATTATAAAAATGTTTAAAGTTAAAAAATATTGAAATGTAGTTGGTGCAATTTTCATTTTGTTAATTGTGGGTAGGCTGTCTGTAACAACTATACTATTCGAGACATGTAACACCTCAGTCTCTCCCTAGACCATGGATGCTGTAAAGCATTCGAAACGTCGGGAAACAAAAATGCAAATAAATCCGCGACAAAATCCGAAAAGATAGTTTTATTTAAAATACATTGATGAAGTCAACTCGCAAAAAAATTAAAAAGGACATTATAGAACTGAGATGAAAAGCGTGTGATGTCTTTGGGTAGATCTTCAACAATGAGATAGATGTTTTTATTCATCTTTTTTATTTATTTAAGTCAGTAGTTGATGAGTTATGTGTTTATCGTAAAAGGCATTATTTCGTTTGTAAAACAGTTCCGATCGTTGTAATGTGGAAAATCACCGTCTTTGTATGTAGGTGTTAAAAAAGGTCGAGCGAAAAAAAAATGTTTTTTTTCTTAGCTTGGGGGTAGAATTTGTCACTCTTTTTAATAAAAAAAATTACTCAACATTTTGAGGTGACCCATTGATTTATTTAAAAATAATTATTTAATGGTTTGAATAATTTTTTTTCTACTGATTCTTTGGAAAACGTTCAAATACAAATTAAAAAAAAAACAACATGTAACTTTTTTTGTATTACAGTGAAAGTTGAGTAGAAAATGACTATATTCGTCAATTTTTGAATGTCTTCAAAGATGATCACGCGAAAAAAAATTTTTCATTCAAACCAAAAACTTAAATTAATTATACTCGTATATTTATTTTAAAAATCATTGGGCCACCTCAAAACTTTGAGTAGGTATATTTTTTTATTTGAATAATTTTGTTTTTTTTTTATAATCTACCAATTCTACCCTCAATCTAAGACAAAAAAAAATAATTCGTTCCACCCTAGCCCCCTATCTTGATGTTCTTTTATTTGCTTAAATCTCATAACGTATAGATATTTTATGTACTTGTTACTTAGTAGATATACCAATCCTTTCATACCAATTATTGTTTTCAAAATGTTATTATTTGCTAAATTTCAGTTTCAACAACAATATACATTAAATTATAACAATGATTTTTTTAACAATATTTTTTGTTTAATACAATCTGCCATATGGCCACAGTTATTTTGATATAAGTAATAAGGATAAAAAAAATTTTTCTTCAATAGAAGTGAGGTTTTGCCGAATTTTATATTGCACTTGAAGATAAAACGTGCTGTTTTGGTGCTATATAACATAATTTATTTTGTAGGTTTTCATGGTGGAATGCTATCGTAATTTTCTTTTTAATTTTACATCAAGCCCACTTGCTAAATGTATAATACGCTTTGTAGCGAGTAAAACAGCTTCTGTTTTGGTTTCGCAGTGAAAATATAAATGAAAAAAGTTGCTTGTTTATTACAGCCAAAAAGGTTTAGTGAATTTCATTAAAGTCAAACTAGAATTTTATGCTAGAGGCACTATAAGCTGCAGGCCTTAGGCAATAGTTGTGAAACACAGAGGGAGTTTTGTAACTAACAGAGGCGAGACTCGACAGGATATAGAAAACTATGTAAACTGTTTCTTATGTATTAGTACATTCGGTACAGTTTATATTGCTCATCGTTTATCTATACTCTCGATCTCTTTGATTTGAGAAAATATATTCTCTCTATGTACATAAATGCACCTTAAGAATCGCTTATTTTATTTTATAATTTGTAGTAATATGCTATAAATTCATTGTTGAAAAAGTTAAACGTTGTATATTAAAATATTTATGTACATATATATTTAAATTGTTGTAAATAAATAGTTTATTTTAAAGTAGAAATTAAGTTGAATTTAAAATTTTAGTTGCGCGTGTTGAGTTTCACGATTTTTGATCAATTTTGTTACGGTTTTGGATCTAATTTTATGGTATAATATAAAGACCAAAGAATAGATACATATTATTCTGTGTTATGACATGATGTGCCAACTGATTGAAAAAAACATTGAATACAATTTTATACAAAAATTAATACAGACTTAGTCCAATCGGAATCCGGTTTGGGAACAAAATATTGAAAACCTGAAGTTTTATGATTTTAAAATGTTAGCAGGTATATAAGGAATATAAATTCATAAAATGCCCCACATGCCCAGTCACCCCCGAGAAATGGGGGGACGCAAAGCGTTGAAAAATAGTTTTTTTCAATTTCCGGCTTTACTGTGATATTCTATCGAAAAATGTTTTCGACAAGTTTTAGGTCTAGTAAAAATGTACAACTTATAACTACATACAACTGCCTCGGTGGTGTAGTGGCTCACATGTACGGCTGCACACCCGGAGGTCCTGGGTTCGAGTCCCCGGTTGGGCTGAGCTTAGTTATTGAGTCTTTCTCTATAGTAAGCCTCAGTAACAGCCCGGATTTGGGAAGTTGGCGGTGTTTCACCCCCGTGCCTCGGAGAGCGAACGTAAAGCCGTCGGTCCTGCGCCTTGAATTTCATTTCTTTCATTTGAAGTTGGGGGTGATTTTCAGCCATAGCTCATAAAACATACTTTTCTTGGAAATGGTTAAATATTTCAATATTTTTGTTTATTATATGTATTTCGAATATTACATTCCCTTAGTTTCATGAAAATCAAAAGATTATTCTAGTAATTAAAAATTAAAAACCAAGATAAAGTAAAAAACCGAGTTTTCTGCAAATATCTCGAAAACTTTGAGGTTATTGTGAAGAGTGT